GTCTATAACATGAGTTGTTTTTTAATGATCATCAGATTAAATTTTCACTTTTCCTTTCTCGGAGCATTTGTCTATCTAATTTAATTATTACATAGTTTGTTAATTATTCATTTATATGATTACTCGAAGTGTAAAGACATTCTCTCAAGCTTGAATTTTTTCTTCTAAATAATTACTCAATGCGCTCGCCCTTAAACTAAGTAAAAAAGAAACCGTGAACTTAGATATTAACAATCACAATGATTGACCTTTGGAGAAAGATGTTCTCATGGACCTAACTTACTCATCAACAAGATATTCTGTTTACATAAAATACGCTAGACGGAACAATGTTGAATAGATATTTCCTACCACATGGGTTCGAACTATACATGAAGAATTATCAGCCTTGTAGTAGTGTTTATTTTTTCCATCATTATCAAGGTCTTCAAGAACAAAATATGTCTATACGCATATCTCGATTTATGATTGTTTTTTTCTCTTCATCTAGGTTATCGACACATTTATATTGTTCGAATCAGAAATGAACGTGATACAAGTGTTTTTTATGTTTCATTTTTACAAGCTAAAAATGTCGACGATCATGATCGCGTGACGGAGATTGAGGTCTCTTCTGACGTCGTTGATACAGTCGTTTGCGCAGATCTTTTGAAATCTACGAGTAAAAAAATCAAATAGAAAAGACCAAGCTATTGTAAAACAAAACCTACGGGTTTCAAATGCATAAAATTACAGAATCCGCCTCGAGGACAATCTCTGGAAAAAAAAGAGAATATTTTTCATTAGTTTTTAATGAAGAAAATTTTACCCCATTTGATATTGCCGACAACAAGCTTCGTGAAAATCTGTAACTGGACTTAATTCGGCATAGATAGCACGTCCATCAAACCATCGATTGTTAAGATCAACAACCGCCTTTTCTGCATCTTCTTCGTAACGAAATTTCGCGTAACAGTTTCCTAGAAGAAAAAAAAACAAACGATAAGAATGACGACATTCTTGTGTAGTATTCAACATTACCAGCTAAGTGTTCAGATAAATTATCACAAATATTCATTTCTTCAATTTCTCCATATTTGTTTTCTAATTCAACAAATAATTCTTCGAATGTATCATCAAAATGCTCTTGGATTCGTTCTTCTGTAATATCATCGGCAATAAAAGATTTATCGGCCTTTTGCGAACTATTCTCCAAGCTCAAGTAGAGATTTTTCAATAAAATCGTCTGACTAAACGTCGGTTTATTGTGCAATTTCGAACAATGTTCGCCATGTCGACAGGCACCGATTTTGAAGAAAAACGAACAGTTGACTTTATCTTTTTCTGTACCAAATATCGACGCAAGATAATCAGCCATGACTGCGCTTTAACGAACAAATGAAAACTTGTAAAATATTTCTTTCTTTCTTCTCGTCCACAGAATATTTCATGGAATCATCATACTTCATTGGTTAAAAGCTGTTGTTTTTACATAGTCACTTTTTTTTTAGATAAGCAGGAGACATGACCTTGTTAGAAACGATCGGATTAGTTGCATTAATTTGTATTGTCGGTCGACTCGGATTGTTTATTTACCAACTTTTATGTCCGGTGAAAGTCGATGTGAAGAAATTCGGTCAGTGGGCTGTGGTTACTGGAAGTACAGATGGAATTGGTAAAGCGTATGCAATCGAATTAGCTAAACGAGGTAAAAGACTTTCGGTGAAAAGTAAATGATGAATTAATCAAATGATTTCAGGTCTCAATATCGTTTTGATTAGTCGAACCAAAGAAAAATTAGAACAAGTTGCAAAGGAAATTCAAGGCAAATATAACAATGCTCAAGTTAAGACGATTGCATTTGATTTTTCAAGTAAATTGACGATATTAGTTTTGGGAATGTTGTCTCAATGTTTGTTGTAGAAGATGGATCAAGTTATTCAACAATTCGCGAAGGTATTAGAGGTTTAGACATTGGTGTTTTGATTAACAATGTCGGAATGTCTTATGAATATCCGGAAACATTTGATAAGATTGAAGAGAGTGAAAAATTTGTTACGAATATGATTCGTTGCAACGTCGATTCTGTTGCCAATCTCACTCAAATGGTCCTGCCAGGTAGGATTTCATCCATTGATCTTCATACGAAAATTCATTTGAAAACTTAGATATGATCAAAAAACGAAGTGGTCTTATTGTTAACGTGTCGAGCATTTCTGGTCGTCGGCCATCACCTTTATTAGGCCTTTATTCTGGTACCAAAGGATTCATCGATCTTTTTTCCCGGTTAGTCAATGAATAGTTTTTATCTCTGGATTAAAATCTTCATTTAGATCGTTGGCTGCTGAATGTGTTTCGCGTGGTGTCTATGTTCAATCATTATGTCCGGGTTATGTTGTCAGCAAATTATCTGGTATTCGAAAAGCATCACTCATTGCACCAACACCCGAAAAGTTCGTCGTCAGTGCTCTTGACCGTGTCACACTTCCATTTACAACTGGATATTGGACACATGAACTTCAAGTAAGATCAGAAGTTGAGAAGATATCGACCCTATTCAATGATTCTTTGCTCTGTTTAGGAATTCTTCCTTTCATCATTACCAGAATTCGTTTCCAGTAAACTTATCATGCATGTTTTGAGTGGTGTTCGCGCTAAAGCTTTGAAAAAACGCAGCAAGACACAATAAAATTCTTTTAGTTTTTGCATTTTTCTTCTAGCTTTTCTTTGGATTAAAATCATTTCTTTTTTCAGATGTCTTTCATTGAAGTCAGTGCTGATTCAGATTTCCCCATTCAAAATCTTCCTTACGGTGTCTTTTCCACCAAAGACAATGTAAGTCAGAACGTCTGCTGACTCAATCATTACGTTTACTTTGCTTCATTTAGCCTAAACCAAGAATTGGTGTAGCGATCGGAAGTAAAATCTTAGATCTATCTTCCATCAAACATCTCTTCGATGGAACGCAGATGAAAGATAAACAATGTGTTTTCGACGAAGTAATTACACTGCTTAGAATGATGATATCTATTGATTGCGTATTTAGACAACGTTGAATAAATTCATGTCCCTAGGTAGATCGGCATGGAAAGAAACTCGCGAGCGATTGCAAGAACTTCTTTCGAAGGATTGTCCAACATTAAAGGACAATGATCAATTGAGAAAACAGTACGTCATCGAAATCAATGATAGTTTTTCTTTTTTTTGTTTTTATTAATATTTAACAATCTAATTAATAATCTCTAGAGCATTCGTTGAACAAAATGATGCTATTATGCATTTGCCTGCACAAATAGGTGAAAATTTAAAAAAAAAACAACTAATCATCTCAGCTGCTTGATTGATTGACTAAAAGACATCTATATTAAAATACACTGAAAACTGTTTCTCATCTGTTCGTTGTACTTTTAGGCGATTACACGGATTTCTACTGTTCACGTGAACATGCAACGAATGTTGGAACAATGTTTCGTGGAAAAGAAAATGCTCTCAATCCCAACTGGTTACACTTACCAGTTGGATACCATGGACGAGCATCATCTGTTGTCATTTCGGGAACAGATATTCGTCGACCAAACGGGCAAACATGCCCTGACGAAAGTTCGTTGAGTTCAAAACACGATTGCCTTTGTACATTTTGTCAAATCTTATAGCAAAACCACCCGTATTTAGCAATTGCAAACTGCTTGATATCGAACTTGAAATGGCATTCTTCATCGGCGGTCAAGGAAACAAACAAGGCGAACCGATTCCTATGGATCAAGCTGATGACTACATCTTTGGTCTTGTGATTATGAATGATTGGTCGGCACGTGATATACAAAAATGGGAGTACGTTCCATTAGGTCCGTTCAACGCCAAAAATTTTGGAACAACGATTTCGCCGTGGATCGTGACAATGGATGCATTGAAAGATGCTTTAAGTAATGGACCAACACAGGTAAGAGTCGATTTGAAGAGATGATACCAGGCGCGTGAATTTCACTATTCAAGGACCCAAAACCATTGCCATATTTAACTCAACAAGAGCCAAGTGCATTAAATATTGATTTACAAGTGACATTGAAACGTAAAAGAAATGCAAAATATTTATTTTTCATTATTGTGATTTGTTTTAGCGGCGAAATCATCCACGGAACATACAATTTGCCAATCTAATTTGAAGGTAATGCATCGTTCCTTCAGATTCAGTTTATTTTTCATCAATTTTTCGATCAAATAGTATATCTATTGGAGTTTGAAGCAAATGCTTGTCCATCATTCAAGCACAGGTTGTAACCTACGTCCGGGTGATCTGATTGGAACAGGTACGATTAGTGGTCCAACGCCTGATTCATGTGGCTCATTACTTGAAATCACATGGCGTGGAACGAAACCCCTACAGTTGGATGAGAATACAACGCGAAAGTTTCTCGAAGACGGTGATACAATCAAAATGACCGGTGAGACGAAAAGCATACATGAAATAGTCTACTGATTTTTTCTTTTAGGCTTTTACCAAGGTGATGGCTATCGAGTTGGTTTTGGCGAATGTGTAGGAACCATCATTCCAGCATTGCCTTTACCAAAATGAGTGTGTCATATTTTGCCTCCGTTTTCATTGATTGTTGTGTAGAAGAAAAGCTAAATAAAGATTGTAGCTGTGATTGTTTTTGAAGAGTAAAACATTGTTATAAGAACAGATTAGAAGAACTTCTATGGTGTCTCTGTTTCCAATGTTGGTAACAAGGTTCAACACGAGGGAATGGTGATCAGAACGATGAGCACGATTTTTTGAAGAATTGAATGATTTGTTTCCGCGAATCATATAGTGAAGTCTGACGGCGATAGTGTCGCCGTTTTAAGATTGAACTTTTTGTTTGATGGTATGATTCATTGCATCTGTGAAAAAAAAACCATGTATAACAAAACTTGTAGAGAGAAAAAAGAGAACTACATTGTCTGTTCAATTTATATTTCATGTTCCTCTGTTGGCTACATTCTCTGAGTAATTAGATTGTATTTTTTGCCTTTAGCTCTAGATGTCTTTTGAAATGACTGACTTGAATCGTATCAAGATCGCGAAAGACGGTGGGGAATATATCGACTTGCGTTTTCATGCGGATGCCAGTGTCGTTGACATCGATTTCACTTTACGAAACATACTCAACATTCCCAACGATGCAAAATACTCAATCGTTTATCAAGACCAAATCAGTGGTCGAGATGTTTACATCATGGGTAGTGGGCCAATGTTCCGGGAGTGCCTTGAAGAAAAAATCACGGAGTTGGATATACGCATTGCTCCAAAAACACCAGTTAAAGGTAAGCTGAAGCTAAAATTTTTAAAAAGGAACTAGTTTAGAACAATCACTGACTATGGGTGGAAAACGAAGCTCGTTTTCTATACTGGTGTATGGTATCTATCTATTTGATAGTTGTGTGCAGTCTATAAGTGTAGAAACGATCGCATACCAGGTTACACTGCTAGCTATTTCAATTGGTTCTGAAGAGTAACGTTTGTTCTGGTTGACATGAGAGTCGCGCACCTGAAAACCGAGTTAATAATCAGTTGTCGGAAGTATTTCCATTGTATCCGTGAGAATGTGGCGAAATCTCACTTAGTGATCATAACGTTTTTGCTGACATAATCGATCTATTGAGAATATTAGCATACATTTTACTAATCGCCAGGGCTTTTGTTTTTCTATCCTGGAAAATAAAAAATTCAATGTTATTCGTATGCGGTTAGATTTTGTTCGATGAAAATGCTTTTTCTACAAATGAGGAACATGGAGTTTGTGATTATTGACAAAGGTATTCGGTTATATTTTTTTATGTATCACCGTTAGTTCAAATATCCTACAATTATCGGCTAAAGTTGAGAATTTCATTACATTATTTTTGTTCTCTTTAGCGCCGACACCATCGTCGGGCAGCAATAGTGATAAAGCCAATGGTACTGTACAACAATGGCCGAATTTAATGAATGGTATCGATCGCCGGATTCAACGTTGGACAAATCATTCAGGTTAGTAGGATATAATTTTACCGATTTGAGTAACAGAGAAGATCGTATTACCGAATATGATCAAGATGGCAGACATCGTTATTACAGCGAGATATTTGCATCACTGAAGAAAAGTAGAAGGATATAAAACATACAAAAGTTGCTCGCCTATGGAAACTAATTTATAAAAGGTCGACTGACACTGATTGTTAACTTTTTTCATTATTTCGTAAGACCTTTGGTGGATCGAGGAAAATTTGCTACATTTAAACTTAATAAATCTAATTGTGAATTACTATTGACATAGAGGATATGACTAATACTTTTTACATTTGAAATCTTGCTAGAATTCTTTAAAATTCAGAGCTAGTCTTGAAAATAACATGTTTCTCAAAGGAAAGAAAATGTAATTTTGCTTCATGACAGTCTCGTTTCGTTAAAGTCCTTTTTTTGGACCAAGACAGGTTGACACGAAGAAGCAAACCACATAAAGTACTCACAATTAGTGGCGTAGCAAGAAGAATGTTGCAAAAAGGGAGGGATACGATGTACTCCTGGTAGCAGCTACACTTCTAAAAGTATTCCTATACTTTATAGTTTAACGTGGTGTTGTAAACCTGTTTGTCTCGTTGCAATTAGCCTATCAAACTATTCTTTTTAGATAACACATTGGATAAAAATATTAATACCAGCTCTGAGCAGTTGCTAGAAACAAATTCCATTTCTTCTTTTTCTTCTTCATGCTTTCTTGGTCCAGCTGGCAGAGTATGGTGCTGGATCACAAACACAAAACCAATACATATCTCTGTTCGACATAAAACCGACTAGGTAACATGGTTGACTAATGTTTCTTGTTGTTGTGTTTACGATAGTAACCATTACAGTCAGTTCTCCGCTTGAAATTTGCTTGCTGTCTTATTCTTAATCTTATCAGTTTGGGATTTTTCGTACTGCATCGGTTGTTCGTGTAGTATAAAGTTTTAGTTGCTGTGCGTTCTGCAGTATTGATCCATCTTAGTAATGTCTTTTGAACAAATCGTGCACTATGTGATGTGGGCTCTTTTTAAAGAAATGGACATTTCCGTTTAATGAGTTCGATGTAAAACATGTCCAGTCAAACATGGCGGACCACCTTGACAGGAAAGACAATAAATTGTATGTGTTCGCAATGGGTAGATTTAACCGAGAACAAATTGCAATATCACTGAATGCATCATTATTAAAAGCGACATGATTGGAGCTGATACGAATATGTTGGAACCTTCGTGACTGCTTGACGATTTTATTCTTGGTCAGTAATCTATCGGCTGCTCTACTCATTTTCACGCTTAAGAAGAAAAGCAATCTACCTTTGCCCTTATTTCAAAGAGAAGTGAAGTGATACTTTGCTATATTAATGAAAAGACTAAAATGAATTCGATTTCTAAACACATTCATCGAATATTTCATTCGTGGTAGATGATAGTCCACCACACCCTCACTCTCCTTTTTGTCGTGACAAACTTATCCGTCTACAATCTTCATTTTTTAAGCAGTTTAATACTCGCTATTCTTTTTCTTTTAGTCATATTTATGTTGCTTCTCTACGTGGCCAATTCCCAGGTTACTATGGCACGGTTGGTTCCGGCCGGTTAGGTTCGTTTTCCGACCATTTCCTTGCCGCCGGAAGTTCAAACGTAGGTTCCAGTCATTTCCCGACCGGAATCCGGCGGCAAGGAACCTGCCGGAATCGAGAAGAGCTGTACCGGAACCGATTCAGATTTCAACGGATCCAGTCGCCGGAATGATGGACCTGAGAATGCGTATATTTTCACCTTTCTTTTCTTCAAACAGAATAAAATGTATTTGTTTTCTTTCGTCTTTTAGGTTCATCAGTTTCGCCTTTGATATTCGGTCCGGCAAGACTGTTGCCAATAGTAGTCCAACTGTCCTCACCAACACCACCTCTATTGAAATTCTCCTGAAAAACATCATTAATTTTATGAACACCACTGTTTCGTCGGACAATTCTACACCTTCGACTTAGCATTTTCATTTCGTGCCTTTTCTCTGTTTCGTATTTTTATTTTCTTTTGTTTCGCTCTCGTTTGTGAATCTTGCGTACATTCATTTCTTCCACTCCCTCTACAGTGTTCATCGCATATTTCTCATCATTTTTTCTTTCGAAAGTTTATCTAGCTTTGAACATTTTTAAATAAATTTTACTGATGCTTTCCATTTCATTCTTATTTTCTTTTAAACAATTATACAGATTTCTACTGTTCACGTGAACATGCGACGAATGTTGGAACAATGTTTCGTGGAAAAGAAAATGCTCTCAATCCCAACTGGTTACACTTACCAGTTGGATACCATGGACGAGCATCATCTGTTGTCATCTCGGGAACAGATATTCGTCGACCAAACGGGCAAACATGCCCTGACGAAAGTTCGTTGAGCTCAAAAGACGATTGCCTTTGTACATTTTGTTAAATCTTATAGCAAAACCACCCGTATTTAACTCAACAAGAGCCAAGTGCATTAAATATTGATTTACAAGTGACATTGAAACGTAAAAGAAATGCAAAATATTTATTTTTCATTATTGTGATTTGTTTTAGCGGCGAAATCATCCACGGAACATACAATTTGCCAATCTAATTTGAAGGTAATGCATCGTTCCTTCAGATTCAGTTTATTTTTCATCAATTTTTCGATCAAATAGTATATCTATTGGAGTTTGAAGCAAATGCTTGTCCATCATTCAAGCACAGGTTGTAACCTACGTCCGGGTGATCTGATTGGAACAGGTACGATTAGTGGTCCAACGCCTGATTCATGTGGCTCATTACTTGAAATCATATGGCGTGGAACCAAACCCCTACAGTTGGATGAGAATACAACGCGAAAGTTTCTCGAAGACGGTGATACTATCAAAATGACTTCCGTTTTCATTGATTGTCGTGTAGAAGAAAAGCTAAATAAAGATTGTAGCTGTGATTGTTTTTGAAGAGTGAACCATTGTTATAAGAATAGATTAGAAGAACTTCTATGGTGTCTCTGTTTCCAATGTTGGTAACAAGGTTCAAGTCGACGCAATGTTGAGCAGAACGATGAGCACGATGTTTTGAAGAATTAAATGATTTATTTGATGCTTTGATTCATTGTAACTATCAGAAAAACGATATCTGATGATATTTCGAGAGAGAGAAAAGACAAGTACATTATCTGTTCAATTTCTATTTTATTTTCCTCTATTGCCAACATTCTTTGAGTAATGATACCTGACTTTTGTCGTTAGCTCTAAATGTCTTTTGAAATGACTAATTTGAATATACTTATTGATATACAAACACCGGTTGCAAATAACTTAAAACTACATGTTTCAAAAAAAACAAATGGTCTAATGGCATCTATTTGGTAGTTACATGCAGCCTTATGACTATGCATAAACAATCTGGTACGACGTTACACAACTAGAACTCTGAAGAGATCGCATTAGAAGAGTATAATACTTTTCCTGATATGACTTACACATTTTGAACTAGAGGTTTTCACAGGGTTGGACGACCCTACTAGTTGTGTGCTATCTATGAATCGATGAAAAAAGCAGTTGTTTCTGGTTAAAAGATAATCAAAAAAGTAAAGTTCTGCTTACAAATGTTGTCGTATATGTTCATCGATTGCATATCTATTGAACTTTATCGATTTGGTACTCAAGTTCTAAACGCAGTGGCATATTTTTAGACTATATTTGTCGTGCAGACACCTGTGATTCTAGTGTTCGTGACAAGGCTTAGTGTGGAAGAGGTGTCCATTAGAATGAGAAGAACAATTAGTATGAAGTCGTGTAGAACAGGATGATTTTCTTACACGAATCATAAAATGAAGTTTTATATCGATGGTATTACCTTTTTAGGATTGGGCTTTCTTATCCGATTGTATGGAATGGGAATACACCTATAATGCATACCCTGTAAAGATGCCTTTTTGATACTACGCTTCGAAATGAATAACGTATTACAGATGATTGAGACGTTAATTACACATGACTATAGTTCTGATCAAAACTACTATAGAACAATCTATCGCAATAAGAAGCACGAAGTGGAACTGTCCGATAAACTTTACCTGTTGGTCGGCAAGTTTTATCGACTGAATCAAAATAGGATCTAAAGCTTCTTTTCTCAGAAAAAGACGCTTTATTATATATAACTGAGTGATGAAAGAATTTTCAAAAATACTCGACTAAACAAAATTATCCAATGGAAAAAATTTACATATGTGTGCATAATTAAGCACAAATTTTCCATAATGCTTAGTTTTTAACAATAGCGTCGCATAGAACTGATTTCAGTGAGTGCACAGAAGCCATCATTCTTCATTATTGTATCTACGAGAAATTTACTCTCGCGTTTTGCAACGATAATTAAGTTTCAGGACTTCAGGAAGCTTATTCTCTAGATGTTCGAAATGGTTCTGTTCTACAAATGTAGAGCTATTTTTATCTTTTAGTTAGATTATAAATGAAAGATAAAGAAAAAGTATTTGATGGAATAATTGAATTGTTTAGAATAACTGTGAGAAGAAAAAACAAATTTGCATATTGATTTTATGAATTGTTATTTAGACAAAACGAAATAAATTCGAAAATTTGTTTAACATCTAGAATATAATTCGATCCGTTTCTCTTTCTTTACTAACAAAGCAGACAAATCATCCATGCAAGATCGAATTATTGTCCGAAGCTTAAATATAAGCAGACTATACGGCAAAGCACAATTTTCAGTGTCACGATTACTTATTAAACTCGTTTAAGGGCATTATTTTCTTATAAAATCATCCCTATATTCCTCTTCACAGATGCATTAGTGCCGTAGGGTAATATTATTGGAATATGAATACAAATCATAAGTCTTCAGTGTTCCACAACAGCAAACAAGTAGTTCAATAGGTTTATCACAATCGATAGGGAATCTGTAGACGACCGAAAGAATTATTTTTAACACCAAACCGCTTTGAATTTGTGACAGTCATCGGGTATTGTTATTTTCATCAAGATTGAATTATTATTGACTTGTTTATTACGCATATTTCCTTCGATGCTTCTGAAGGCCATTATCAAACGCTTTCGATCATAATCAAAGAAGATAGACACATTTGTTTTTGTAGTTAGTTCGAAAAAAACAAAAGCTCCTTTGATTCGAAACTCAAGAAGACATCACATTTCTTTTTGTCTCTTGAATAAATTATTGAGATTATCCTCCGACATTTCATATCAAATTTATAAACAAGAATAAGAAATTCAAAGATGTTCACGACCCGTCAATGTGGGTTTATATTCATTTCCGTTGTCCACCAGTAACTTTGCTGATGCTTCACTAATTCAATCAAACAGACCAGAAAAATGAACGTCTCTTCTATAATCACTGTTGAATTTGTTACTTTCACTCAAATGACAACTCTAGTCTATTCTAGTTCTCTTCGTCTAGTAGTTAATTTTATACTTATTCAATTAGTACATAGAAGCCATTCGGTCGATCGGCGTCGAGACATTTCCGATTCCTTGATGACGACTGTCTAGAAAAACGAACTCAAGCATTGGTGACATTTTCCCTCTTTCTTCTCTTCTCTTTTCTTCTTGTCTTGTACATGAAGGAAGACATTTCTCGACGATGTTTAAAATTGACCGAGTTCAACGTACACACCGTTGTATTCAATTCATCATTCCACTTCTGGGCAACACAGACAGTTAAATGGAAACATGGCATCAATACATTGAAGAAAAGAACTAGTTCACACACATACTTTTTTATGCCAATAAGAGGCGACGTCTTCAAGTGTGTATATGCGTGTGTGTGTTCGTTTCTCTTCTTTTTCTTCTCCTCTCCTTCTCGCTATTCATCATTATTATTGCTCCCGATGAGCGTTCAACCGAATTTTTTTTAGGAAGAAATGATGAATAGAGAACAGAAGAGCATACATTCGCTCTCATTCACATCTAAAAGATGCTTCCATCTCGGCTTGACAGTGCGTGTTAGAAAGGATAATAGAGACACAAAAAAAAACGAGAAATTCATTATAAGAACATTGTTAACAGGTAAGCGAGTGCGAAAAACAATCAAAATCAGCGTTTACATGATGAAAAATCTCAATTTTGTCTCATAATTAATAGGCAACAAGAAGAAAAACGAGATTCTTTATCTTTCAATAATTCATCTCATTTGTCTGTATGTTCATAGCCTAACAGAAAAGAAAACGCAAACAACCGACAGACAGAATCAATGGTAGGTGAATTGGATGAACATCAGACATTCTACTTATCTGTTTGATATGAAATTAGCCGAAACATCGTTAACGAGACATACTGTTCTGACTGATTTCTTTTGTAGACCTAGTCATTTTTCATGGGTAATCTCTCTCCTCGCCATTCGAAATCCTATCATGAAGGATTTTCGAATCATTTGACTCTAACGCCGAATCGGTCGTCATGGAAAAAGCAATTGCAAATTATCAACGATACATTTAATATCAAGAAAATATCTTTACGTCGTACACATGGCAAAGGCAAACGTTCGAGCGCAACAACTGCAGACAATATCCATTTTCGCCAACATTCCTATTCTACACAAAATTTTCACGATTTCACCAAGAAAAATCCGGCAAAATCAGCAAGTCGAAAGCAATCGAAAACTGACCAACAGCAAAACAATGTCAAGAAATCGTTTAGTCTTTTCTCTATCAAACAACCATTGAATGATTTGACTAATAAAGAACCAGTTATCAAATCAGTATCAACGAACAAACCAGAAGAAGTTTCCATGAACAGTACAACGAATACTCAAATACAGCCAAGACAAAAGTCGCGAGTTGATTTAACAACAGGTTATTATGAATATTCATCAGCATTTTTCTGTCAAAACATTCAGAAATAGCGATTGAGTATCTATGCATTACTTGCATTTCTCAAGAGAATCTCCTATTTAAGTAACTTCTATATTTTCTGTTGATCCTAGAAAAGAAAATTAACATTTGTCGCAGATCCCTATAGAGAAGATATTTCAACAGTTGTCTTTTCTATATTGCGTTTGGTTTTGATAAATAACTTGTTATTTTCACATTAATTCAATTCATATCGTAGTCAGACCTTCTCTTTTAGGTCAAAAAAAACGGACATGTCATTCCTTTCAGACCTCTTTTTTTATACGACCTATGACAAATTGATATGATAGTGACATTGCACTACATTTTTAGACTAGATTCTGACGACCGAAAGGGAGATTGAAAAAAAAATAGTATTAGGTTGGGTACATCTCTAGAGATAGACTTTGAAGGAGAAATCTGAATATTAATACTCCCTAAGTGAATCCATTAAAAATTCATTTTCTTTCTTTTTCCTATTTTAGTTCATAAGCGTCACACAACTTTCATTCCACCAGCATATTATCTGTCTAAGTCGCAATCTCAATACTATCAGCGTTATCACATCCAACTGTCTTCGAACGGTGTCATATCGAATAACACTAATCCCACAGCAACAACATCTAGTGCAAAACATGTTCGTTCAACAGAAATAACAACAACAAGAAAAACAATCATTCAAGCTTCAACAAGTGAATTACTGCGCTGTTTAAGCGAATATTTATGCTCATCATGTTCACATCTATCACCAAAACTCGATCCAATGGATTGTATAGCGTGGATAAAAAGTGCTGATCGTCGTTTAATACTGCAGGGCTGGCAAGAACAAGTATTTGTCAATCCAGCTAACATTGTCTTTGTTTATTTAATTGTACGTGATACATTAACGTATGTTGTGCCATCAACCACAATCAAAAGTGTTTCAGAATTGCATTCAATTGTTCTAACGTGTCTTTATTTGGCATTTAGTTATATGGGACATGAAATAACTTATCCATTGAAACCATTTGTGACGGAAAATGAAACACGAACTGTTTTTTGGCAACGTATGGTTTTAATTATGGGACAATTAAGTTCAAAAATGTTGACGATCAATCAAAATCCGAAATTTTTCACGGAATGCTTTTCCGATTTGAAAAAGTTCAATCTAGTCCAATAAAAGAACTTTCCTTTTTTTCTGTTTCTTTTTTAATTTGTGCAATAAATGTTTAACAAACACATTGTAGCGACAAAACATCATCTTTCGATGTCCAAAACAAAGAAGGATCCAAGAAGAGAATGTGGTTCTTACAACCTACCGATGATTTTAACTCAGTTTTCATCTGAATTAATCACCGTTCCAAAACAGATTTGCCTTGTTCAGTTACATGGCACTTACAACAATCTCTGGGTTTTTATCGTTCTCTTTCTGTGCAAAACAAAACTTTCTTCATTCTGATTCATGGTTAAATATTGATTCAGTCGAGTTCTCGACTCACAAATGCAGAGTCGTTTTTCATTGAGTTGAAATAGAAGCAGTTTGGTGTTGATGTAATTACATCGGAGAATGAAAATCGTATGAAGCACGTTTCTGTTGGTGCAAGTAAGAGAAATAAACAATACTCCTGAATACCTATGCCTCTGATAAGAAGATTTTTACCCCGCACAATACGAAAAAAGTGCAGGTAAGTACTGACTATTTTCATTTCGTTTCGTATTCGATTATTAATCGTCAAAATCTCGTAGTAAGCGTTCTTATGATTTCCTTTCGATTTTGAATACTACGTGTTGACTTCGTCGTCTTTATGGAAATACATAACGTGCGTGTCTGACATAAGGAATTTGGAAATAAGTGTATTTACGATATAATTTGCGTTTCTAAATAGTTGAGACTTCGGGTGAGAATATTTCAAACATAGATGTTAACGATCTGGAAGAAATCGAAGTGTTCGTCATTGTGTATATTCATTATTCCGAGAACTCTCAATGATTTCAGATATAACGTGTAACATATTTCTGTCGAAATACACGATGAATCATAATGGTTCCTCATCTCGGTCAGAGAAGACTAAAGATATTATATCGGAAAAACGACTTGTAGAAACTGAACTCTATCGCAAGAAATTGTACGAACGTTTGCTCGAATCAATCAGTACATGGTTGTTTGATCGTAATGCTCGTGTTCGATTGACAGAAATGCAGATCGCGCATATTGTTTTGCGGTACGTATTCAACAAAAAGGCAACGATATCTACTTCGACGTCGGATCCCGTATTCATCGTCGGTACATCTGATCTCGCTAGACGTCAACTTAGTATTGATCTAAAAAACGCAAGATTAGAAGATTCTGATAGACTAGCAGACAAAATCGATGACGAAATCAAATGTGCTGTGCGAGAGTTACGTTTTAAGAATCCTCCTGACGACGAACAAGTCACTTTGTCTTCAGAAACGGATGGTAAATTAGTCTATCGAGGTCGTTATCAAGAAGATTTCGCTCATCTAGCTCAACGTTACGGCCCTAAATACTACAATGCTGCGTATGCGCTTGGATTGCGGTACTCTTATGTTCGTTTGACAGGTCACGGCCTTGCCCGAAAATACGAAGAAGACACAAAACGAAGTTCGGACGATCCGTTCGCTTGCGAATGTTTTGCCTCATCTTTCAACCATTACTTTGATCGATACCATTCTGCCTTCGAAGATTTAGAACGTTGGTTTGGGTCACGTGGTTCGTTCTTTAAAATAAAGTGGGAAGATGAACCTTCGAATATGACTTATTATGTATGCCCTCCGTTCGATGAATCACTTATGCAACTATGTGTAGATCATGTTTTCGATGCGTTGAAAAATCACGCAGAGTTACGACCGACATTCGTCTTCTCTATACCTGGCACCTGGACGAATTTCAGTGCCCTTGAGCAACTGAAAGCTAGTTCCTGGCTGCAAGATTTCATTGATTACCCAAAAGGTAAACTACCTTTTATTGATTATATGGCGACAAGAGAAAAAGATCGGATAATTTATCCAACGGATATCTGTGTACTAACTCTCTCGACTGAGAGCAGAAATGACAAAGCGAGTTCTCCCTCCAGATCGGAAGATGATGACAACCAAAAGCACTCAGACGACACAACAACCGCGAAGTCGACAAGAAAAAGACGTTTCAATGAAACAAATGATAAAGACGAATCTAAAAAAATAAAATTAGATTGAGTAATGGAAATACGAGTTTCCGCTTGTTTTGTTTTCTTTTGTTCAAATACTATATGTACTATGTAAAAATTTGAAAATAGAAAATTCTCTATATTCTTTACCACACTTTGTTGATTAACTCAACGCTAATGCAGCAGATAAGAAGCGTGTAGTACAATCATAGACTGCCACATATCGTTTCAACACGACATCAAATTTTTATTAAAATAATTTGTATTGTTTTACAAGTAACGAACTTTCGATGGAAGAATCGAGAAAGAAGTGAAACTTTTTAAAAAAATCCCGTGGATCTCTTTTGTTAACCATAGTTGATTCTTTCAGAGTCTGCTACGGCGAATCAAAATTATTGTTGGATGGCAGTTGTTTCTCCAATCGCAAAGAGCTCAGATCTAAAGGAGGCTCCATTGTTGTTCGATTCGAGTTTGAATCTTTCGATGAATCAGGCTAAAATAAACAATGATCAGTAGTACGGAGATGTTGAAAATAAGAACAACAGAGATGCTTTCTATTTTCTTTATCATTTCGAAAAGTAATTATTTGATCGGAAAATATCGGTAACGTAAATTGGAAACCGAGGATGAACTATTTATCGTAGTTTAGAAATTAGCACCCACTTTTCTTTTAGTCATGAAAGTATCACTGAAAATTCTACAGAAGTCTCAATTATTTCCTTATAATCTTCAATTCTCGACGACTATAACAAATTGTGCAATTACCGACGATGAAATTGAAACAGACCAGACTGGTTTGACACGTTCGTATTGCATACATGCCGGACATACACCACGCCACTCCTTTCTTCGTATGCGATGCCAGCAACCCGAGCAATATCCACCGAGTGTGGTAACACCAAGTCTCCATAAATCACCGGTCTCTTCATAAGACCACTTGGCCGCGTTCCGACTTGGAATTATCTCCAATCTTGTCTGATAAAATTCAATAGGGTGTGCCATGACGCTTGCAGGAATATGGTTTTCTTCGACTTGTTGCCATGTCAATTGTCTACCATACAGATGAATGACCATGTGAAGTTCATCTTCCGGTATCATGATCCACGTTTTAGGATTAATTCTGCTTCGAATTTCTTCAAGAGCAGCGGTCAATGTTAACTTGGACGAACGGGTCATGTATAAAGCCATGGATTCCTTTACACACTCTTCGCCAAATCGAAAGCATTCGGGAGAAATATCCATTTTCGAAGTCTTAAACAACGGCTCTTGTATTGGGCCACTGGTAAGTTCTGGATGTAATGATTTAACCTTCTCTTCTAGTACTTGCGGTAAATCTCGACTTTGAAATTGAACCAAAGCAATTCTGTAATATCCAGGCCAAACATCAGGAATACTTTTCGCATCTGTACCCGGCTTCAACATATCAAAGTATTCGTTAAATGCATTCAGTCCTTTGAATTGTTTATAATTCGGCAAACTACGGCAGACAAAACCGCTCTGAACTGGATCAATAGCGAAACTAATCAAATAGGAGTAATAGGCCATGGTGTGAATGATCAATTTGACTGAGAACTCTCTAAAAAAAGCTTCGAAAGATTAGTAACTAATTCGCGTTTAGGATACAGTATGAAAAATGTAATAACATCAGTCTTGACTATCTAACAAAATCCACGCTTTCCCAGTTCATTACTTACCGCGAGATTTTGCCAATTGATGAAGTGAGTGACCATTGTTGTTTTCGTCTGGGCTCTTATACCATTATCACTGGGTAGAAAAATTCGTTTTTTGCAGAAATAGAACTTCACAGGGTTTTTCTTTCTCATCCTGCAACTATGTAAATGTGTACTGCGTGGTTTTCATTCTCCGATGTAATTACATCAACGCCGAACTGCTTCTATTTCAACTCAACGAAAAACGACTCTGCATTCGTGAGTCGAGAACTCGACTGAATCAATATTTAACCATGAATCAGAATGAAGAAAGTTTTGTTTTGCACAGAAAGAGAACGATAAAAACCCGGAGATCGTTGTTTTGAAATCGAGTGAAACTACATACTATAATTCTAAGACGGACTATGACTGGGAAACATCGACGAAGCAATGACCTATGTTCTTTGACACTTATTGCAAAAGATTTTTTCCAATCTAGTATAGATATCAGCTGGTTCTTTGTCAACAGCTTTCCTATATAGATACGTAATTAAATAATTTATCAAGCATCTGCATATTGAGATAAAATTGGAAGAGAATCCCTTATTTAAGATTAACTTTGATGCTATGGTAATGCTTTACCATATAGGGTGACAAATTCTATTGAAAATTCTTCTTCTAACGATGAAGAAAGTTTGTTGTTTCATTTTTTTTCTCTCATAATATCGTTTCTCTTTGGAAATTGCGAGTATATGTGTTGAACTCGCGAAGATCATATGCATTATGCAAAGTAGATCTTTTATATCGCATAATAGCGACATCTTTTCTTCTCGTTTTATATATAATCTCATTCATTTCATAGATAATCTGTAACAATTGTCAAAGAAAAAAGTATGCATTATATTATTGAATAATCGTTTAATCGCCTGCGAAAATCAAACTACCATTTGTCAGGCTTCGTGCAATCAATACTGATTGTAATAGGTAAGCAGGCAGCTAATGCGTTCGTTTTCTAATGGAACTTGCGAAAAGGAGTGATGTTAATACATCTGAAGCTGATTTGTTTTCTAGATGGCTGATGTGATTAAAAGTGATATTGAGAAGATCGAGCGAGCTCTCAACATTCGTGTGGAAGATGTGGAAATTGAAGTTGCATTAAATGCTGGTAAGTATTAAATTATCTTTCACATGAATATATTGTATTCTGACTTTAGCATATCCTCAAACGATTTCCAAAATTCTCGACGAACAGCAAGTTACAAGTGAACAAATTGATGACATTCCTGATATTGAATTAATAGAAGAGAACTCTCCACGCACTGATCCATCGTCTTTACTAACATTTGCCACAGCACTGAATCTTTGTTATCAGCGTAAACTGTTCCAGTTATCAAAATATTGTCAATCATTAGTAAATGAAAGAATGCACTCTCTCCCTGTCAGGTTATTTCTTATCTTTTAGATTACTACGGAGAAAGTCTATCAATCATTGAATGAAACTCTTCCATTGCAAAGTTTCGAGTTTTATTCGGATCATATTTCCAGTCGTTTACCTGTAAATTCTATTTCTGTGTCCGTTGTTGGAAAATATGAGAGAGTTCCTTTTCAGGTGACAAATGAATCGATTCAGAATATTCGTCGAATGATGCAACGGGAAGAAAAAGCACGTCTAAGTATACCAATAACTTTTTCTATGAACAATCGATCTATTCTTGAGAAATTCAGGTTCAAATGAAACGACAGAAAAATTAATCGAATGTGTTGCAGAAAATCTACGCAAGACGAAAGATCACGAATTGACTCGAAGGTAAGACTGCGAATAAATCAAATTATTGCTGATTTTCGCTGTAGGATTGAGATTTTACAAACATCGACACGTGATATAGTTGTTATCGATCAAGAACTTCAAAATTTGAAAAAGGCATTGGTTGATCTACGGTAAGGAGTAACTGAAACTGATCCAATCTTCTATAATAATGCTTCTATTCACAGAACTCTATCAAATAGAGAATTAATTCAACAGGAAGGTGCAAATGATTTCATTGATTGGACGTATATTGCTGAGACATTAGTAAGAATCGATTTGTCCATTTAGTTTCATACTCGAATCGTTTTCATCAACTAGATGAATAACCAATACACTGTAAAATGCTGCCGGCATGCGTGGCAACAACTGTGTTTACCAACTATTCGTTACAATCACGATTGGTCGGAAGAAGAAGATCAACTACTAAGAGATTTAGTGCAAATTCATGGACCATATGCGGATCAATGGACAACAATTGCATCGAATTTTGTGAGTTGCTTGAATGGATTCAAGAAGCAAGTTTGATTGATTTTCTTCTAGTCGCAACGCTCAGCACTGATGTGTGCAACTCGTTATATGAGTTTAGAAAACAGTCGTATAGATAAATTGTAAGTTGCTCTTTCTGACTTCGGAACTCAACCGAAAATCTATTTGAAGGAAGTTTTCTAATGATCAATTAAATGAATTCAAACAAATGGTCGAGGAAGATCGTCACAACAATTATATTCCATTGAACAAAAGTAATTGTGATAATGTGAAAAAAAAAGCTGATTTAATTTTTCGTTTCATTTGAATCAAGTTGCTTACAAACTCGGCTGCAGCCTTTCAACCATACATCGAGAATGGCGTCGGATTGATCCAGATGTTCGACGAGGCCAATGGCAAGTAGACGAAGACGAAGTACAGATCTCATTGACTGGAAATGATTTTTCCTTTATTGACTCGAACTAATCAATCGAGTTTTCTAACTTCTTTCGTTTCGTTTTACAGGCACTTCTACAAAGCGTATCAAAGCAATCAAATCGAAGAACAATCAATTGGAATCTTGTTGCTTGTGATGTACCTGGCCGTTCGCAAACGAAATGTTACAATCGATACGTGCATCTGACTAGAGAACGAGACAAAATCGAGTTTCGTCCGGAAGACGATCAAGTACTAATCGAACAGCATCAACTTCAAAATGGTAAGAAATGACACTCAATCGAGTGCGATTTTAACCATTTGGATATGATTCAACTGTGTTTGTAGCTCGTTGGGCACAAATCCAACCATTTTTTCCTGGTAGATCGTGTTATACATTACAAAATCGGCTGAGGAAACTGATGCAATATCGGCACATAAATGAACTATTCCATGTTCAACAAGTACTTTCGTTTTTTTTTCTTTCTTAGAAATATTTTATTGAAAACTTTTGATTGCATAGATAACAGTTCAGTCGTTCATTTTAAGACAATTTCCAAGCAAAGAATCAGTCATTTCCACTTCGAATAGTATGTATCAAACCCCAGGATTTCAATTAACATACGATCAACTGCAATATTTAACGTCGAATTCTTTATTTATTCAACTTTGCAATGAAATCGACTTGAATCAGATAAATGGTTCAATGGGTATTCGACAATTCCTCAATAAACTATCTACATGTCAAAATGTCGATGAAATGAAACAACATTTATTTTCAATGAAAGCAACTCGTCGTAAGACAAATAAATAGTTTCGTTTTTTATTGAAAATTTTCCTTTTTGTCTACGATATGGTAAGATGTCTATTTTCTACATATTAAATATGCAAATCACTAATCTCATCTGAATGAACGTTAGCTGAAGGTAACAGAATAATGAAGGCACAGTTCGCGTAGTCAAACCAAATCGATACTTTCACTAAACAAGAGCAGTATTGTTCATCGAAATCGAAAATATTAGGCGAGTTTCGCCCATGTAGTATCTGCCCTATGAATCTAACGTGTATCGAAATAAAACAAGATATCGATCTCATGAATTTCACACTTATTTTCTGAACAAATCATGATGATACCAGCCAAGATGGGGTATGTCCTTTCGATTAATACAATACTTGTTTTCGTAATAAAAAATCTTACGAAATATAATCTCGCGGGTGTAAATTACATACAATTAAGCAGATGAATCTACTCCACACAAAAAATGAATAAATGAAAATGGTATAACATACACAACAGAGAAGATATTTTAAAACTGTTTAAAATTAATTAATAGTTTCAAGTTGATATGAGAACACTTTTTCTTCATTGGCAAACAATATTATGAATGCTTTGATGGTTGAACCGTCTTGTACAAACCCGCCATTGCCATTACTTGTTAATTTCACTGATCGAGCGTACACTTCTTGTCGATATTCAACTTTCACTGAACGATTTTTCTTGAAATTCTTCAACAATAGACTGACTGTATGGCTCGATTGTGTTCGTTCTTCGACTTCTTTACCTCCCGATCGTAATGTTTCGTTGAACGAACGTGAAGATACAAGTGTAATATTCTCTTTGTAAACAACATCTGCATCTTGTCCAACCGAAAATTCATATTTATCATTGGCAGCTAAATCTGGTAACAACGTTTCTCCAACAAGTCGATCATATTCACGTACAATACAATTTCCACGAGAAAGAAAACGATCAGATGATATACGATACGAACGTTGAACTTTGCCATTTGCATGTCCAGCGCCACCGAAAAATGACTTTCGAATCGATTCATAACGTTCAACAACAACGTTCGGACGAAACATTGGCAGAAGATAATTTGTTTTGGCATCCATGGAAAATGGTTGATTGATTGGAAAAACATATAAACCAGCCATTTCTTCACCTCGTGATACCGTTGGCGAGGACGAGCCACCTGCTAGTTCTGTATTTGCTGATGCATACGTCACAGCATGATCTCGAAGTTCATATCGTTCCGATCGATGATGTTCAAACATTCGCAGATTAATATCACCACCAAGTAGTTCAGCATGTGCAATGTCGATTTTCGATTTTCCATCATTACGAATATCAGCCATAGCGATAATCGTCGGCTTTCGTGAGTCATCAAACAGATTCAACTGATAGCGTGTTTTCCAATTGAGATTTGAACGGAGGTAGCTAACACAAACTTCGTCGGTTGCGTTGTATGCAAAATTCACATAATGTTTTGCTTGGAATGGTTCGTTAACATAAACGAGATCATGAGATTGTACTATGAGAAAAATTGGATCTTCACTGATGTCTTTATCAATAAGTTTAACAAGATTTCGACTTTCGTCAATGATTGTCGCTTTGACAAATTTGGACTCTGTGTGAGATGAAGATGGAGAACATACATAGACTTGACGATTGTTAAGAGAGAGTTTCTTTTCGGTAATCGTTTGCTGTGTGACATTAACATTCGAACCAACGAGGGTTATCGAATCAGAACGAATCTCCGACCAATCTTCAGGTGAAAACTCCAGCGGTAATTTACCTAACGGTTGAACAACTTCTGCAAGATTTGAATAAATTTTAACATTTATCGGGGTCGAATATTCAGTTGTATTGACCAATTGTATCTTTTTCGGATGCAATATAGCATTCGTAATGATAATTTGTGCAAAAAGAAGAGCAACGATGATCTTCATGAATGTGAATAGTGTATAAGTCAACAGGATTAAACATCAAATGAAAGAGAACGATATGTTAGCTATTCTTTCTCTCTCTCCTGCTGCATGATGATCGTACATGTTGTCCTTTTCATCGTCATGTGTTCGCGAATGAAGAGATCAAAGTTGAATGATAATCAACACGTTCTGTTTATAAATTTCGCAGACATCACATGTGATTGATTAAAACAAGTCTACTAGACGTGTTTATCATTAAAGTCAAACATTGACAACTGTCGGTCGTTCATTGTGATATAATGACCAGATGCGATATAAACTAGATCAGTTTAAATTAGAAAACATGAAATAATAGTGAAGATACAAGCTTTCGGTACGGACATAATGCGGAAATAGCATAAATCGAATATTTCGTAGTAAAACAAGACGAAAATTTAGATTGATTGATATTTGACAAATTTCTCATGTTTCTGTGTACATTATCTCAACACGTAAACTATCATAGTTCAGTGTAACATGTAGATGATTTTCATAAGCAAATTTTAATATTGGAAGGAGAGTTTCAATGAAATAAACTTCACCGAATGGATTATTTGACTTGATCAGAAGAATAATACATGGACGATGGCGAGTATTCAACACGTTATTATGCGCAGATTCAAATATTTCCCTGGTTAACTCAAACTGACCTGTTTGTTGATTGAGCAATGGGCAACGAATTATTATGATAAAAGAATGACTAATATGGACTTGGTATTAGAATTGTCTGATGTAGATCTACTAATATGTAACTGTAAAGAATAAAATCACTTGTAATAGCCATTGGAACAAATGTTAAGTGACTATTTTCATCGGGATGTAAACATCATGAGAAAAATAACGAAGTTCTCCTAATGGACCGCCATGTTGATTTAATGTTGGATCCTAACGAATAAAGTTTTTGTGTTAATTCTTCTTCACAGAGCATATTTTCTACTAGACCAGAATCAATGATTCCGTTTAGATTTTGATATCCATGAAATGAGTTTTGACGAATAAGATCAAAAGACGGGATTAAACTTGATAAAACCTGATCAGTGTGCAATAACCGGCACGATTAGTTAACATGAGGATCTCAACTGAAACCTATATGATTAGTCAAACCTTTTTCATACCAAATCGTCTCTTGTACATATCAGAGAAGAACATGCTTCTCGTTTTAAAGTAATCGTCATAAACTTCATCTTGTTCGTTTTTTTCAATCAGATTCATAAATGGTTATATTTAGTCGAAAGAATCTTGAAAATACGCTGAGCAACCTATCACAACATAGAAATAACGCTCTATTTCATTGCTAAAACCAAAAAATATGTTTTAATTGAATTCTCCTTGCAAAAATTGAAGTCTATTTGGTCCGCCGACACGAATTACACTTCATTCAAACAAATGCCAACTTAAATGAATATAATTACAGTTCACAATTAGTCGCTGTTAGTTATGTGACCATAGTGACGCAAAGAGTGAGTACATATGCTGAAGCGATTGATGTGTGTACAATCGTAATGTCGATCATTATCTCGTCATTTTTAANTTCGCAACGCATCGGCAATGTGTTGTGCTCCTTTAGCACCGATTTCGTTACTGTCGAGATCTAGCGTGATGAGTGTCTGTTGGTATGAGAGAGACTGAATACTTAACCTTCCGTGAAATGAGATCAATATTACCGTGTTCGTTCGCAACGCATCCGCAATGTGTTTTGCTCCTTTATCACGGATTTCGTTACGGATGAGATTTAGTGTGGTGAGTGTCTGTTGGTATGAGAGAGACTGAATACTTCAGCTTCCGTGAAATGAGATCAATATTACCGTGTTCGTTCGCAACGCATCCGCCATGTGTTGTGCTCCTCTAGCACCGATTCTGCTCCAATCGAGGCTTAGTGTGGTGAGTGTCTGTAGGTATGAGAGAGGCTGAGTACTTCACCTTCCCTGTAATGAGATCAATATTACCGTGTTCGTTCGTAACGCATCACCAATGAGTTGTGCACCTTTAGCACCGATTTCTTTATGAGCGAGATCTAGTGTGGTGAGTGTCTACATTAAAGTAATATATTATGAAAAGGACAAGTAGGAAAGAGAGTCTTTGATGACACTTCCGACTGTATATGTGTCATATGAAATTGTCATGTTTGGGGACGATTTATAGGGAGGAGTTGGATCTAGATGTTATTTTTCTGGTGTGGATTGTGATGGTAGTTGTTGCATAGGAAAGGTTGCGTTTAGAAAAGAGGTGCTGTGTTGGCAATATAGACACGAGATTTGTGCGAGCTGATCGATTGGAAAGAGTAAGATTTAACTAGCAATAGTTATTGATTGTAGCGAGATATCTCTTTTGAGGCTGCCCTCGAATGAAATTGAGATCCTACTCTTGTGATATGTGGGAGTTGGATTTGGTGTGGGTGAGAATGAATATAGGCATAGACCCAGACATTGTGGAGATCAGGTTGCTTCATTTGGGAAGTTTCCTCAGAATTGATAGTTGATGCACTTTTGTATCGAATAGTTCAACATACATAGGAGAAAGACGAGAGAATGGAGGAATGCTTGATTTGATGGGTTCACACTGTGATCGTCGGATTCGATCAAATTATTCTGAGGACTATGAGATTAATTTACCTCAGCCTATGAGGAAATTTACGACCTCAAATATCATTAGGCTTATGTGCAGCACAACCGACAAGAGTGTTAAGATGCCAAGTAAGCTTACTCGATATCGCTCATAGGTGCTCAAGATCTGATTGAGTCGCAGGGAAATATTTTGCATTGAACAAAATAGCGTCAGCGCATTTTGATGATCCATAATTCGATAAACAATTTCGACGGGTAATGTGGAAAAAGTGTGCATGTTGTATTTCAGTCGTGCAGCAAACCGTACCGTAGAGACTGTAAGCTATAAAAAATGCTTGACTTTGTTCGTTATGAGTAGTAACTCGTGGTGGTGATGTAGTTATATATGTTTTTGACGAAAACAAATGACGTGTAATCGTTTCAACGTACATATATTTCGAACAAGCGATAGATGGCTCTCTTCTTCGGTCATCAAGATTATTTCATTGGTTATAGTCTACACCCAGTAAAAATTCATTTCGTTCCACCTATTATTTAATAATAAAACAAAATACACTGGTTCGATGAATTTCATAGCGATAGTGGTTTGTCATCAGATTTAAACATTCGAAATCATCGATGTTTTGTTCGTCAATTCGTGAATAATATAGTCTTTGTATTGTAGATCATAGTATTGAATAATATCAACAAATATGGGTGATGCTGACAGACTTGTTAAAATGGAAATCGATTACTCATCGGTAGTCGATCAGAAGTTGAAAGAATGCGACGAAATTATGAAGGTAAATTCAAAAAGTCGATTTTTCGAAAATCATTTTTCATCTGTTGTGTAGGATCCATCGAAATTAAACGATGCTCTTGAACGATTGTTACCACTGGAAAAACAAACCCGTACCGTAAGATTTTTCTAACGTTAGTTACGTTTTGTCCGTAGCGAAGCTTTTGTCTGTCTAGGCGGCTGATGCGATCTCAACAGGACGTGTTCTCGTTGCCATTGTGAAATACTGCTATGCAGGAAAACAATGGGAACTTTTGAATGAACACATCGTGACATTATCCAAACGTCGTAGTCAATTGAAACAAGCAATTACAAAAATGGTCCAAGAAGCTTATGAACTCGTAGAGAAAACACCGGATTTAGATACAAAATTGAAACTAATCGAAACACTTCGCAATGTCACAACGGGCAAAGTAATATATACGAGAAAACATGCATCTTCTACTTATTTTTTGCAGATTTTCGTTGAAAACGAACGTGCGCGATTGACAAAAAAATTAGCGGATATTTACGAAAGTCAAGGCAAAACCAAAGAAGCAGCGGAGATTTTACAAGAACTTCAAGTAGAATAGGTTGATTGACAAACAACAATTCCTACCATTTTTTTGTTATTAGGTCGAAACTTATGGTACCATGGATCGACGTGAAAAATTGGAATTTTTATTGGAACAGATGCGTTTATGTTTGGCCAAGAACGATTATATCCGAACACAAATCATCTCGAAAAAGATCAATACAAAATCGTTTGATGATGAAGCATCACACGTAAGAAAAAAGCGTCATTTCAATTCGATCTACTAATGCATTTCTCATTTAGGATTTAAAATTGAAATATTACGAGCTAATGATCGAGATGGATTTACACGACAAGAACTATTTCAATGTTTGTCAACATTACAAGCATTATTATGAAACACCGCGTATCAAACAAGATCCGGAAAAAATGAAACAAGCTTTGAAATATGTTGTACTCCATTTGGCTCTATCACCTTACGATAATGAACAATCGGATTTCTTACATCGATTGTTTCTCGATAAAAATCTCGAACAAATTCCAAAATACAAGTAAAACTTCCCTAAATGCTTTTCCGAGTCGCATTTTTTGCTTTAGAGAGTTGTTACAACGCTTCAAAACTCAAGAACTTATTCATTGGAAGGACATTCAAAAGAATTTTGAACAGGAATTGAAAAATGGCACAGCTGATGACCGCGCAACGAATGTCTTTACTAATGATGACGACGGAAAGAAACGTTGGGAAGATTTTAAAGTTCGCGTTGTCGAACACAATATGCGAATTATGGCCAAGTACTATACACGTGTTCGCACACAAAAAATGGCGGAATTACTTGATTTAACCAAAGATGAAGCCGAACAATTCTTATCAAATTTAGTTTCGAATAAAACAATAAGCGCGAAAATCGATCGCCTTCAAGATATCGTGACATTTCAACAAAAACAATCGCCACAAGAAATTCTCAATGAATGGTCGGTCAATTTAAATTCCTTAATGACAATTATCAATAAAACATGCCATTTAATCAATAAAGAAGAAACAGTTCACGCTGTTCGATCATAAACATAAGAACGTTCACGTTTTTTCTTCGTTTCAAATCTAGAAAATGTGATGTCTGCGCCTCTTTTTTTCTTGTTGATCTTTCTCTTTTTATTATCTTATTCTATCTCTTCGCAAAGAAAAAAAACCGAAGAATAAACTAAACCTGTGCTCTCTAGATGACGTTGATACGTTGTTTATTATCATGTCTGGTGGGTTTGTCGCTATTGCATAGTAAGTAAAGGGATTATAATGAATGTTTTGGTGGTGGAAATCTTCTCAATCAAATTTTTTACTGAGCGATCATATTTTTCATGTAATTAGGTTTGCATGCTGTGCAATGGCCAAAACCGATTGCTTCTCCATCTCAAGCACAAGCTATAACTGATTTGATTTCACGAGCACTCGATGGAAGCTCAGCTGCGAAACATTTTGAAGTTGTACTGAACGCAGATCTAGCGATGAATGGCAAAGACGTTTTTGAACTTTCCGATGGATCAACAGCAGGTTCAGTACGAATATCGGCATCGACAGGTGTAGCAGCAGCTTGGGGTTTTAACTATTATTTGAAATATGTTGCAAATAGTTCAGGTTTGATACAGCAAAGATAATCATTGCCAAAAAATCAACTTGTAATTCGTGTAGTTTATTGGTCAGGAAAGAATATTCGACTGGTTAGTTCAACTTTGATTCCAGTGCATAGGACGATTCGTATTGCTGCCAATGATTTGTATCGTTGGTATGGAAATCCGTGTACATTTAGTTATTCGGCTGTATTTTGGAATTTCACCAGGTAGAAAGACGTTCTTCATTGTTTGTTTTTCTTCTCCGCTTTTTATTTGAAGATGGGAAAAAGAAATTGACTGGATGGCCATGAATGGAATCAATATAGTTTATGCAACAACTGGAATGGAATACATCTATAATCAAGTCTCGAATTCATATTCAACTACTTGTTACTCATTGTTTTCTTCAGGTTTTTTTGCGAATGGGTTTTCCACAAAGTGAACTCGATAATTATTTCACTGGCCCCGCTTTTCTAGCTTGGTAAAAGAAGTTTCCTTTTCTTATCAGCATTTGTCTGTATGCATTGTCGCAGGTTTCGTATGGGCAATCTTCAAAAACATGCTGGCCCTTTATCTTCTCGTTGGCATCAATCACAATTTCAACTTGCTAAACAAATCATTCAACGAATGACCGATATTGGTATTATTCCAGTTTTACCAGCATTTACTGGTTTTATGCCACAAACTGCTCCCGCGTAAGTGAGATGATAGCCATTGATCTATCTAAAAGGACGTTTTTATTTTACTTTTCAGACGTTTCCCGCATGCGAAATTTTACAAATCATCAGACTGGGTTGGCTTTGGTTGCAATGAATCATGGTTTGCATTTTACCGTCGAGCATAGTTTCATTATCGTTACATAGAATATTCACTTTAGTTTACCCTATTTGGATCCTACTGATCCATTCTTTCAAACAGTTGGAGTCGCACTATTGAACGAAGTAGAATTTTTCTCAAACTGTAAATCAAACCTGAATGAAATCTTTGTTGCTAGACAATCACCTCGCTTAATTTGACATCTCATTACTATGCTTGTGATTTGTTCAATGAAATGACCCCACCGAATAGGTACGTTGTATTTATTCTTGATTACTCGAACTTTTTTAACTTTCAGTGATCTTCAATATTTGGCCGATGTGAATGCCGGGATCTATCAAGCCATGCAAACAGTGGATCCCAATGCTGTTTGGTAGAATTTTACTTTGATCTTCAAATGGTCGCCTTTAAGATGTTACTGATTTCTAGGGTAATGCAAGCTTGGTTGTTTCTATCTGGCTTTTGGACACCTGTTCGAGCAAAAAGTTATCTCAGCAAAGTTCCTATTGTAAGAATCAATCTTGTCTTCTCTATTCATTACATTTATACGCTAAATTTCAACATCAGGGTCGTCTAATTCTGTTAGATTTATTCTCAGAGGCTATTCCTCAGTATACGCGTTTTGAATCTTTCTATGGTCATTATTATATTTGGAATATGTTACACGATTTCGGTGGCAATAGTTTTCTCTTCGGCTCATTGGTCAATGTTACGAAAGTCTGTTGAACGCGATCTGAATGATCTTAAACTTCTTTTTTCATTTTAGGGACCACAATTTGCACGTCAATTTTCAGGCGATCATATGATCGGCGTTGGTATTACTATGGAAGGTATCAATCAAAACGAAATTATGTATGAATTTGCACTTGAACAATCATGGCGAAGTGCAATGAGTGATGGAGAACTAGTTGATTGGTAATTTCGTTTTCTTTCAGAAAGAATTTTTTCTTTTCATAGGGTGGGAAGTATTTAGGCTTGCTGATTTTGCTGCACATCGATATGGAAGCGACCGCCCGGTACCTGATACCGCAATATATGCATGGCAAATCTTGGGAACTTCAGTCTACCTCAATAATCCAGATGGTGATCGATCAGTTATGTTGAGTAGACCTGAACTTTACGACGAGCAAGATGTAAGTCGTTTGAAATGGCTGATTTTATATAACATCCGTGTTGTAGATCAATTTTGACTTGACGGCTTTATTTTCTGCATGGGAGTTGTTGATTATTGCATCAAATGATCTTCAGTCCGATTTGTTTCGATACGATCTAGTTGATATTACGAAAGAAGTTCTTCAATATCACTTTTATAGTGCCTACACTCAATTAATGTCTGTATATAATCAAAGTGATCTTTACGGAGTTAGGTATGACACGGTCTTTCTATCTATATGTGTAATTATCATTAAATTCGTTTGTTTTAGTACGCAAGCGGCAATCCTTGTTGATATTCTGGGTGATACAGAATCAATTTTAGCATCAGATCGTCGATTTTTATTAGGAAACTGGATCCGAGATGCATTACAATTTGCTCAAGGTGAAGAAGATATCCATTTCTATAATTTCAATGCTAAACTTCAGGTTTCCATTTGGGGCAACAATTATACATTACCATTGTATGATTATGCAAATAAATTTTGGTCGGGAATGATCCAAGAGTATGTGATTCGATCGATTCGAATAAATCAGCATCTTTTTCTATTTGTTGTATAGGTATTATGCTAAACGTTGGTATGTGTTCTTCGATATTGTATTGAAAAGTCTTGTTGACGTAAGAAGTTTTGAATGTGTCATTAAAATACGTTTTCAATTGATTTAGGGTGTACCAATTGATAAAAAAGTTTTAAATGAACGTCTCTTTCTCGAAGCTGAGTTGCCGTTTTTCATGTTAGAAACAAAAACTTATCCGACAACTGAACAAGGTGAATTTTAGATTTGATTTAATGTAAGGAAAATCTTCTTTGTCATTTTTAGGCGACTCAATCCTTATTGCTCGACAACTCTTCAACAAATATCATTTATCCCTGAATGATATTCATTCACCTAAGAAATCATCGGCAAAGAAGGGATATTCTTTGAAACATCGTGTCCATTGACATAAATCCGCATAAAATTCGATGTAATTCGCTCCTTTTTTTGTGATTAAACTGCAATTTAATTTAAATTTTACAAAATAAAGATATCAAAACGTCTTCAGTACATTAAATTAACAGATAAGACATGAAACCTTCGTAGCCATGATTCATAAAAGTCAACTTGTCTTCGATATGAATATTTATCAAAAAATAACCTAATTGATTTATGCAAAATCTCTCTTTTTTTCTTCAACAATCGTCATTCGAAATCTCGAGTTAAACTAATCCCCATAAATCATTACGCAAACAATTGACGAAAGAGTAAAAACACGTATTGATATGCCACACATTTGCTTATGCGATGACATTCATAAAAGCAACACGAACAAAGAAAAAGTATTCGAAGAGATACTCAGGTAATCCTATTCGAATTGAAGAGCAAGAAAGATACGATATTGGAATATACACATTCGATCATACGCACACATACACTTGAGTCAATCCACTTTACTTTTAACTCGATCTATTCTTTAGAACAGAACGACAGAAAATGTGGCCAAGGTTATTTTTATTATGTTTCGACTGATATGGTTGCTCTGACGAACATTACTGCTGCTGCTTAACAACTGTTCTCTTCTCTCAAAAGCAATGCAAAAGTGAAGCCTTATCTCGTAGAAAAATGACGATGACGAGAAGAGAGAGAGAGAGACTCATGACTCTTATCATTTGGAGCATATTGCATTATGCCATTCCTAGAAAGTTACATTTATGAAAATATTTTTCTTAACAGGCCTCAGCTTATTGGAAAAAATTGTCATCAAAGAGTTACAGAGTGTGTAACAACATGAACATCATAGGCTTTGTTAAGAGAAATTTCAGAAAATATGCGTCTTTACATGTCGGTATCGTAAGATCGACTGATAATGAAATAGCATCGGGTTTGTGCTTTATATAGACCGACCGACCGATCGTAGGAAAGAAACGAAAAAAAAAGAAAGAAAATCTAAACATTTTTCTTCTATTTGAGCCATGTGGTACAGGAGAAAAGAAAGAGGCTTCTCTGACGGACATCGTCGTTTAATATCGAAGAAATGTTTTGCCCTCGACATGTTTTCACGTCGTACAAATCGATGTTCGCATGAATGATAAAATAAAGTAGAATGACCACTGTACATAGCTGAATAAATTAAAATAAAGACATAACAAACATCAACACACATACACACAAAAGACACGGTTACAGTTGAATCATTTTCATCACAGTGTTGCTTAGGCGATCGATCGACTGATTCTATAGACGAACAGGCTGTTGGTAATCGATAGTAGTAGTAGTCGTCGTCGTCGTAGTGTTCGTTGATGATGAAAATGGCGTAAAATAATAAGGTGGTGATGATTCATTTGTCGAAAAAGTATTTCCAGTTGTTGCTGTTGATGTTACGGCTGTCGGTGGCGATGGTGGTGCATTTTCTAGATAATTTGAATTAGGTGGATAAGGTTGGAGATCTAGATAGATTGGTGCAGTTGGAATAGAAACAAATTGTTGTTGTTCATTCGGATAGATTTGATGTTGATGACGATGTTGCGGCGAACGCGGAACAGATTGGCAAGTTTCATGGTGTTTCAATGACGCAGATAAAAGTACGTCATTTGTCGATTGCTGATGATAACCGTTCTCATTTGTTGATAGTAGTTTTGGTACTGGCGATGTGAAATGATTTATTGTCACTGTTGAATTGTTTACTGAAATATGTCTGGGATTCGGTGACGTTGACATAAGTATATGATGTTGACTACTGTCGGATTCGTTGTCCGATTCCTCAGCAGATGATATAGATGGATCAATTTTGTCTGTTATGGACGTTGTCTGTTGATTCTGATTTGTTTGTCGTGTACGAGTTTTTGTCACTTGCCTTGTGCATTTAAAACGCTTCTGTCGGCGAAGATAGCAACCGTTTTCGAACATGTTTCCCGCCTCAGGATGTAGAGTCCAATACGAACCCTTACCAGGACGATCCGGTCCGCGTGGTACTTTAACGAAACAGTCATTGAACGATAACGAATGTCGAATGGAGTTTTGCCAACGTTGTTGGTTTTGTCGATAATAAGGAAAAACATCCATAATGAATTGATAAATATCATTCAACGTAACCATCCGAGATGATGTGTGTTGAATAGCCATAGTAATCAGACTAATGTAAGAATACGGAGGTTTCGAGGGTGCATTACCACGACGATTTGCTACAACTGTAGCTGGAATCGTTGACTGTTGAATCGAAGAAACTAAACCAATATTTGCTTTTTCCATTGGATGGTTTAAATCATAGGATGAAGGTGTTAACATATAGTTTGATGGATTATCGTAAAAGTGCATGCCTGGTGCGTCTGTTTCAAGTTTTGCTGTTACTAATGATGGTACCGGTACCAGTGTTGCATAATCCAATTGATGATGGTCAAGCAATGAACTTGATAATTGCTGTTGTTGATGTTGGTGATGCTGGTGATGCTGCTGCTGCTGTTGTTGCTGTTGCTGTTGTTGTTGGAAGCGGACAAGCTCACTTAATTCGGGTTTGTATTCGTGTACGTTATTATTTGATGATGATGACGATGATGTTGATTCATCGCCGATACTTGTTTGATGTTTATGCATATTTTATAAAGAGCGTATTATGTCAATAAGTATTTAGTATAATATCAGAAATTCGTTTTCTCGTTGCTTATCGAATCGTCATTCGAAGATTTCAGAAAAGCGGCTTGACTAGATTGATAAAAGAAATTTCAAGTTGAATACAAACAAGTTGCTTCGTTTTTATTCTTGCAACGATAACGATAAGAGTGAGACAAAAAAAATGACGACGAATACTCGGTAAGTAAAATATGGAGACAGAGAAAAGGGAGAGAGAGAGAGAGAGAGAGAGAGAGAAGGAGAAAAAACGGAAATGAATCTCTCACGTAAAAAAATCTGCTTTTTATTTTCTTCTCCTCAATCTATGAGTAAAACGTTCTTTTGCTTTTTCTATCCAACGACATTTAATGTATGTGCCCATTTTTTTTTATTAGATTTCGACCGACGAATCATTTCTTCTTTCTTCTTGGATAAAGAAAAAGAAAGAAATTGAGAGAACGTGTTCTTTCACCATTGTGACAAAGATTGGGAAGAAACATCGGGCTCGAGTTAAAAATAAAACGACAATAGAGCGAGAGAGAGAGAGAGGCGGAGGGCTTGATTTCTTATCTACGCAAATCAGGAGAGAATGAAGGTGAAAAAGAAAGGCAGACAAGTCTTTTTTTTTATTAAGAAATAAAATCTTCGCCTATGATTCGTCAGAAAAAGAAATAACATTCTTGCCATTTCTTGTTAAATGGACATGTCCGTTATGCGATATGAGTGACTTCGCTTCACGCCTTTTTCTCTAATGAATTTGTCTTGATTATCAACAGGACGTTCTTATAGACATAACCGAAAGAAAAAGAATCAGCTTAGAACAACACCAAAATCAACAAGTAGTTTTTTTTTGTTAGATTCTTTCAAAAAACGGAAATAGCTTCGATTCCATGCATTCGCAAGTGAATGCGACATTCTCGTCTTTGTAATCATTTTAGCACGTTGATAATCTTCAATATTTGCTGAACGTGCATCTTATTAATATTACCTGTTTGATAAATATGAAAGCAAAAAAAAGAATATAAAGATCGATGAAAAAATTTCTCTTGACAGTCATTATTACTTCGAGTCAAAATATTGCACGGAAAGATCTCTGCGTTTTATGAAGAATCGGTTTGATCGTAATAATTGAAAAGATTATCCAGACGAAATGTTGCATCGGTTGGAAGAATTTGTTGAAATAGATATTGATGATTGGTTTCGTAATGTAAACCATTATTATTCGAATCATAGATCTGTGTGGAATATTCAGTTTTATATGGACAAAAATATTGCTCCGAGGAAGCCATAGGTAGAGTCGGAGAATCGATTGTTTTAATTGAAAGATTCGGTTCGGTCGGTGGTGAGGATGTTTTATCTTTGATTTTAAAACGTTTTTGTCGACGAAGATAACAACCATTTTCGAACATATTTCCGCTATCAGGATGTAGAGTCCAATACGAACCTTTACCCGGTCGATCAGCATGTCGAGGAACTTTGACAAAACAATCATTGAACGATAACGAATGGCGAATAGAATTTTGCCAACGCTGTTGATTTTGTCGATAGTATGCATAATGATCTTGAATGTATTGGTAGATTTGGGATAATGTACACATACGTTCAGGAGAATTATTAATCGCATGAGCGATTAGAGATATGTAGGAGTAAGGAGGTTTTGAAGTAGCATAACGTCGTGCGTAAGAAGCTGAAGACCAAAGATCATTGTTCGAATACGTAGAAGGTATTGAATTCATTGATGATTGATTCTTCCTAAGAGTGACGATGGAGGGAGAAGACGAAGAAGAGGGAAAGAAGGGAGGGATTGGTTGTTTATATATCGATCCATTCGTTTTTTCCTCCTTCTCTGCTTCCGGATGACCATCATTAACGAAAGAGAACAAGGTCAATTGGTTGAAATATCAAAATCTTCCGTCTCGTCGTTTTAGTCAACAATTAGGGATAGATAGTTAATCCATCAAGGCGAGATAGATGAGACATTATACTGTTGAGTTGTGCCGCCATCGCGAACATAACATTCAGACTTTTAATCATTCTCTGTACGAACTGATATTGTTGATTCGGTGTAATTTCATCTCGAAAAAATTTCTCCAGTTTACCGGTTAAGTAAACATAAAAAGATTCAACGTTTAGAATGAAATTTCTATATTACAAGTCGGTAAATAAAACTGACCAATTATAAGCATTGGTCAATCGGTCATCGAACATATATATTTACTCTTTTTTTAGCCAACATTCTTTTCATTTCTTTCTCTATCTAAAAGTGTTAATTTGCAAACATTCTCGTTTTTTTTTATCAAAGAAAAAGTCTCTATCATGTACACAGAAGTCAATTTGAAATTTGGAAAGAGACAAAAGCTTGAACGATTTTCACTACATGAAAATGGTATGCTAGTTCTCTGTACGCCAAGTCACTTGACGAGATGTTGATAGTTGACGAGTTGGGAACAATCAGTGTGAAGCTAGTACCAACAAACGATGTGTTAGCTAAAAACATTTTTACTAAATAAGTTCCACCCCTGAAAATTATACCATTCGACTCAGAATTTAATTCTCCATCGAATAGAATAGGTTTTATCGACGACGGGAATTCGTTTTCAGAAAATCCTTAGTTTTGCGGTGCTAGCGTCACACCGATGAGATTATCACTATATGCCGAATCGATCGGAGTTTGAACTTCTTTGTCGTTTTTCATTGGTTTGCTCTAAAAGTAAAAATTTCCTGATTCGCTTATGCATTGATATTCGTCTGAACTCACAATTGATTGTGAGTCGATCATTTCATGAACGGGCAATATTGCGTCGCTTTCTGTAGTCGCCAGCCCTGGTCATTTCGGCTCGGTCGGTTCCAGCCGGTTAAGTTTATTTTCCGACAATTTCCTGGCCACAGGATTCCGGCCAGTAGTTCAACTGCAGGTTTCGGTCGTTTCCTGCGAACTCTGAGCCGGAGACGATCGGGAAGTGACCGGAAATACCCTTTTAACTTTCGGCCGGAATCCGGCGGCAAGGATTTCGCCGAATCCGATCAAAACCGACTCAAATTTAGAAGGATCCAGTTGACGGAACGATTGACCTGGGATTGGACTGATCGTTAACTTGAAGATGAGACTGACTGCAATTGTGTTCTTCATTCCGCAGAGACTCTTCACGACTTGAATTCGATGATGGTGTATCTTAGCATTACTAGTTTGACGATGAATAATGTTCATTGTCACTGCCTGAAAGAGGTCATCAAAATAATTGCTTTTTTCTGCCTGAATAAATTTACCGAGAGCGTCAGCGATGGCCAGATTTGAGATCTTTGTCCGCGCTATTTGCGCAGCTTCTCTAGTTGACATTACTCGGTGAAAGAAAAATCAATAAATGAGATGATTTCTGTTTTGAGAGATTCTCGAAGCCAAATTCAAATAAAGAATCATCTGTTTCACTACCAACCAATGGATTCTTATACTATTCTATGGGCACTATACTATATATATGGATTTAACTTTTGTACTTGTCATAGAGACATTTATATAGATTGTTTCTTCAGATAGAGCTGTTGCTGTGCAAAGTCGGATAAAATCATTCGGAAAGGAATAAAAACGGTTGCATAGCCGAACGATACCCAGGTTAACAGATCCGATGCTGGATCCGACCATCCGACAAAATCCGATCGAATTCCTGGAAACGGAGTTGCATTGGAATCCGACTAGAAAAATCCCGTCGGTTGTTGCAAATTTTATGAGCGATCTTTATAGCTATGTTCTATGATGACCCTTAGAAAATCCATGTTTCGGACCCGGCGAGATCCGATGGGACCCGAGTATGGGATTGTTCGACCTGGGTAGTCAAGACTCTTGACTCAAGAGTGTGTTAGTTCCTCAATCAACAATACCTATAACTATTGATTTACGATGAAATCGACTTGCAAACCATGTATATAATTAAGTTTCTTGACGTAGCGAATTACTAAAATTAGTGATGTAGAGGAAGAAGCCTATGAAAACAATCGTCCATTAATTGGCAACAAATGGGATTGTTTTATAGGAAGATTGTAAGCTTTATCTGAACAATTCTGCTCATACATATCCTTGAAGAGTTCTCATTCATTCACAGACAATATAAAATGAACCAGTACAAGACGAGCAACGTATTTATTTCAATCTCGAATATAACCTTTGCCTGTTGAAACGAAAAGATGAAGTGCTTCAAGAGCTATAAATGAATATTTAGGAAAATATTTTCCTGAAAAGGAAACTGCTAATGAGCATATCTTCAGATTGCAGTATTTTTGTCTCCAGTATATGTTAGAAACATTTTCTTTCATGTCACTTAATTGCTTTTAAATGCAGAAATTGATCACTGTGAATTTCTGAATGATCTGTAAGACAAATCGATAACCCGTTAGCACCAAACCCATTACTAGAAATAATCGTTGATGAATTCAACATCGCTAGAGCGCGTGAGTAATTTTGAATATCTTTCCATGAAAATTTCCTTTGTGGGTCTATTTTGAAATAAATTATTATCAAAAGTAGAAAACGATGCGTGGTAATTTATATGACGTTTCTTTTGTTTCAGTCAATGGAAAAACAACATTCCACACTACAGACAGGTAACAAAAAGAAAAGTAAGACCTAACAAAATCATTTGTCTATTGATATGATCCAACAGCACGTGATGGATCAACTGTTTGTTGAGCTTGTAAGGACGGTTGTTGTTGTAAAGTCATTGATGTCAATTGTTTACCAATTCTATCATGAACCTGAACGAAAGTATTCAATTCAAAGAAATCTCTCGAAATGAATTGCCTCACTTCCATGTATTTCGCTACGCATCGATCGATACACACGGATTCACCTTTTGATAATTCGGAGTCTTTATATCGTGGAATAACACATTTCTTATGGCAAGCTGTAGTCATTCTTTATCGAAAGAAAGGGAAAATTCATTGAAGTTCAAAAGAATTGGGTTTGCTATCAGTCTACCTTTTGTAGAGATCTTGCATCATTTCGATTTCAAGTTCACCTGCTGCTTGCAATTGATTGTTACTGAGTTCACCTGCCATAATATTATTTTTCTATCTGTAAAGTAAACGTACGATCGTCATCCTAATAAACATATTTGTTTTGTTTCAAAAGAATTTTTCTTTGTACATAATGAGAAAAAGAAATGGACAAATAGAGAATAAACACAATGAGATCAAGAGAGTGAGAGAGAAAAATATATGTATAATAATGAATAATAGACACAGCACGGAACAGAAGTGATCACTGTACTTTGTTTTGTTTTAATAAACATGAGAGACGACAAGAGAGAAAAAAAATAGAGATTGAAATTTGTGATTTCAACGAACATTTACATGATGCTTGGAAGATCTGTTATGATTTGAAGGTGATTGCCATCGATCTGGAACTGGAAGATCTTCGAGTGGAGTGAATCGAAATCGTGCTTCGAAGTTTTGATCATAGATAATGGGAAAATTGGATGATTGGTCGGATCGGCGATCCGTGTATGGATGATCAACAAAATCAGATGACGTTCGGCGTATTGTACCATTAGGAATGACACCACGAGGTGGTGGAGGGGGTGCATTCGAATTAGTTGGCTTGGGAAGTCTTGAAGAAGTATTTGGCAGAGAGTGTCCATTATTCTCTGGACAATATGGTGGTGGAGGTGGAGGTGGTGCACGTGTGATCTTTTGTTGAGAACCTTCAGCAAAGAAAACTGGTTTGATGAAAATAAGAGAAGTCAAAGAAATAAAACCTGTGGAAGACATTTGCAACTGTGATAGTTTGGGTTTATTTTCATTAGGAGGCGGCGGCGGCGGTTCTCGCGGTGGTAGTCGTGGAACTTGTTGAAGTACCGATCGTGTTTGCTCGATCGAAGTTTTCACAACTGGTTGATTAATCGGTGGCGGTGGGGCGAATTGTGGAATCGATGGCTTTCTCACTTTAACTGTTGAGACATTGGGACCAGCTGGTTTTAGCACCGCAGCAGTTAATTGATTCGCTGTAATGAAAGGAGTTGTACTTGGTCTATCATTAATCTTTGGTCGATTCGTCAATGATGTTCTTGTGGTATTGTTGCTATTATTATTATTATTATTCGTCATATTATTACTTGAACCGCCAATTATTGGTGCACTTCGGTCATTGGTTACTGCTTTCCGTAAACCACCTTTTCTAAAATTTCCAATTTCATTCAAAAGACCAGATCGATCAGCTCCATTCGCCATTGCTAATCCTGATGGTGGAGGAGGAGGAGGAGGGGGTGGTGGTGGTGGAGCAGGCATCTGAAAAAAAACTGAAATGCTTTGATAGAAATTGTGATAAGAGGCTACATAAACTAGTCTAGAGGAGAAAAAAAATGTCACTGCAAAATTATGGTTTGAAAAGAACTGTTCGTGATAAAGACAATAAAAAAGAAGAGAAAGAGACACACATAGAATTTGTTTTTTTTTTCGTGTGTATGCAATGATGAATCATTGAAATAGTCAGACAAGTTATGCTGTATAAAACGAGAAACAACGATTAAAAAAAGACACGAATCGCAAAGAAAATACTAACGTAGATTGACTGTTCTTATTATGTATTTTTTCTTGTGTATATATAAGTACTGTTCTAACAAATCCCTGAAAGCAGAAGTAGTAGTAATAGAAGATTAATACGATTAATAATAAACTGAAGGAGCAAAAAAAACAAAGAAAATCACAACAGAAAAGTTTCGATTAAAGGGATTTATTAATGACGAATGTTTTTTGGTTAGAGCTGCTGCTGTTGTTCTGGTACGGATAGATTCTGTTTCGAATACGATCGAACTCCCATATCCAATTGTTGCTTAGTGAGTTTCTGTCGATTTTCTTTTCGTTTTTGTATAAGCGGAATTGCGAATAGGATAAGACCGCTGATTAAAATCGAACCACCGAATATCAAATATGGCCATAGGTAAGGACGTTCAGATCCAGTAAAGAAGTCACGCATCGTACCTGAAATAGTATTGCAGAAGATCACTAATTGAGACTTTTTCTTTCGCATGCCTTACCACAGATCGGTGTGCCAATCGCAACGGCAACACCTTGAAATAATAGAAGTGTACCGAATGCATCGGACAGTTTATGAACACCAACTAAGTCAACCACGAGAATTGATGTTAAACCGACATATCCACCCGAAAAAAATCCAAATAATGCGGCGTATACCATATGTGTGTATACGAGAGAAGTACAAAAAGGTGCAGCCATTGTTGCTACACCAGCAATAATCAATGTTGAATTATATAATGCTAAACGATTGACCTGTAAAAAAGAAAAAAGGAAAACAAACTGAAGACATCCTACATCAGATGAATTTACCCATGAGCGATCACCTAAAAATCCAATAACAACACGACCAAAGCAATTCGCAATTCCAATTGTCATGATGATCCAATTCCGTTTATCTTCGGGAACATTGGCATCAGTTGCTAAGTCATTAGCAAAGTTGTATGGAACATTAAACCCAAGACTTGTTAAAAAATTCGATATGGCGAATAAGGCAAATGCTGCGTCTTTCAACAGGTTCAAATCGATTTGTTCAGCAATTTGAGCAAAAAATGATTTCTTAACTCGAGGTTTGTTCACAACGTCACTTGTTGTTGTTATTATTTGGTTGTGATATTCGTCGGCATTTTCATTATATAATGGTATATTAGGTAAACTACCTTGATAAAGCGCATCTTTACGAGAAAGAACAACGGAAGGATCGGCTGTGTCATCTTCAGGACGGATTTTCTGTGTCAAATCATTTCGATATGGAGATGCAGGTTGTTCAACATCGTCGGAAGAAAACTGCTGTTCGCTAGGAACAACAGCAGTTGATTCACGTGTGTTTGGACTAATTGTTCTGAGTGCAATTTCACTAAAATCGAAATAAAAAACAAATATTTAGCGACTACTTGTGCCATCAAGGTTTTTATGATCTGTTTTAGAAAAATATTGACTAGATATTACTCATAGAACGCGAAAAATGGATCCTATTTCGATCAAATATTTACATAGATAATAAAACAGTCTCAATTACAAACCTTTCTTTGCCTTTTGGAAGTAGTTGACTTTGTTGCTCATCGAATGGATTGTTAGTAATCGTTCCGCTATTCAGTGCCAAGCGTTTCTGTTCAGCACGTGCTTTCTTTTCTCTACGACGAATTTCGCTTGTCTCAGTAGCCAGTGGTACCTATGAAGAAGAATAATTTTTCCATCTATTCGACTCGACATGCCACTATGCTATATGTATTACCATCAAAGCACCAAAAATAATGCAAATAGAGATGATACCAGCTTCAAGCAAAAGAGCACCATCATAGTCAAACCACAAAGGCTTATTGATGACATATGGCATTATTAATGGAAACACAAGTGTACCCAATCCGGAACCGCAAACTGCGATACCCATCGCAAAAGAACGCTTCGCTTCGAAATAATAACCGACTGAAACAATAGCTGGCAGATAGATCATTCCAAAGCCGATACCTATTAGAGCAGATTAGGAATGATTTGAATGATTATTGAACCTACCGCCGACGATAGCAATAGTCAAATAATAAAACCATATATTTGCCCAGAAATAACTTGCTAAAAATCCGACAGCAGCTATAGAAGCGCCTACGATTGTTACTAATCGACAACCATACGTATTAACAAATATGGTAGCAATCGGTCCTACGAAGTAACATATTTCGTTCGTAAAAAGACATCAGATAAAAGTGAGGATAATCTTACGTACCTACGCCAAGTGTTATGGCTGGTAAAACACCAAAAATTCCTGAAACTAAACCTCGCCCTTCACCTAATCTGCTTCTCATCGGATGCAAGAATACTTCGCCCATCGAATAGGTAATTCTATCATATAAAGAAGAAGGAGAAATGTTTAACAAATTTCATTCAAATTAACTGACCCATCCATGATAAAATGAATCATAAAAGACGCTAGCACAATTATCCATCCCCAACCTCCATCAGGCGCCACAGCGCCAGGAACTGCACTTTTTGTCGTACCTCCACTTGTCATAGCAGTAAATATTCCATTCTGAAATAAAAAACAAAAGAAACGATCATCACAGCTGTGCATCATTTCAATAGCAATTAGACCATCAGTCAGATTTCTTCTTACACAAAGGCAAGAAATGGTCGTATAACCACTGCTTATTGCCTTTATAAAGAGAAACAAAAGACGTAAAACAATGTGAAAACTTACATGCATGTTTTTTCTTTATCTACTCAACATACATATTTGCACGTCGTACATGTTTCTAGTCTTTCATTTACATTCGAAATATATGCAGAACGAAGAAGATGGAAGAAAGAAAAGATTCGACCTTTTTTCAGACGAATATGAATAACATCAAACGAATATTTTGAAAATAATGAAAAAATAAACAATTATTTGAATTTTTCTCGTAAGCGATGCCAACGTTCTACAACCGGTGTAAGTGACTCCCAGATGATTTTATAACCATATTTAACATAGAAACTAGAAGAGTACAAAAACGAAATTATTATCGTGCTTTATTACACACTTACATGCCAAATAACACTCCACCTAAATGAGCTGAATGATCGAGATAGCGCCAGCGCATTATAGTACCAAGAAGATCAAAGGACACCATCGTGATAAGAGCCTGCAAATGAAATAACAGAGCATTTTTTTTTTCGTTCTTTTCATGAAAAGAGATGCTAGATAGAGATAAGTGAAGAGATTTAATTACCGATTCGGCGGAAAAAGTAAAGAACGGTAGGAATATAATGGCCAATTGTGCATCAGGAAACTGGGTACAAACAGCACCTAACAGCGCCATTATCGAGCCGGACTAGAACAAAAAGTCAAGTTCACATTCTTTGCAATATCTTCACATTCTTCCGGGGGAGGGGGTAAGAAAAATTCTCCTTCTACGGAATTTACCATTCATGATTGACATAGATCAAATAATATCTACTGGGAGTATGAGAAAATGAAAATTTCCCCTTTGCTTGGCTCAATACAATGTGAATCCTATTCAATGCTTTTGATCTACTTGATAAACTCAATAAAGACCTTCAGTTAGATGGATTCACTCATACATTGTAATATGATCTCATGATCATCCATGAGTGTTATACAAGTTGAAAATAACAGTGTAGAGAACGAATAGTTTGATAAAAGATAACTAAACTCGAAATGTGGGATTTTTTTGTTATCAGACTACCATAGCTGCCCAGATGACAACAAAAGAATTTTGACCTGACAGTAAAAAAACAAGCAAACTCTTTGCCACACTCACCTCGCTTTCTCAAGGTCATCAAGCACAAGTTGTCTTTATCAACATTGAAGTTGATTAGTTACTTACAGCTCCAAGAGAAATATTCGGTGTTTTTGTCACAACTTTGAACACGTAACTCAACCAAGAAGAAATGACCCCTTTGCAGAAAAATGAAACTTATACGGTTGAGAAGTAAACGAATTGAATTATCTTACCAGAAGATAAATAAACAGCTAGAAAACAAATGAAAAGATAAGATGTTGTTTTTGAAGCACTTTTAACAAACCAGTAAATTGTTCTTTGCCAAACATTCGTACAATGGGCTCATGAAATGACCATAGAACATACATATTACATAAAAAATGTATTCCATTATAGTGACTAAACGTCGACAATACCATCGAACTAAGATTTGCTATAGAAACAAAGAAAATCGTTTTCTAATCATCGTTTACGAACGAAATTTACGTTTGAAAGGGCTTGATGTAAAGTATTTCAGCATAAATGGTTCTAATCTTTTGACTCTCCATGCAAGAAAAACGAGAAGGTTCAAACCGATAATTGTTCCAACGACACGTTTAGGTTCCGAAACATCGCGCCAGATATTTTTTAACTAAAAGAAAACCAATCAAGAAGAGTGCACGAATGAACTGGAAAGAAAATTACTTGAGAAGATATTTGATCTGAATTCAGTTTCGATTGCCAACGCTCTTTAAGTTTTCGTAATTTGTTTCTCTGTGATTCGTATTGCCAAATAGCACATGTGACAAATGAACAACCGACGAACTTAAAAAAGAAACTTTCTTTTCTGAGAGAACTATGACGAATTACTTACACCGACGGTGAAGACAGTTGGACGAATTAAAAGTCGAGTTGGACGAAGTTCATTATGAGGTTCAACATGTAAAACATTGGATTCATCGAAATTTTTTATCGAACGTTTTGTTCGTCCTTTCAACGGATTTCGACTTATTTGCGTACGAAATTGTTGAATGGACTGTAAATATCGTAGTGAAGGATTTGTCGATGAAGATAAGATCCATTTGGAGTATCTTAACCACATAGTTCAATTGATTCAATCAAAACCAAAACAATGATGCAAGGTTACAAGAAAAATAAATAATGGTTTGTACAATATGGAGTATGGACCGCATATCTTGTTCATTCTGTTCGCTTTGTCCAAGAACGAATAAAAGAATTTTCTCATAATCGTTGCTTACAAGCGACATCTACGAACAGATTAAACGTTCGAAATAAAGAAGATGCGTTTCAATGTATATATTAAAGCTTCTACTATCATCTATGTATTGCAGAGTCGATCTATTCGGATATACGAATACATATATATTCCTCTTGCTTATGCATTTTTACGTCAGAGTAAAACGATATAAAAGATATCGTATATTTCTCTATGTGGGAATTCTTTCACGATCGTTTGTACAATGTCAGACCACGATCAAAAGCTCGAACGTCTGAAATGTGGATCGAGCATGTTCGGAAACGCTTTTCCTGTGGTCCTAACTCACGAATATGACAAATTATTCGAAGATTAGCAGTGATCACTGAAGTAGAATTCAAATTTCCACCGAACCATAGATAATACTATGTTGGATACTTGCACTCAAAACCGCCATCAGATATTTACTTTGAATTTGAACTTCTAGCTGCATTAATTCAATTCAAAATAACTATCGAATATGAGGAATATATTTAGTTGAAGTTTTAGATGAGAACAAGAGCGAAACAGTGTGTAGACACTTTCATTTTGCTTGTCATTTTTATAGAAGTTGTTCGAAAGCTGAATTTGATAACTTTATTTTCTAAATGTGCATTTCTATTCGACATTGTATTGAGTATCCGTTCGATTTATTGCCACATTAACAGTTTTATTATAATCTTATCAATCAGTTCCGACGACGATGAGATTTTCTTTGACAAATCTTTTAACAAATGAGTCATACAACCGAAACACTATACAACTTTCACGTTGGCATCTACTTGTATTTTTAATAAAAATCTTTTTGCTTATCAGTCGTGATGTTTTTATCAGTGTTTTCTGTTTCCATAACAATATAAAGTTCCCGACTTAACAGTTTTATCCTTCTCGTATCATAAGACTCACTTTTTTTCTCTATATAACTTATCACCGAAAATCTCATTCGGCAGCATGTTACTCTAACTAATATGCTTATCAATGGTATCTTTTTTATTGACTTCAAACTACTTTACTTTTCAACTTTCTTTCCATCCTTATTGATTCAACGTCACTCTGTGATGATAAAATATTGAAGTAAAACAACCAGATAGACATAAAGTCGTTTTTACAACATCTGAGATGACATCGCATAGGTAAAGACTGTCTTTCGTTGTATAATTTCTAATTGATGTTTACTAATTTGAAATTTTCATTTTAGACATCGACAAACGTCATCACGTTCAACGGTAGATCCAGAGAAACAAAACTATGACGAGAAACCTAAGCATGGTCTACGAAGAAAACGATTTTGTACTGGTAAATTCAGGAAATCCTTCGAAGAAAATATTCGAAATGAATAACTGAAAACGAATCTTTAGATATTCCATGCTGTATTCTATTTCTAATATTTATCATTCTTTTCGTTATTCTCAGTATATTCGCATTTATCGAAGGTATATTCGTTCGTTAAAAACTGTTTTGAAAATGTTCTTTGAGATGTTTAGGTGATCCGAAACAATTAATTCACCCAACGGATAGTCAAGGTCATTTATGTGGTTCAGGCGAGTTCGCTGATCGGCCTTATGTTTATTTTTTTGATTGGACGAAATGTATTAAAGCATTCAATATTCCAACAAATCTTGCCAAAGGTCGACCATTTGTTTGTCCAACAACTCAAGTGTGCGTTCATCAATGTCCTAATCGAACATCCCATTACAAATTTCAAAGTTATCCATCTACTCGAGTTTGTACTTATGACGTTACCGATGAACAAACTGACAATAATCAACTAGTTCAAGATGGAAAATGTGCGTCCTATATCCTTGCTAGTAAACCATTATTTGGTCGTTGTGTCCCGGAACATATACAAAGTCTTGCGAATTCGGTTCTTGCGGTAAAGCATAACAATTGAATAACTTAGACGACAAGAACACTTTTATTTTAGGCAACAGATGATGATGGAAGAAATAAAACTATCGATGGTTCCGATGGTCAACCACTGAATGGATCGAAACTTGAACAAGTAAAGTCTTTCTTACGAGAAAATGATTTAATTTCACTGTGAATTGATTTTAGGGTGTAAAATATCTTGTTGACGTTTTGAATCTGAGAGAAATTGCGGCATTCCTCATGGAAGACTTTGCTACATCATGGCAATATATTCTACTTGGCTTGGGTTTTGCTGCGATTATTTCTGTAAGCGTAATTCTTCCTGAAATGTTGAAAAGAAGATGTTTTTTGTTTGACTTTCTAGTTTATATGGATTGTTTTAATGCGTTGGTTCGCAAAACCCATTGTTTGGCTTGGTATAGCCCTATTTATTCTATTACTAGCCGTTGCGAGTGGTTTATCATTTTTCGAATTTATGCAATTGCGAGAAAAGAACGACAATCAAATCTTTACAGAATTCAAATTTGTTGCTGATGCAAATTATTATCGAAGTTTACCAATAACATGGCTAGTTATTGCAATTATCTGCACGATTATTCTGATTATATCAGTGTTGATCTTATTGGTTTTATTTAAACGTCTACGAATTGCTTTAGCTATTCTAAAAGAAGCATCCAAAGCTGTTGGATACAACTTCTTCAGTCTTTTCTGGCCATTCATACCATTCGTATTACAAATTGGCGTTTTAGCTTATTGGGCAGTCGTATCGGTCTACTTAGCAACTGCAGGAAAGCCCATATATCGTTTAGCGTTTAGTAATCTAACAAACAATTCGACAGTAACGCATTATGGTGAAATATGTAATCCTCGCACATGGGATAACACGGATGGATTGAGTGGAGATTGTATTTTTTGGGAATATGGATATGATCCTCAAGTCGACTTAGATAGTGTGTTGAACGGTAGGTTAAATTTGACTTATTGTTTAATGGATGTTTACGTTGTTGTTTTTAGGTACGGGTCGTCATTTCAAATCATTCATTAGTTTTGTGAATAAAAACCAGTGGTTACCACAACTGTTTTCAGCGTTTATGTTGTTTTGGTTGACTGCTTTCGTTATTGGACTTGGCCAATTAGTTCTCGGTGAGTTTGAGTAGATTTCGAATGATTCGTGTAATCGAATGAATCGATTTTAGCGGGAGTTTATGCACGATACTATTGGGATAGTAGACGTGTTGGTATTCCGTGTTCTTCATTATGTTTATCATTATTTCGTGCACTTGCTTTTCATCTCGGTACACTAGCGTTTGGCTCATTAGTAATTGCAATCGTCAAACTCATTCGTACCGTCTTAGAATACTTCCAAAAGAAAGTCAAAGATAAAACAGGAAAAGTAGCTAAATGTCTAATGTGCTGCTGTCGATGTTGCTTACTTTGTTTGGAAAAATTTCTTAAATTTCTCAATCGAAATGCTTACATCATGACGGCCATCTATGGCACTGGATTTTTAACATCAGCACGTCGTGCATTTGCTGTCATTGTTTCCAATCCACTTCGGCTATTAGTTATTGATAAAGTCTGCGATTTTCTGATCTTCCTTGGTAAAATGTGCATTACTGCTGGTATTGGTATTCTTGGATTCTTCTTCTTCACGCATCGAATTGCTGGATCGGAAAAATATGTTCCTGAGTTACATTATTACTTCATTCCTTTGGCACTGATTATAGTTGGTACATATATTGTTGCTAGCTGTTTCTTTTCTGTTTACTCAATGGCTGTTGATACTCTATTTCTTTGTGCATTGGAAGACTTGAAATTGAAAGAGAAGAATTCGCGACATGAATTGAAAATGTCCGAAAATTTGCAAAGAGTATTTCGAGTTAAGAGCCATAAGTAAATATCGAATTGATAAATATGATCGGAAGGAATGATTGACTGTACGAATTTTGAATCAATTTTTTATCATGATGTTCATATTTAATCAATAAATACTTTTATTTTTATGGTGCTAATCATTTTCGAATGTTTTGCAAGGCGAGAAAATGGATCGACTCTCTTGAAAAATATACTTATTATCCTAGATAAAAACAAGGCAAAAATGTAAAAAAATGATGACGAATAGGTATTTGGAAGATTCGACTTTTGCGCATAGGAACACAACGATTCATTCTTTCATGTTCCAGGAGAGAAAGATCGACCTTGATCCATCCTGAAGTCTTCCAGTATGAATGATGAAAACAAAAAATTGTAGTGATACAATCAGTGAAGTTATTTTATTGATTAAAAATTTCCTTTGTTTTTTTCTCTTCTTCAAATAGTGATACAATTAAAAACAAGAACAATACGGATGTTGTAGAGCGGAAGTCTCTGAGATCAAAATATTTAAATTCACATTGAAATAGAAATAAATAAATTCGTCGATTATTTAAGCTAAACCCAGATCTTCCAAAACACTTCGTTTTTCTTCTAATTCTTCCTAAAACACAAAACAATCAATTAGTGTATAAATATCAATGCACACTTATACGTCGTGCAGTCAACAAATGCTTATTCAAACACGCAGACATAAACTAGTATCAAACAAACTCAATCTGATCCATACGAAAATGTCACAATCAGTCAGTTAGACTTTCGTTATCCCAAACCATATTCATCGATGAGACCTTGAGGTGTTTCCACCTAGAAATAGTACATAAGTTTACGTGATATCCAAGGTGAAAAGCACAGATTGAAAAAAAAAAGCGAATTTGAACAAGTTCATATTCGCAGAAGATTTCTTTGAATGGATTCTCCTATGAATAGTATGACGTGCACATTGTGTATATACGTGAATAACTGTTCGTTCGTCTTCCTTGTTGTACGAAAAAGAAATTACCTCTTGAATAACATCTTGATCATTGACGGCTTTTAGAACACTTTTTTTACTTGTTTCTTGAATTTCTCCACCCAGGATAAATTCATCAAAGATGAAATACGCCTTTTCGAAGTTAAATATGATATCAAGTTCACAGACCTATGGGACAATATTCGATTTCTTTCATTGTCAAAATACTTTTACACTTACACTTCCGAAGTATTTATCGAGTAATTCGACATAACGATGAATTGTTTCGAGCGTTAACAATTCATTATCGTCTTGTTCGATGGCACAACAAAAATAAAGACTTGCGTATCTTGAACAAGAAAATAACATTGAGTTCGATGAAAGTTTCGTCGAAATAAACTTACCGTTTGTAAACGATTTTTAAATCTTTCCATTCGAGAAAACTCGACATTTTAGGTTTACGAGAAAGTACTGCCGCGATGATTTCTCGTGTGATTTTCTTCTTAGACTTGTCTGTTTGAGACGTATACCATTTCTGTAAACGAAGTTTACCTTGTCGACTGAATAGAAGGATGAATTGTATCTAAATTTAACAAAATTCTCTACCAATCGAACGTCTATGATCGTCTGTATAACGTACCATCTTTGGAATGTTTCTCAGATTTGTTAATCTAGAATAAACATGAACAATTTTGAGAATCAATCAAATGTAATTCACTATATTAGTTTTAAAACACGTAAAATTGAACCTTTCACTTAGCACACTATTTGATAAAGTACTGCTCTGACTCTTTCTTGACAATTAGATGAATCTGATCTATCTGACGGACACTCCCTGGACATTAACAGATAAGTTTATCATTCCTGAATTTGAAAATACATCAAGATAGAGTCTATCACTACATATATAAAGCATAAAGAAAAACAAAACAAAATTGATACTGTTACAAAGAAAGAAAGAAATCTAAACAGCAGTCATCAGTCGTGTTCGATTATTATTATTATTCGTATTGGAATTTTGAGATGGTGATGATGATGATGAAGTTTGAGGTCGAATTGAATTAGAACTGACTGTTGATGTTGGAGAACTTGATGGAGAATTGATTGGTTGAATTGTCGTAAATGCCGATCGTGAACTGTGATTAAATGGGATAACAAAGCGAAACTTGCCAATACCATCCGAGTTTGAGACATTATCATAGACTTGATATTCATCCGTTGTGCAAGTTGGTTTCGGTGGCGATTTTGTTGAACGTTCGATCGTAATTGGAATATCATAGACATGTGTCGGTGTAGGTTTTTCATCTTTTATCAATGGTTGAATACGATTAGAATTATGATATGTCGATGGCGATGCAGAAATATTGTTACTACGTGTTTGTGTTTGACGTTCGGATGAATTTCGTGTGAAAAGATTAGTAAATTTGTTCACATAATCGATGGATGTTCGTCGGGGTAATGGATGAGGGCGACGTTGCCGATTTCGATGCTGAGATGAAGATGAGCTGTTCGAACGAATGCAGAAAACAGGATCTGCACGAGATGAAGATATCGATGAAGTATCTGGTGAACTCGGACGATGAGATTGATTCAGATTTGGAGATGAACGAGATTCCATACAACTAAAACAAAGAGTAACAAATCAAATCGAAATGTTCATTGACTCATACATTTGATCTTTTTTTGTTCTTCGACATGGGATCGGTGATTCGAGAATATGATTATTATTTCGATCAATTGATTGTATTTCATTATAAACTTTTGGACTATCGTATGTTTCATTGGAAATAATAGTCTTTTCTTCATTGGGTAGAGAATATTCTTCATGACGGTTGAATAAAGAGCGACTAGGTGAACTGTACGTTCGAGTTTCATGTAATTTCGATGCACTTCGATAAATATTTTTCGTTATGTTCAATGGAAAAGATTTGCTATTCGATGATGAACAACCTTCTAGATAAAGAAACACAAATAGAAATGATTAACATCAATCTCCTTGAAATCGTCCTATTACCATTTAAGTGGGATAATGATTTCACACGAGAAGGATGAGATTTATTTCCCAAGGTCGTTGAAACTTTTTCATTTGATTGAAAAACATTTTGTGAACTTCCGATAATCTCGACATATTTGGCCAGAGTATTTAATAACCGTCCCATGGTGTAAATATTATTTCCACGAATGAATATTTTTCCTAAGTCTTCGTTAATTAAAGCAAATTGAATATCACGCGTGCGTTCTTCGGGAAATGACAATTTACAATGATTTAAATCAAATTCTTGATCCGTTTGATCACTTAAGCGAGATTTATGTATACGAAAGATTCCATCAACAATTGTACAATATTTTGTTACAAATGTATGATTATCAAAAGAAATAACCAGAAAACCTACAATATTCGAATGTAAAAGTGAAATATGAATGAGATTTTTACCTCGTAGTTCGTAATGTTTACGAGCTTTATCATCAACACCAGTAACATTAGCCATTTGATCGAGTAAATGTGAGACAATTTGACCTTTCTTTCGATTAAATTGAGCGAACATACGACGTGCATTGCGTGAAAGTGTTTTGACATTATTTCGACTCTTCGAATTTTCTCGAGACTTTGGTATCGATGACGCTGACGATGCATCACGAAATGCCTATTTAACACAAATTCAAACTACACAAATTAAGTTCAACATTCATCTATTACTTTAAGCCACACATTCATTTCACTTGAATCCGACGGTCGAACATAAATCGCTTCAGCAAGACCGATATACAAACATAAACATTCTTCTTTATCAATGGTTGTGACATGTACCTACAATATTGTGTTAATCTTCTATTTTGAACAAAAAAAAATCTTGTTCTTACTTTTGCATTGGTTATATCTGACACCCATAATGGTGAACAATTGTTATCTGATTGTCCTTCATTTGATGAACGAGATTTTTTATCAGCTGGGAAGCAGATAAGATCATAATCATCGAGTACATAATAGCGCCATATCCAATTATGATTTTTATCGTAGGTTAATAAGAGACCATCAGCAATTATACTCGAACTGGATGATGACGGGATGGACAATTGACTTTGCATGATTGATGAAGTATTTTCTACAGTGGAAAAAAAATCGAATTTATCGTTTTTGTTCAAATCAAGTTTTCTGTTACCATGTGATATTTCTGCTTCTAAATAATCATTTTTTGGTATATCAGTGTACCATTCCGAATTACTTGGAGTTGATTGTCTCTCAGCCGATTCGTAGAGTTCCTTCTCATGAAATGACGATTGTCTCGTTAGAGTAGGCGTTTGTTGTTCATCTTCATCAGTAAAATCATCACTTTCTTCATCGGTAATCACATCTGTGTTCATTCTTAAAATCAAAAACGAAAACCATCTTCTATGCAAACTATTGAAAGAATTCAGTCGTTACAATGATTGATCATCGATGAAACATGATTGTTGATTCGTAGACTGACTACATTGATCGATTTTATCCAGATACATAGCAGCGATTTGTCGATGATCATTGTCCAAATGTGTACTGGACAACATAGATCGAAGAAAATCTTCCAAACCTGGAAGAATTTCTAAAAAGAAAACATGACCATACATAATGTCTACGAAAAATAAAGTTTTTTTTAAAATTTTACCTGTAACATTAGTTGAAGAAGTCGAAGCCATTAATATGTAAGATTATGAATAAATCGATAAGAGACGACGACTGTCGATCACACATTCCAATCTTTACATTCAATGTATTTTATGACAAAAAAGAGCCCTTCAAATCGTCTATAAACAACATAACACTACTTAATCAATGATGTAATCATGTACGAAAAAAAAAATGTTCTTTCTTCTTTGTCGATCTATTCAAGTACTTGTCAATTTCAATTTTGAGATTTCCTTTGTGCTTGAAAGGTATATTTATAAACTCGTACAGTTGACCTTCATTGTAACGCAACTCATTTCAACCACATACTCTCTATCTACATATCATGCTGATATAGAGAGAAAGAAACGAAGAAAAAAAAATCGATGAATATCTTCTCTCTTTCTTCTACTCGTTTGGCTTTTGAGAAAAAAAAAGAGAGAGAGAACGAACAAGTCATACTTTTAGTGATGAATTTTATTTAATCAGAGAACATAGAAGTGTATGTTCAACTCTTTCCTCTGAAATTCGATACGGACAGTTATCAACAATTCGCTTTTCTCCTAATTACGCGTGCGAATTTTTGACTTACACTGTCTATCAACAAGACTATTTGTATGTTGCTTCTTCGATTACTGAAACAGACGGCAAACAAAGACATAAGTCAATGTTTCAACAGATATTTGGTGTCTCTGTTCATGTTTACAATATGATCTCTAGTTAAATGAGATCAAAGAAGGAGAAGACAGTTGTCGTATTGACCTCTTTTCTTTTCGATCTATAACAAAACAGTTTCATGCGCTTCGTGATGAATAACAAATAGAAAGAAAGAAAGAAAGAAAGAGAGAAAGAAGAAAAAAGATGTGTGCGCATACATTTAATCTATTTTCGAGTATCCATTAGTGACAACAATACATTTTACTATGTTTCGTGTACACTCTTTGAACAGAACAGCATATTTTTTATCTCCCAATCTCACATAGACTAATAACTTCGTTCGTTCTACTCAAAAATGACCTTTGCCTGACTAATCGAATATAAACAAATCTCTATATGTCGACTATGTTACAATACATACATACACGTTTGCCACAAATTGTCATTGTCATTTCCTTTCTAATGTTCTCTTGTCTTTAAAGATTATATAACATATAATCATCTAAAATATATTGAAATGATTAATCAACGGAAAGAAAAGACAACTTATGTTTTTCCTCTACCACTTCTCGTCTTTTTTTTTTCTTCTTTCATTTTAACACAAAAAGAAACTCCCCACACATAATTAATCGAGAGAAAAAAAAATGTTATTTCTGTTTTTGTATCTTAAAAAGTGTATCTCATGTTATATGTGAAACTTAATTTCTCCAAATTTGACATACATGCAGATTTAATCATCAATGGTGGATGACAGATACAAATCAAAACATCTCTGACGATCTTTTAGTTTTGAACAAAACACAAATCGCAGTTGCTAATAAATCATAACCAGTGATAGTAACTACAATTGACATATCCATCGAGGTTTGATTTTCTCTAAAATAAACTATATAAAACGAGCTAATCACAAAATAGAACATTGACAAAACGCCAATATGCGACTCATTTAAATCCGTTCCAAGGGTTAAATAGTGGTCATTCAATTGAGAAAAGTGAAAAGACAAGATCTAAAATATTTCATGAATCATACAGTGAATTCTCATTGTTCCAATAAAAAGTCATATTGATAGAGGGCGTGATCATACGAATTCATGTGTATCTAAGAACTATCAGAGACGGGAGAAAGGATTACACAACTTTCCGTCCTATTTTATCATTAAACTAGTAGTATTAAACCTAACAGCTGAGCTCGAATATTCTAGCTTTGTTATCTAATCCGTCGATTTCGCTCTTCATGGTACGTTCAGCTTTAGTGAATGCAATGCACACTCTTACCTTCACTATTTAGTCTCTTGTAAAATTCAATTTAGCTGATACAGAACGCATACGACACTTTGTTTACTGTTTACACGTATCAGGTCATAGCTTTAATCAGTTGGTTCTGATACAACCATCTAAAAGGTATTGAAATGATTAATCAACGGAAAGAAAAGGCAACTTATCTTTTTCCTTCTTCACCATTTTTCTTTCACTTAGGGTAAAAAAACTCCACACACACGCACACAAACTAATCGGAAAAAAGTTCTTTGTTTTTGTTTTGTTTCTTAAAAAGTGTATCTCATGCTATCCGTGAAACCCAACTTCTCCAAGTTGGGTACACATGCAAATTTAATCATTGGTGGTGGACCACAAATACAGATTAAAACATCATCACCGGGTGGTGGCATATGTTCTTTTAACATCTCTTCATTGATGAAACCTTTTGAATACTTCCAATCATCACCGGGACGATCAATCGTATACCAAAGTTTAAATCGATCAGAATTTGATGCCGCTAATAGTTCTAGTTGTTCGCGTAATAAAATATCGTCTTCTGTTTGATTAGCAAACAAAAGCCAAAGTTTTATATCAATACGTTCACCAGGAAGAAGAGCCTTTTGTTCTTTCAAAATTTCATTTAAAATCTGATACATTGGCGTTATACCTGATCCACCAGCGATGAGACCAAGACGACGAATACGTCGACTTACAAATGGATCAGGTTTGCGTGGACGAATGTCAAACATACCATTATCTTTGTAAATAAGATTACCCGATGGACCACTAACATCAATCGTTTGATTGAGTGAAAGTTTCTCAAGATACTGTGTCATTTTGCCATTTGGATAAACCTTAACAACAAGATCAAAATAACCTTGATTATCATCGGATGTTGTTGGAGTGTATGGTCGTTTCACTAGTTCACCATTAATGTGAGCTGTTAAATAGACATGTTGTCCGATAGGTAAACCAAGTACGTGTTTGACTGATGGAAGTTGAAAACGAAAAAGACGTGTGTCATGTGAAATATTCTCTTTGTAAACCAATGGAAATGCGTATTTAATATCGGGATTTTTCAAGGAAATAATAACATTTTTTCGTTTGCTTTCCGCAGTATTTCCTGGTTGACCTTTCTTCTTAAATAAAATGAATACCACAATCGAAAGAAGACCTATTCCACCAATGATAGCAAGATTTGAAGTATCCAGCGCCATGATTGTTTTATCTAAAGTAATCACGTAAAATCAAAATGCACATATATTCCATCAGATGGTAACAGCTGAAGATCTCATGAATATATCGAAAAAAGTATATATACAATAAATTAAGAAGATCTAAAGTTTACAAAACAAAATAGAAAGAGAAACAAAAAAAACGAGAACAGCATATTCATTGAGTCATTCTAAGATAATCGAATTGTACCAATTGTATTCCAGCATGATAGAGGGCTTGATCAATTTCATTCTGATAAATTTCAAAATCTTTGTACACGAATCATTCACCATCGTTTACAACGCAACTATATTCATGAGAAAGCATTTCTTTCTATATCGAACGGTATCTGAATGTGATGACAATGCAAAAAATAACCAGAAAACTAGATTAGGTTAAAGTACTTACATCGAGTACAGTACGTTACATTACATATGAAACGAACGATGAATAGATCAATGCAGAAATTATTCTCTACGTGCCACATAAAGGTATTCAATTTAATTCATCATCTAAGAATAACATTTTTATTGACATATTCCCTATTCACAAACAAATACATTGCATGCAAATAGATATGAATATGGTATAGGAATGTATAATATCATTCGACAAGCGAAACAAAACACATTCTACAGCTGACTATCGTTACTTTCACCGAAAAAAATAATGAGAGACTTTTTCTTATGTCTTTGTTTCAAAGAAATTACGATACCAAATATAGGAGGTAATCGAGGACAAATTAAAACCTAGTTATGTCTTGCAATCATCAACTTTGGAGCTGTATTTCTCAATTGATTGTTAGTCACAGTGTTTAGTTGTTTTTATTTCAATACAGAAAAGAAAAGAAAACATTCTCTTTAACCGATTGATGTCGATCTTGGTAAGATTATTTCATGTTCAATCAAGTGTTTCAATAGTTTTTCATTTCTTGAAAGTTGCAATGCATCCGTAAAATTTCTTCCTTCCAAATTCCTTCTTTCAGTATTTGATCCCATTTTCAGAAGATATTCAATGATTCGATGTCGGCAACCAGCAACTTTCAGACAAACATGGAGTAATGGATCATTCCCATCTGCATCTAACTGATTTAGAACATTTTTCGATAGATTCACCAATTTTTCGACAATTTGTCGCTCTTTTTTGTCCAAAAGAATAAATATTAACGTTTTGTTTGATCGAAGAAAAGCAAATGATTCGTCATTCAATATCTCACAGAACAACCGTCGGTGAGACCGATTACTTGTTAATATATTCACAGTTTCTCGAATATTGTCTGGACTACTGATATCATCTTGAAATGTAGAATGACGACAAATATATCGAAGAATATCGATTCGAGAATGTTTCATTAAATTTTTCAATACACCTCTAATTGAATATGAACAATAATAATCATCCGATGTATCATGTTCGAACAGAAAATATTCATCTGCAATTATCTGAACGACTCCCCATTGTGTAGCCTGAATGAACATGTTCTTGTGAGTTTGTTCAACCATGTTCAACATATTAAACATAATTCGTTTGATATGATTAGCATCTTGAAATGTCTGTTTTTGACATTGCATTGCAAATAAAAACAGATCAACGACAGCGCGGTAAATGTTCATATTGACCGATGGTGTTGATACTCTTGAATGATAAAAGTGTTGTAGATGGAAAATTTCATAGATAAAGAAATAGGATGCATCACAACCACCATTGCCAACATAGTCTCTGTTTTTCATATTCAAAGGATTGGAAATCAACAAAATTTTGAATAATTTCAAGCATAATTTAGCCAATGCAGATTGTTCCTTTGATTTATCGTAGATAAATTGAAGGAGCAAATTGTTAATCGCTTGACAAAGATTGAATCCAGTTAATTCATGATTCTCACAAACAAGTTTAGCACCTTCGTTTAAGACAAGTGATCTAATTCGTTCTACATAGGTTTCAGTGACAATGTTGACCCCGTTTCTCAATTTGTTGAATTCTGTTTCTAGTTCCAGATCTATGGTCGTTTTTCGATCATCATTAAGCCGTTGACGAACTGATAGAAATTTGTGATATTCATATTCGAATTCCAATTGCGATTGTAGGTATTTATGTTGAGAATATAAACTCAGTAATGGTTGTAATAATTGATATAAATGCTCTTTTTCCATTGGTTTATTGATGGTCAATAATCGTTGAGTTACTTGTTGGAAGACATCACATTTATAATATTCATCCCTAATGTTGGTTTGTAGAAAGTCAGTTAGTAAATGCAAGCGCTTATCGAGTAGAATTCGATTGAAACGTTGATTCAGTCCAAGAAATGCTCGAAGAGTAGTGGTAACATCGCCTGAGTATGTGAAAATCATCATAAGAATCTCATCAGGTAATATTTCCAACGTTGACAACATTCTGTACGTGCTATTTGCAGTCGTAGGATGCTGAAGTAAAGAAGTATGTATTCGTCATTTTATTCATTCGGCAAAAAAAACAACAAATGTAATTTCGCAATAGGATTTTAGTATTAGTCATCAGCTTATGATGCTATCTATGAGGGATAAATTTCTCGAAAATGATAGTAGAGCCGGGTAGATTATATTTCATACGTTACGAATAGTGAATAATCTACTTCACGCGTTTTGCTTGGTATTAGGAGAGTAGATTGTCAGGATTCTTCAGAAAGAAAAATTATAAATGCATTATATTTAAGTTTTCCTTGATGAATACCTTTCGTGCGACCGAATAAGAGCGATTTTTGCTACACTTATTTAATCAACTACATTTCTCCTGTTTCGCGGAACTGTGTGGTTAATTTCGTTGGCAATGAAAGAGGTCAACACATCATCAAGCGGTTAGGTTTTTTTTATCCAAAAGTCGAATTGAATTGAATTAAAAATGGATATAATGTCAAATGATATTTGTATCAATGATCGATTTTGAATGCGTACACAGCCAGATCTTATCATTTAAGTATGAATAATAACTGAAAAAGAAATTCTGATTCTTGCAGAGAGAAGTTTATACGTAGGAGACTAATGAAAAACAAGTTCCATATATCAAAAGAAAAATTCAATTGAATTCTTTTTCTCATAGCAGCAAAAACTAATAGAATCCAGTGAAAGAATGTTTTGAATATTTATATTTTAACTCGATGCATTAAAAGTTATTTTCACATTCGTTGTAAAATAATATTCATTATCGGTTAGTCCAATGATGTGTTTATCCAATTACATACAAACAATTCGAGCTTTTCCACCATTTCATAATATTTGAAATCATTGAAAATATTCCGAAATGATTTCTTGTTCATATAAGACTTCTAATAACTTTTTATTTCTCGGCAATTGTAGTGCGTTTAAGAAGTTCTGTCCATCATTGTTTTTTCTTTGTAAATCAGATCCCATATTAATTAGAAATTCAATTATTCGATGTCGACAACCGTTAACTCTCAAACAAATATAAAGTAACGGATCGTTACCATTTTCATCCAATTCATCGATAAGATTAGGTGATAACATTAATATCTTTTCTATTAACTTTCGTTCTTTCTTCTGTAACAGAATAAATAATAATGTTTTCTTGAAAAATAATGAATCTAATGACGCATCGTCCATAATCATCGAGAAAAATCGTCTATCCGATCGATTTCCGGTCATTAAATTAATACATTCGCGGACATATTTTGAATCATTAAAGAAATCTTCAAATCGAAAATAAAAATAAATGTATTTAATAACATCTAATCGTTTTTTCTCAATCAATTTCTTAAAAATCTCTTTCAATGTATTCTTGAATTGATCATCCCATGCTTCATATGAATTAAGAAAATAATCATTGATAATTGCTCCGAGAATTTCCCATTGAGCATTTCGAATAAAAGTATCTTGATCAACTTCTGAAATCATACCCAATACATCAAACATATTATCTTCGATATAATATATTTGATCAGGGACATATTTCCATGATTGAATTGTAAAAAGAGATAAATCAACGATCGCGCGATAATATTCCATGTTGACAGGTTCTGATGAAATATTATGAGAAGAAGGTTTTAATCGAAAGATGTTATGGAGAAGAACTTTTTGTAAATGACCAGGTTGATTGGCAATGTGATCTCGATTTTTTAATAGAGAAGGATTTGAAATAATTAAAATTTTGAATAACTGTAAGGATAAATTGATTCGGTTTGATGCTTCGGATGTTGGACTGTTAATGTATTGTAGTAATCGTTCGTAAACACATTTTGTTATATTATATTCACTAAATTCATCATCATCACATTGTAAACAAGCACCTTTTGATAAAACAAGGGATTTAATGTATCTGATATGTTCTCGTGTGATGGAAATGTTTTTTAAACTATGAAATTGTTCGTTTAATTCATTATCTATTTGAGAAATCTCTTCATCGGTAAGTTGTTGACGCATTAGTTGACATTGTTCAAAAGAACTTTGTAATTCACGTCCTGATTGAAGATATTTTTGTTGTATATGATAGTTAATTAACGGTTGTAATACTTGACAAAGATGATTTGTATCAATTGACTTATTAACAGATAATAATTGTTGAGAAACCTGATGAAAAACTTCAGATTTGTAATAATCATCATGGATATTCGTGTGTAGATAATCACTTAGTAAATGTAAATGTTTATCGAGTAGAATTCGATTGAAACGTTGATTCAGACCGAGAAATGCTCGAAGAGTAGTGATGACATCGTCTGAACATGAAAAAATCATCATAAGAATCTCATCAGGTAATGTTTCCAACGTTGACAACATTCTGTACGTGCTATTTGCAGTCGTAGGATGCTGAAGTAAAGAAGTATGTATTCGTCATTTTATTCATTCGGATAAAAAACAACAAATGTTATTGCGCAATGTAATTTCGACATTGGTCGAGGGTCTGCATGATATGCACGTTATATTCATTATAGTTGAATTATATCAACTAAGTTTTAAAGAAACGAATTGAGTAATTTATAGTTTTCGAACGGTGTTCAATGTGGTTTAGAATTTTCCAATATATGTTTGTTTTTCTTTAACATTCATGTGAGCACTTGATTATATTATTATTGGTGTCACAGAAGTTCTCTATATTTCAGATCGGTCTATTCGAAAATCAACATGAGATAATGACTTGAGGACTACCAGTCGAAAACGACAAGCCTTCTTGTACCATCTGATGTTACTTCGTAGTTTTTCGGTTCAATATTCTACGTATATCAAAATAAGAATGGAAAATATGTAGCCAAAGCAGAATGATTTCGAGTAGACATGAAAAACGCCTAACGGTCAACCAGCATGGTGAAAACGGGAGTTGAAGATACAGAAAATTAGATCGCAAGGCCTTGTAGAGCAAGTTTTTCTGTATATGACTCAATGCATTATTTCTTTCGCAAACATGTCTTAGCGGAAAAAGAAATTTTTGAAACATACGAGACAGTTTATATCGTTTTAAGATGTTTGAAGGAGTTTGAAAGAGAAACGATGTCTCTAGATAAAGAAAGCAGAAATCTTCAAGTATCGTATACCATCTGGAAGTACTAACGCATAGCTATCTATTGATCGACTCAAGAGTCACTGCAGGTGTTTTGAAGAGGAGAGATGCTAATTTCGAACGGGACACCTAATCGTGTGTCTGTGCGTTACTGAAAATCGATTTCAGTAGATTTTTCGACTAGGATAACGCGATTTTTCTCGAGACTCTCTATGATTATGTGTGTTCATTTGATGGGCTATCAGATGTATATGTCGAATCGGCATAGTAAGATGTTATAGTTGAGAGACGTGGTAACGCACAGACACGAGTCTTATATATGAGGTCCACCAATACTCGACCGTTTACTCAAATTTTGTATTCACGCTATAATTTTTATTCCAGAATACATTCCTCGCTTTGCTGAACGTGCAGTCTTGCTCAATCTGAATTTTGAGCGTAACATGCGATTAAATTTTCACAAAACTATGCGAGACACTTCATGAATTTTTAGTCTGATATACATGATTTTCAATTGATCAGTAATGATCGATTGCGGCACGTATTTCGTGCTCAACACTCTCTGGAGCCAGTATGAATTCAACTGCGAGTTCTCTTTTCCATGATAGCTCAGAACAGTTATATCTTTATCCTACATAGCATGACTATATCGAATGACTTGAACCTTGAATTAAGACGCTTGAAGACAGGTGTCCGATAGGGTACAAAATGCTACTTAATAACAAACGTTTTGTGAAGCAAACATCAAAAGCGAGGTCTTCCTGATACTACAGAAGTTAAAAGTCGCCTGGACATCGAAGTAGTTTATTTTAAATCGTGAAGTTTTCAGCAGGGAGAGAATTATAAGGGTAATATTGCAGATAATAAAAACAGTGTGCGGATTACACACAATGAGCGATTAAATAATTTGAATAGCATGAACATCGAAATACTACTATTTTGAAGCGATAACCAGAGACATAAAACGAATACCAGGGACGTATACGTCTGTGCGTTACCAGAATGTCTGTGTGTTACTATTTCTTATGAGAATAACTAGCTCGCTTTGAAAGATATCAAAATTTTTTTTTCGTCGATACAGAGGGCAACTTCTCATCTATAAAAAGTCTTCATACAGAAGTTCAATATATTGAAGCATTTCGCAGGATTTTTCACTTCTTTCGCATTGTCTGAAAACGGAGGGACTTTTGTGTCTGTGCGTTTCGAAGCGATATTTTCTATGCGTAGGACGGATGGATAATGATAGAATTTTGAAAATTTTCCAAGAAATGCATCTCGACTGAGCACATCTCTGGTGAAGGTTTCAGATCTCCATTTGTATTTTTTGCCGAGAGAGACATTCGGAAAGTTGAAAAAACGTCTGTGCGTTACCTGCGTTTTTCATGTATAATCAACAGTTGAAATATACGCGACGGTTAGATAATCTTTCTTTCTAGCTTCGACAGACAGTCAACAGACGACATCTATAGTTCACAAAATCTCATCTGAACAGTTTGTTTTCATAATTCAATAAAGTCAAATAAGTTTTTCTATTATTATTTGAATGACATTTAATGATTAATCAAAGTAAAATACATATCCAAAGATTCGTCAGAGGATAGATGTATTTGAATGGATCGATAGTTATAAGACAAACGAACCATTCGGAGATGAATTTCAATAAGTTTTTTTATTTACTTATTTATTTTATTTATTTCTTATTTTACATGATTGCTAGAACTAAAAAAAATAATGCAATATTTGCTCATCTATTTATTTTAGATTCTTGCCTCTTAAACCGAATCCATCAAAAGAAAAATGGAAGTAGTCGACCGTGGTTCAGTTAAAGATGTTGATCAACAACAATTCACAACCGCTTTTGCTGAATTTCTCAAAAAGACAGGCAAACTCGAACTACCATCTGGTAATTGGGTTGATATCGTTAAATTAGGTATCCATAAACAAATGGCACCTGTCGATCCTGACTGGTATTACACCCGTTGTGCATCAATCGCACGTTTTCTCTACTTACGTCGAACAGGTGTTGGTGCATTTACACGTATTTATGGTGGTAAAAAAAATAATGGTGTTCGTCCATCACACTTTCAACATGGTTCACGTAGTGTTGTACGTAAATGTTTACAATCACTCGAAAAGGCAAAACTTATCGAAAAACATGCATCAGGTGGTCGTGTTCTTACTCAATTAGGACGACGAAATATGGATACTATTGCTAAACAAGTTGCAGATAAACTTGCTCGTCAACAACACCAACAATAAGGAAGAAAATGTACGAAATTATTTATGAAAACAAAATCATCCTGACGAAATTATGCATTCAAAAGAAGATCAATTTTGCATGATTTTCTCATTTGAATTTGTTTTGTAACATCTCGAAAGGAGAAAAAAAAAACATCTTGTTATCTTCAATAAATAAATAAAAACAGAAAAAAAAAACGAAAAGAAGATCCATTTCATATTTATAAGAATCAGAGAAGAACAACATTCGCTTATATTATTAGTCTTTGTAGATTAGTCAATATTTGTACTCCCTTCTTTGTACATAGCTTTACACCAATATTTTCCCCCTTCGCAACAGTTTCGACATTTCAACATAAATGTTCATCGTTATGATCGGTAAGATAAATATCAATTTGTGCATATGACTCAAATGTCAGTTTTGTATTCATATGAGATGATAGAAAGAAGCGAAAAAAACAAACTCGAGAACGATTGGACTCGAAGAGAATATGTTTGTAGTTATTGTATATAATTGTATCGATGATTCGCATGCTCGTTTTTATTAATCAGAAAGGAACAGCAGGAATAACATATCTCATATCAAAAAAATATTTTTTTTCTCTTTCTCTATCTCTTGAGTCGTCGCATATTTCTATTTATATTCTTATATATGTTTATCAAATCGAATCTTGCTATTACCTCGAGAGAGCTTTAACGATCGATTTATTCGGAATCGAAGAACATCGTTATATTTGTAAGATGAGCAGCTATTTCAATAGTTCAAATGTGTGTCATCATAGACCGCGATCATCAATTTCTACATCTGATATCGATCTACAATATCTCGGAAGCGAACAACAACATATAGATCAAGATCATCATCATCGTCATCATCGTCTTTCTGTCTATACGATACCTATGAAACAAAATCAATCAAATTCATTAATCTCATCAAACGATAATCTTCTTCGTAGAATATCAAAGACTCCTGATGTTTCCACGATGTCTTCTTCAGAGAAGTAAGAAATATACGATGTAGTGTTGAAAGAAATTGTCGATTATTTCATTCTGTTATCTAATGTTGTTATGTAGCTTGAATAGAATCGTGTTTTCTCTCTGCATTTCAACACTCGATTTCGAAGTTGTTTTCTTTTTTCTGTTTTCATTTTTTGAAAAAATGTGGTGCCATATCAGTAAGCATACATCACACCCACGATACATATTTACATATACATAAAAGAAGCGATAGAAAAAGGAATACTTAAGTAATGTTAGTTTCGTTATTAAATTAACGATGTGAAACTATTCCTATAGTTAAGGTAATTTGATTGACATCTATTCAAATAGAAATGTATTCACATAAATAGATGACAGCACGTTCGTTGACTCATATCGTTTGGAAAAATAAGCGAAAGTCGAACATTAGTAGATGGGTATTCTTTTTTTTTTCCTAGTCATAATTAGGTTTCATGTGTATGTGAAGCACATGAAATTCGATTTGACTTTTTGTGTTGTTTATTTACTTATGATAAGCGGTAAAGCCAATTTTTTCGTTATTTTTAGGACTCTAACAACAATGGGTCGATCGCTCCTGTCTGCACTTCTACTAATCTTTCTACCTCTTGCTTTGCTTACTGGTGAGTGTGTCATAGGTTTTTTTCCCAGATATCAATTCATTCAATGGTATTCATATTCATATAGGAGCAATATTTCGGTACAGTGTAGTTTCATTTATCTACGCTTTTCTATTGCTTCTACTTCCATGGCTTGGTCCAATAACCGAACGAACTATTCGAAGTAAAGCTAATTTTGATATTTTCAAAGGCAAAATTTCTATTTTCACGTGTTTAATTTCAGCACGATTTCGCGTATTTGTTTTGGTTATTACTATTGTCAGTGTCTTGACTGTTTTTGCTCAAATTATTTTCCAATCCGTACTTCTTGCTAACAAACCGTATGGTCATACATTAGATAATTGTAAGTGAAAAACAACTTTCACTACAATCATCATAATGATTAAATATTTCTTTCAGGTACCGACATAGTTCGAACACTTCGATACTTCGGTTTAGAACGGTATGTGAAATCTATTTACACGATCCATTCTTTCAATAGTTGCTTCTTTTCTAGTCTTGACCATTCTAATGCTATTCGTATTTTACGTTTAATTTTTCCCGATATAATCATTCTTGCCGCTTCAACTGTGTGTCTAATTATAATTCGACGTTCGATTTTAAACGTACGACGTCGTCAAAATGATGATATTCCCATTTCACCTGTAACACTACCTTCAACACAGAGTACTACCAGTGTCGAAGATCAAAAGAGACTCTGGCCTCGATTATTATCCATTTTAAGACGAGCACGTTTATTTCTTCAATTTGTGCTCGTTGGTTTTGCTGCATTTGTTTATCCAAGTATTATCAATTCAATTTACTTTCTTTTCTTTCTTACCATCGCCTTCATTTGGTCATTGTCGGTTAAATTTGGAAAGAAATACGCATTGGCACGTAGTCTATTAGTCGTCTATACTGGCATACATTTGTTAATCTTCTATCTCTATCAATTTGGATTTTTTCAAGATGTTTTGCCTCCTTTCTCATTATGGAGCAAGTAAGATGAGATGATTTCTAAGAAATCAAATATAATTCGTTCTCTGTTAGTATTACTGGCTTAACAGCATTGGTGGAAAGTAATTGTACGGATCGTGAACCATACTTTGAGAGAAATTTAGCTTGGAGTGATTATGTAAATCCATGTGCATTGCTTCTATTGTATTTCTATTTTGCTTTTGAAACAAATCGAACACTTGCACATCGAGTAAGTTCGACAAAAATCTCCATTCTCGATATTTTCATTTCTGAATATCTTCAGGTTCGATCGAATGTTCTCACAATTCATTCACTGGAACAACAGGTAAGCAGAAAGATATCAACACTGTTTTGTTGTGTAATCAGTCCATTCTCACCTTTTTCTTGTGTGTGTTACCCATCTACCAGATAAACCCTCGTCGCAGTATTGATGAACAGGTTTGCTTGGTTTGTTTTCTCTTTACTATGTGTGAACGCTTTCGTTTCAACAACAATTTCATGATATACATTAGACAAATTTCGCTTGTGTGCCCATCTATTGTCGACTTATTTACATGATTCTGGGCTTTTGTCATTTCACATTTGTGTATATTTGGTTAATAATGCAGAATTTGTTTTTAGAGTTTAGTACACAATTCCGATGGTCGTGATACATTGGATCAGAGTGTACCATCATATCATCGCCGATGGAGTTTAGAACAACCTGGTGATCAAACATGGCAAGGACGTATTATTTTCGTCGTATTTTCCACTATTCGCGTTCTCGAACGACACAGTTATCTTCTCTCATTGATTGCAATGCTTGTAAGACCGAAAACCTTCTTTGTTTTCAGTTTTCCTTAATGAATGAATATTCTCTAGGCATGGAGTATTACTTTTCATAGTCTATTAACCTTGATATATCTCCTATCGGCGTGTATACTTTGGGTATTACCTAATTCTCGTCAATGGTGTTTGAGAATGAGTCCATTTTTCACAATTTACGGAGGTATATTATTAATTCTACAATATTTGGTTGGATTCAAAGTTGGCTTCGATCAACTACATTTTGCGTATGATCGTCGAACAATGGAACAGATTGGTATTCTTGTCCGAGATTTTCAACCAGCATTCATGTCATTACTATTGAAAGTAAGACAAATGAAAGTAAAATTGAATAGGTTTTCGTTGACTTTGAATCACTTTTAGTCATTTTATATGTTGTTCTTTTGGTTAACTTTACGACAATATATCAATGAAAAACGCATTATCAATACTCAAGGAAATGATGGTTAGTTTTCATTTGATTCGTTCTCACCGATGTACATTGCACAAGAAATCTTTCGTTTTTGTAGAAATAGAATTAAGTAAGATCAGGGGAGCGATCTTTTTTTACTTGCGAATTTTCTGATCGGATTTTCTTCTCTCTTGATTTGCTTTTCAAAAGTATTTATTTGTGTTTTTTTGATTTCATAGCTCGTCGAGTCAGTACATCAACTGATTCATACCCTCGACGTTTGGGTATAATGATTTCTTTTTAAATGAAAAACAACCCATATTCGTATCGTTGAACATTTTCCTAGGACGATGGCTAATTGATTTCCTCACGAAATATTGGATATTTGTGTCTTGTGGCATGCTCTTGCTTGTCAGTATTCAAAACACAGTCGTTATTTATCGAATAATCTACATGGCCTTTTATTTATTTTTCATTTTTACTTTTCAAGTAAGACAAATCGATGACAATGAAACGAACATAATTGAAGTGTTTAGATTTCGTTTGGATTTTGGAGAAAAACAGTGGCAACATTTCATTTGACAATTATCATTTATTCAATGTTAATCTTGATTGGCATTTATATCTATCAAGTAAAGGATTGAAAACGAAGAGTTGAACTGTAATTCTTGTTGTTTATTTAGTTCGAAAAAGTGAATGTGATTTTGACTCAACATTTGAGTAAAGAATTGTATGTTCGATTTTGTAAGATTTTTTTGTTTTCAATGACCTGGTTTTTTTCTTAGACTTGCGTCAATTGGACTTGAAGTCGTTCCATCCGATGTATTAGCAGTGAAATTACTAACACCAAGCACATTCCTAGTCGTTAATATCTTGCAATTGCATTATTTTCATTCGGGTTGGATGAAATTGATTACAATGCCTAAGTAATTTCGAAAAAGACTTGTTATTCCGAGGTTAATGTCTGTTTTTAGTGATAAAAATATCGAAGGACCAGCCAATGGTACATTGACTGACATTCATACCTATGCTCGAGGTAGAACAAAGACATCATTTGTGCATTTGGATCTTATTCTTGTGTATTGTAGAAAATGTCGCTCATGCAAACAACACAAACATCCAACGAATGTTTGACGGTGAATTAAAACCGTGGCAAGAAACGTTATACAAACTGTATTTTCGAGTTAATCGTCTTTATAAACAAATTACTTACTACACGTGGCGTTTTGCTGAAATTCACGTTTATAAATTAGTTCTTTTCCTTATGGTTCTCACGGCGATTCTTAAGGTAAAGGTTTAGTTGAGATAAAATTTCATAAAATTGTTTTTGTTTGGGATTAAATAGATCAATGCCTTTAATGTTTCATTAGTTGTTCTTGCAACAATCGGTTTAACTTCATTTCGTCTACGAAAAATGATTAATTTGTTAACATTAATCGCAACAGGTCTTTATATTCTTGCGTTAATGTGTTATCAATTAGCAATTGCAAAACAACAGATCGTCGAAAAGAACTTTTTCGTTCGAAATTGTTCTCAAGTAAGTCAAAGAATCTCGTTGTTATGTTTATACTTGATATTTTGTTAACATTCAGATTTATCCAAATATGACTGCAATTCCAAATGATACAGCGCAATGGTTTGGCATTGAATTAACAACGACACTTAATGAATTTCTTGGCGTAAGAGATGTTCTAATAAAATTCTTTTCTTCATCTCGAATTTTAGTTGTACATTCTGTTAACTATTGCGTTAACATTTGATGCAGTCACAAGATATCGTCAAAGACATCGGTGTCTATCACTATCGGTTCATTTCAATGTTCATCTAATTGAAAATCGTTTTCCAGTGTTATTCGAACCATTTGCATTGAAAAATCCTCATGACGATACATATCAATATGAAATTGTCAACTATCAACAAGCTGACGAAGGCGTTCAACAATTTTTGAAATATTTCACTAACTTCATCTTCTATCGATTTGGTCTGGAGGTAAAGAAAACATCTTGTAATCGTATAAATGAATACATTCAACTTGTTTTTAATCAAATTAGATATGTTATATAACAACAGTTATTGTCATTGGTGTTCGATTGGACATTATGGCTGTGCTCTATGCAATTTGGTTAGGTATATTTCTAATCTCAAGTCGAAGATCGATTCAACGAATATGGTTATTCTATATAATGTTCTTAATCTTTGCTTTTCCATTGCAATATATGGGTGTTGTTGGAGCACCACCATTTCTTTGTTTCGGTAAGTAGAAAAATGTTTTTTAACTTTGTGTTTGATGTTCTACATCTGCTTTACAGAATATCCATGGACTAGCGTTGATCTCGATGGATGGCCACAATTGAAACGTTGGTTATTTTTACCGGATTATAATAAACCACCATTGGCAACACAATTGATTGGTAAAAGTGTTTGTTGACAACGTGTCTTCATTGAGTTTTGTATTTCATTTAGCTGATTTCTTTCAATTGCTTTTCGCTTGTCAACAATGGCGTGTATTTAAATATGAAACGAATGAAAAGGATCGTATCTATGTTGAAGCGGGTGGATCAAATCGTGAAATCATTTATGATAAAGATATTTACGAGAATAATCCCACATGGGATTTCGTTCTTAATAAACGACATTGGCTTGATCATATAAAATATGCGATATTTATGTATGGCGCATGGAGTGTTCTATCGATTGTTTACCTAGCTGGAACAACTAGAATTAGTCTACTGGGACTTGGTTATCTAATCGCATGTTTCTATTTCTTTTGGTACGGACAAGATTTTCTAACAAAACGCGTGACAGTCATGCTTCGATTGTAAGTTGTTATAATGCATTTTACGCATCAAATTCATATTCGATTTATCTTATAGATGGGGCTATCTGATTTACTACTGTTTTTCGGTGATATTCATCAAAGCATGTTTACAGGTACGTAAAGAACACATGGGAATGCTTGTCTTCTCTTGTCCGTTAGCAAACTTATTTTCAGATAGTTGCTTGTGTTGATCTTGCCTCAGCGCAATGTAGTATTCAGGAAATCTTTGCTGTCGTCTGTATAAAAATAGACAGCGAAAGTAAATCGATATTGATTTGATTTTACCGGGACATAATGAAATAAATTCCTTCTCTTCATACGATTATGATTGCTAGTTCCGATTCTCTCTAGGTGGCGGTCTGCATCTTCCTCTATCCATCAACGCCTTGTGCAGGAAGTATACGTACATCATCACCATTCTGCACATTCATTGATCTGCTTGTACCATGCTTAAAATCAGATTTCATTCCTCCAAGAGATTGTGGTGCATCGTTTGATGGTATAAAATTTCTCGAGCATTTCGTTTTTTCTTCTAATATAAAATCTTCGACTTCTTTGTTTTTCAGCCATCAATCAACAATGTGATCGAAATCCAAAAGATGCCAATCTATTCATGTAAGATTGTTTTGCATAGAAATCTGCTTTCTTTAGACTTTGCTGAATAGGGATGGCTTTTGCTTGATATTCTTATTATTGCAAAAACGAATCTTTGCGAGCTATTACTGGGAACATATTGTTGCTGAACTTCGTTCACAAGCGAAACTTGCAAGTCAAGGTGCCGTTTTATTCACTGAAATTTCACAGAAACGAATTGAAGAAGACAGCAAACGGGAAGACCTAACAGTGAAAAAAATTCGCAAAAGCTTAGATCGTATTAAGGATCAACAGCTTGAACAACAATCCAAGCAACAATCGAAACAACATCAATCAGGAAGTCGATCAGCAGTTGTACTTCTCGACGCAACAGAACATTTCGAAGGTTTATTTAAAATCACTTTAAAGTCAATTAGTTTTCAACCTTTTAATCATTCCATTCTAGCCATTCGATCAGGAGATTACTACATGTTTGATTATCAATCTGATGAGGAAGAAGATGAAGGAAAACAAGATGAAGCAACAGTTGCACAAGAACAAGTAAATCAAACAAAATCTTCTATCAATCTAAGTCATTATTTTCTCCGATAGATTCTTCAAGTTCTAACAGCGAGTGACAAAGATGCAGCTGCTGCCGTTGCTGCAGATAGTAAATTTTCCCTAAAAAAAATCTTTCTCTTTGATACAAACCTGTTTTTCAGAACCACCACCACCGACTATACCTGAATCAACTAGTCAAGAGTTTCCTGAAACACCAGTATCTCCACTTGAACAACCTACTGACATCACAACTATTACAGTTTTACCATTGACACCCACGTCAGAACAAGAACCGAGCGTTGAACCAAAAGGTAGAGAAGATTTGATTTGGTAATCATTTTATTTATTTAAGATTTTCCATTAGTTAAAAGTAAAAGTACGAGTAAATCAATCCTGAATAAAATGCGTCTGATTGGTCGTATTGTTATCGATTATTTCATCGACTTATTCAATCGAAGTTCGCGAGATTATCGTGAAGTTTCGAAAAAACTATCGGAAATGAAATCGTTGGATAAAATTAATCAACAGGAAGAACGAATTCGTGCTCAATCACTTGCGGCATCCGTAAAAATATTCAACATTTTCAACATAAACGAACTATTGTAATTGTAGGCATCCGTCGTCAATCTCGATCAAGTTGGACAAGGCGATCATTTACCTGAGTTCGTCTTTTTTTTTGTTACCAGTAAATGATTGTTCATTTGAATAACTTCATTTCAGATCACGCCGTACTCGAACTCTTTCTCAAACGACTGATCTATGTCAACGTTCACGTCTCTATCGTTTATTTGACTCCCTATTCTATTTTACAATGTCACGTTCAGAACTTCTTTGTTACTCTGCAATGATCATCAATCATCTAACATCAGGCGCACTTCTTTCAATGCCATTACCATTATCCATCTTTCTTTGGGCTATGCTATCGTCTCGACCATCGAGAAATTACTGGATTACAATCATTACATACACCGAAGCAATGATTGTGATTAAATATATATTTCAATTTCGATTCTATCCGTGGAATTCACCAGATAAGATAGATACGGATGGTCCTCTAGCAGCAGTGAACATTATTGGAATTAATCGAAAAGAAAATGCCGCTTCAGTCGCTGATCTCTTTCTCTTATTGTCATTGTTTCTGCATCGATCTATTCTAAAACAACTTGGACTTTGGAAAGCAGAGCGAGGTGCCCTAGATAGTAAGTCTAAAAGGAAGATTTTCCATTCAACATATGCTGACTTTATGACTAGGTTCAGCTGATGGTGGTGTCACTTCTGAGGAACAACAGGAAATTGATCAATTCGAGCCACCGAAAGTTCGAAGGTAAAAGGAAAAGCGTTCAATTCTCATTAAAAATCATTTCATATCTTTCCTAGTGCAAATTTTATTAAATTAATCATCGATTTCTATCGAAAACTTCAACCAGCGTTGTTTGTTCGCGATGTTTATGCACCGATGTTCTTTTGTGATTTTATCAATATGATTATCGTCATCGGTTTCTATAGTCAATTCGGTGTAAGTCATTTTTGATAGATTTTATTTTTGTTTCTTTGTTTTTAATACTCATTCTCTTCCAGTTAACCGAAAGTCAAAGGGTAAATTCTTATATTCACTTCGGTGTTTGTAATCAATAGGATTAGACATTCCCTTCTCCTGTCACTTGATAGTTCATATTGATCGTAGCACATCTCTGTCCGCTTTTTTATTTGATAATAGTGAAAAACATATTTGATTGGTACGTTTAGGAACGCGCTGCTGGTAATGTTGTACAAACTATCAAAGAAAATAAAGTAAGATGATTTATTGCACGAAAAAGAAACTAGTTTGCTCGTTTTGATGAAAAGGTTCCGGTCGCTTTTCTTGTGATGTTATTGATTCAATTTTTGTTAATTGTTATTGATCGTGCACTTTACTTACGACGAAATGTTCGTGGAAAACTATTTTTTCAATTGTTTCAAGTCATCGGCGTTCATATATGGCTGTTTTTCATCTTGCCGGGTATCACACATACGTATGTAGAGAAATAGTTTGAATAGAATCTATCAAGAGAACAACATTCTTTTCAAGGAAATTTCGTCAAAATCGAGCTGCTCAATTCTGGTATTTATTCAAATGTATCTATTTTGGTTATTCATCAATTCAAGTTCGATTGGGTTATCCACAACGAATTGCTGGCAATTTTCTAATGAAACGCTTTAATTATATCAATCAAGTTTTATACCGAGGGTAGGATTTGTCGAAACTGAATGAACAAAATTGAGTAACATATTTCTTAGATATTTATTAATTCCATTTTTATTGGAATTACGAACAATTATGGATTGGATATTTACTGACACAGCACTTGGATTGTCGAGTTGGTTGCAACTAGAAGATATCTATTCAAATGTTTATCTGTTGAAATGTGCTCGATGGGCTGAAAAGGTAAAAGCGAAAAGAATTGTAACGAAGGAAAATGTATCGTTTTAGAAATATCCCACTGAACGTGGCGTGACGCGACCGAAAATTACTAAATATGGTGTCGGTGGTTCATTATTAGCCCTTCTCATTCTACTAATTTGGTTTCCATTATTATTCTTCTCATTTTCTTCATCATTTTATCAACCTAATCCACCGAAAGAAGTCAATGTCGAGATTAAACTTGGTGGTTATTTAGTAATACGATTTCTTGTTTATTTTTCCTGCTAATTATTTTATTTTTCTAGCCAATCTATCAAATGACTGCACAAGATATTGATCTAAAAGAATTCAAATCTGAAGATTCCAGACTTTTACGCGAGAAGATTGATGCACTAAGTGCATCACCAACTCTAAAAGTGAAATCTGCAAAATAATCGAGAAATAATATTCAAATGAATATGTTTTAGGATAGTGCTAATGCGTTTTTACGTGATTTCAATCCAGATGATATCCGATGTGTAAATCTATTTGCCACAAGCGTTGATCTGTGGAAAATTAGCCAGCCGATACGTGATATAGTCGTGAATAATTTACGTTCAGATGTCACAGTGCCTGTACGATTTTCATATACAATTACACGCAATCCACCGAATCAAGATAGTTCTGGTGATATAGCAGCTGTAGTCGCAGGAGAGCATATAGTTGATATAACAGCAAGTGATCGAACGATTCGAGATGCACTCATTGAAATGTTAAATGGAACAGTTGATCAGCAAATTTCCATGTAAATTTAAATAAGAGAAAAAGAAAGAGTTTCATCTATGTTGCTTTTCTTTTTTTTCCAGAAACTTCACCATCGCAAATTTAATGCCACGCTTTTTACATGTCAAACCCAAAGCCAATCCAGAAGAAATCGAATCATTGAAGAATAGTGAGCTTGTTTGAGATCATCATTTTCAATTCAATTTCACTGTCGATTCTAGTTTTCATCAATGAGTACTATGCCAACATAACTATGGGTCTAAATCGTACAAAAACGATTCCGAACAGTACAGATGTTTGGTGGGAAGTGAATGAAAACATAACTAAACTAGACGAATCAACAAAAAAACATCAATATAGTTTCATTCCGTCATGTAAGTCAACGAATGAAATCAATTTCAATTGAAACAGATTGATGTTTTCAGGTTCTCCGAATAATCCACAATACTTGACAATGATGTTTTTCAACGACAAAGTGTCACCAGCAAATATCTCATTTCTTACCAGATATGGGTAAGTGATTTCATTTGTCACAATTGTGTCATCGAATTCATGTTTGTTTTGTCTACATGTAGAATCATTGGCTTGTACACAACATTCGTTATTGTTGTTGCTCGATTATTACGCACAATTCTCCAAACAAGTCGCACAATCATATTCAATGAACTGCCAAGTGTTGAACGCCTCTGGCACCTTTTACGTGATATATATCTTGTCCGAGAGCACAACATCTTGCTAATCGAAGAACAATTATTTGCTAAACTTTTGTTTCTTTATCGTTCACCTGAAACATTGATACAATTTACGAAACCTAAGTCAGAATAAAATCGAAGATTATTTTAAAAAAAAAAGAATGAAAATGGATCGGCAGTATTTGATCGTATTTTCTGTGTTTTGTTCATTTTTTCTTCTTCTTGTTTTTGTGATATGTAATCTGAGTTTATCTTGAAGATTTTCTCTTTTCTTTTGTGTATTGCTCAATATCATAGAGACATACTCAATGTTTATTTTCTTGTCTATCTAGTTTCTAAACGTTTCGTGATTACTATGCTCTATTGTTGTACCTTTAAAACAGTATTTTTTTGTATCTGTTTCAGTTTGAAAGCTAAAATAGAGCATAAAATGCACAAACATGTTTTTTTGCTATCAGTATATTGAATGAATTGCTGATCAATTTCAAACAGATAGAAGAACTTTATTCTGTTTTCTTCATTTCTTTAAAAGGTTTGTGTAGTTCGATAAAATGACAAAAGTCAATCGACTGTAACCACGTTCGAATCATTTTTGAGCGTGACGCTAGATTTTATTATGACCGATTCACTCGATGTGTAAATCAGAATAAAATTGAAGATTATTATAGAAAAACAAGAATGAAAATGGAAGTTTATCTTGAAGATTCTCTCTTTTCTCTTGTGTATTGCTCAATATCATAGAGACAAACTCAATGTTTGAAAGTCAATGAAATTTTATTAATAAAAAGATAAGAAGAAGAATCTATCAATGGAATGAAAAGTAATATGGAGTACAGAAAAGAATAAAAATTTCTTTTTTTTTGTCCGTGTTAATCAATGAATAAGAAGATTAAAATAAGTGCTTTTCAAATTTTTTTCTACATGTTTATCTAGATCGTCAATGTTGCTTTTCACATGTTTCAATACTTTCAAGACCATATTGAGTAATTCGACAACATTGTTCATTGAATTGTTTGCATTGCGCTAACAAAGATTTATGTTGTGCATGAAATTTAAAAAATCATTCTTTTGAATAACACAAAACAATTGTACAAATCCGGCTCTACATACTCTTGATTCAGTGTCATCCTTATCGCAAAATTTACAACTCATCTTTCTTTCAATTGGTATGACACAACAAACGATGTCAAATTCATATATTACTGGAGCTCATATATGAATTACGTTCAGTCGATAAACTTTATCGTCCGAATGAAAACATTAATCAAGGTTTTCGACTTGAAATGATATTCATCACTCAATTGACCTACACACTAATTCGGTTTAGTGGAAAATCGACAATAGAAATTTGGACAACGGACTTTAGACAATCTTGAAGATTTGAAAAACTGCATAGGCTTTCCTAGGAGTATGTCAGTACAAAGATTCATGTCGTATCGTACTGCCCTGACTTACCCACACCCTCACCCTCTTGCAGAAATTCCGTTGTCCAAATTTCTTTTTGTCGATTTTCCGTTTTATCAAAACTTCCATACGGATGACATATTTACCCATCAGAATCGAATTTCCGAATTCATATTCCATGGGTTGATTTTTGAACATAAAATTATTAGTTTGTACACAACAGTCGTCACTGTTGTTGCACGATGGTTATGTACAATTCCTTAAACAAGTCTAACAATTATGTTTAAGAAATTACCGAGTGTCGAACGTTTATGGTAGTTTTTGCGTAGTATTTATCCGATTCGAGGACAGAACATGTCACTTATAAAGTTGTTTCTTTATCGTACATCTGAAACATTCATAGAATTTACGAAACATAAGCCAAAATGAATAAAACCAAAGGTCATTCAGGACAATGATTAAATTTATGTGTTTTGTGATTACTATATCAGGTTGTTCTCTCTTCGAACAACATTTTTGTATGTTCAGAAGATGACGTAGAGCATCAAACTGTCACTACAGTAGATGAACAACTCGTTTTCGAAAAACATATTTTATCTGAGTTGGTTCGTACTTTTCTTCTTTTTTTTTAATGTTTGATACCGCGTAAGCAGGAAAGCCGATTAATCACTTGTCGATTGCGAGATATTTCAATCGAAATTAATAATTCATATCTTCCATAACACCGATTTTAGTCGATTAAAGTCGAATGAACAAGTTTCATTGTAATCAGACGACAAAAAATGTCTCCACATACTATCCGGTTGAAAATTATTCTCATTGTGTTGTTACTATGAATAGATATAAAGCAGAAAAGTCATACCTTTGCTTTCACAATCAACCGGCTCTAATCGAATAGAAAGAAAAGAATATAACTTGTTTTTCCTTTCTGCCAACGACAATCATATTTTATTCTCTTTCATATACACTATAGAAACGTTTACCTCGTTGAATAATTCATTATTTTCGAACATTTGTTCAACGAGCTCATTGTTTTAGAGGTTTTTTGATCACAACATACGGCTGCTATTCACTCTTTCTGATCGAGTACAGAAAATGGAATTTGATAAGGAAAAAAGCAGTTTTGCCTTTGGGTTAACCTACCGTTCACATACATGTTGGAAATGAAAATTCGTGACTAACTAAACGAAGACTAATTGTAGCTCAAGTCTTCCCAAAAAATACATTTTCTCAGGCGAAAGAAAGTATTTTAAGACATGACAAACATAGTTTATTCATCCTTGGACGCTCAAAAAGCTATTGATCAAATGTTTGCCATACTCAAAAAGCACTTCTGTTCGAGTAGTCTACGAAATAGGAATCATCCTCTTGCAAAGATCAATGAGTTTCTATTTCGGCTATCTCTCGAGCGCAGAACAATCAAGACGGATAAATCAGACTTTATGTCTCGTATTTTCTTCACTTATTTTGTTATGATTTCTTGTAGAACATATTCTCTTAGGATTAGAAGAGATCAATGACTAACGCGTAAAACCAAAACCACGCATTGAATAAATAATTCGTCTCGTTGTTGAATGATCGTCATCGGGAGTTTGTCATTCTGTATAAATATTTATTTAATTCAAATACTAAAAGCAATCTTGAAGACAAAGCAGATCACTAGTTTCTGTCAAAGCATTGAAGATCAGACGATCTGATGAAGATGATTTGAAAATTCTCAATTTTGATTGTAGGAATTAATCCGTTGTAAGGCGATGGAAGAAATCGTGGTTCTCTCATACGATCCAACATGGCAAAGAAGATTAAAGGTAAGATAGGGAGGAAATAATATCTTGCTTTGTTCGCTGATGAATCCTCCTTTTCCTTCATTTATCTTTTCGTTTGTTATTGTCGATGATGAAGATTTTCTCCTGTTTCCTACTTATTTTTACACAAGAAACGACTTCATATTACTTTTGTCCTTGAGACACTGAGTGCCATATAAAATTAGACATCGACATAGAACGATTGCGAAGTGATGCGAAAACTAGTTTGCATGAACAGATTGATTCACTCATTCGATCTTGTGCTATCGGAGACTTTGATGAGAAAGAAAACAAGAGGGAGAGAGAGGGAGAAAAGTAGGAGGGTGTAAATTAATAACAATGCTCTTAGATGGAACAGGAGTCGTCAAAACTTTGTTTTTTCTTTTTCTCTCGTGTCGATCGATCATTTTTGTTTATTCAGCTACTTGACTCACCATGGAAAGAAACTAGAAAACGCGAGTTTTTCATCACACTTATCTAATAATATAGAAATAGACGGGTGAACGAGAGTGTTGCAGAATAAAAAGAAGGGAAAGAGAAAGAAAGAAACGGCATATTCTTTCCTTACTTTAGCTCTTCAAGTCTGTGTATCGTTTATTTCCATTTCGCTGGAACATAATTTAAGTTCACTAAAGACGACAAATGGCAAATGATATCAATCAACCGTTCTATCGTGATGTTATTAACAATAATCTCTTGAGTGAAAGTTTAAAACCATTAACATCTCAACAACAGCAAAATCTTCAAAAACATCATCATCATCAAGATCTTATTGATCTTCTTTCATGGAATGAAACAAACAGTCATGCATTGCGAGCAACTGATTCATCCTTTAGTGTCACGTCGCATTCCGTGCTTAACGAAGATTTTGATCGTTTAAAATACTTAATACGATTAGTTCTTTGGCCTATTGATCATAATATTCGACAGAATCTATGGATGAATATTTCTACATTAAATCGTGCTAATTCCGCGAAACAACATCGTCACAGATCTCAAACAGGTTTAACAACGTCAACAATGGTTGTGGAGAATCAACTCAATCCATTGGCACCTGTTCAAAATCAATGGCCGAAATTTGTCGATACGAACAATTTATGTTTTTATCATTTAAATCAAACCAATGGTCATCCGTTACTACATCGGATTATTTCAACATTTGCTCTCCAACATCCTGATGTTACGTATTGTCCAACATTGCAACCTTTGTCTGCGATACTCTTGCATTATCACAATGAATATGAAGTTTTATATTTAATTAATCGCTTATTAATCAAAAGTTGGCTTTGTGGTGAAACACGTCTTCAATGGGATGCACATTGTAATGTTTTTAAAAAGTTACTTAGACTTCATTATGTATGTTGAATCTCACTTGATTTGAATGTGATCGGTTCTCTATTTCTTTTTGTTTTCATTTAGAAACCTACAGTTGATATAATCGATTCACGTTATTCGAAAGATTTCTATCAAGACTGGTTCTGGTTGATATTCCGTTATTTACCGTTTTCTTACATTGTACGAACACGACAAAAGTATCATTTAGAATTCTTCTGAACTTTTCTATTTATTTTAGGTGAAAATCATGGATTGTTTTCTTTTTGAAGGTCCTAAACTTTTATTTCGCATCAGTTTAACACTCGTTCATTTGTATACAAAAAGTATGCAGAGAAAATCACTCTGGTTTACATAATCTTATTCGTCTCCATAGGAATCAAACATCAAACGCAAGGAAATGATCTAACAATGGCTGATTTCTGTCGGCAAATTTCCGTTCCAATTGATAAACTTTTACACGTAAGTCATTTCTATCGAAAATATTCATTGATTTATTATTAGTTTTCCTTTTTTAGATTGCATTTCGTATTCGAAATTTCAAACGACGTACTATAGAACAATTGATGGAACACGAAGAGAAACTTTTACGAAACACTCGACAACAAATGTTACATGATGATGTAAAACCCAATCATATCACGGAAAATCTTACTAATCAGCGAATTCCACAACATTTAATCAATGTACCAACAAATTCTATGCTCAACCAACAGCAAGTAATCACGATGACAATGGTTTTCGACAGAAGAACATCTTCTTTCTATTATCATTCAGTTCGTTACCTTGTGGAATTGGTTACCAGTGCGGTTAAGTTTAGCACAGCCAATGTTGGTGTTTACAACGAACGAACATGGATTTCGTTTGCAAACATTATTGAATAAAGTCGACGAACTTGATCATTCGATATTGATTATCAAAGCAACAAATGGCGAAGTAGGAGTTCGTTTTGTTTTCTTTGGTATAGAAAAAAAAATCCGAATTTGATTGACTTAAAATAGATTTTTGGTGCATTTTGTGCTGGTCTATGGTCTGATCGTCATAATCGAGCATATTTTGGTTTTGGTGAATCATTTTTATTTACACTTGTACCTCATGAAACTCGATATGCTTGGGTTGGACAAAATCTCGATGATACTAACCGTTTGAATCAAGCTAAACGTGAAATGTTTTTATTTGTTGATAATGAAAAATTAATCATTGGCGGAGGGTAATGAAGATGTTAAAGTAGACTTTTTCGAAAGTCTTTTGTTTTATATTTATAGAAATGGTGATGGTTTATCGATTGATCAATCCTTGTGTGAAGGTTCCACAACACATTGTGACACATTTGATAATCAACCACTTTGCTCTCAATCGTATTTTTCTATTTCGATTTTAGAAATGATTGCATTTGATTTTTCTTCGTCATAATTTGCTTTTTCACGAAAATTTATTAAGCAAATATTTATATATGAAGAAGAATTTGATTTTGTTTTGTACATTGATTTGTCTGTATTACAAGAAAAATTTGAAATAACAATTTCAATATCTCTCGTGTCGAAAAGAGAAAAGCAGTAGGGAGCGAAAGTTTTCTTTCTGAACATATTGAATTAAAGTTCGACTAACTGTCTGAAAAGCAAATGAAGCAATTCATATGCTTTAATACACGAAGGATCATTGAAAACAAAATAACAACTACTCTTCCATCTTATGTTTTCAAACATCACTGACAATTTGTCATCATCAATCAAAATGACATTAGAAAAATGTACAAACAGTAAGTTTTACTAGAGGATGAAGGAATGATTGTTCATAAAAAGATCCAGTTTAAAGATTAATTAAATGTTGATGAATATTATTTTCGTCTAAATGATCGCATATTTGTTCACTTATGATCAAGATTTGATGAAAATGAATGAACATCAATTCAGTATTTACTAATCATGAAATTGTCTATATATAATACTAATAAATATGATTTCAACTTCTTCTAATAATCACATATCCACTTCGCAAAACGAGTAATTTAAACACACTGCTTTGATGTACGTGTCTACTTATGCATAAACTATATCAACAATTGCACTTATATCAGCATCATTAAAGACAATTTATTTAACTGGGTACATCGTGATAAACAAGACAGAACAAAATGAGACCCTGGACTGTCTTGTAGAAGTGTAGCTGTTCTCATAAAATAGTTATCTACTGAATTTATTATTATTTTACTAATAGATTCTCGTGCAAACGGCGCGACTACTTCTGTCTACAATTCCCATACAGCTTTTTGAAATATTTTCAACTGTATAGAACGACAATTGAGTAAACTATAGTAGCATTAACCGATATTTTACTTCGCAGTTAGTGAGAATTGAAAATATCTTAACAGATATTTGTAAAATTTATAATATCAATTTGACTTGACATTCATTCTGTTATCATTTGTTCATAGCGAACCGTAATGTCATTTTTCTATTGGATTTAATATTTCTTGACATATTAATAATGCTAATGACAATAGCTTTACTGAAGTATCTGTAAAAGGACCGAGTTCATAAACAAATCTAATAATCCTAATATACAGTTGGCAGATATTCATACTCAAAGCCTACGTTTCTTGTTATAATACATTTTTCATCGAATGTCTAAAACACAAAACGATTAATTGTCAACGGATTTATTCACAGAAAGCAAGCAAATTGTTGATATAGTATTTAATTTCCTTTGCTTTTGCCAACGTATAGAAAAAACAAATCTTAGAGTGAGATGTCATGAATAGGTAGGAAGCATATCATATACCTTCTCATCTGTAAAAGTATATGCATATATAGGACACTATTTAACAAACGTTCGATCTTCTTCTAAATCGAAACATCGGCATAAAGATATGAATGTACTCTGTTACAGTTCCAATTCATGTGGTATATTTTAAATTGTTGTTGAACTAACTTCCTGTCGTACTGGACTTTCCGGCACTACAATCGATTTGTTTCCTGTCAAATTCTTTAGCTTAAGTTAATAATTGTGTTGAATTTCAACAATTGCCAGTATACATACCATGAATGACACAGATAAGAAAATATGATCGATGATTTTTCGTATTTTTATGTGTAATGCATCAATTATATCGGTTACTTTGAATTTCATCAATATACCCGGACGGAGAAAATAGGTTTTTAAGACGAAGAAAAGAATGTATTATGAATAGTTCTCGTAGTTTGAATCTTCGAAATACCGCATTCACGCACGGAACGTGAAAGATCTTTAATAAAGACGCATATGTCCCGTACTCGTATATGCATTTCATATAATCAGAAGAACAAGAATACTTCAACATGACGTCTATGAAAAAAGTAAAGATTTTGAAATGAAAGTTTTTGTTATAGGAATACTTCATTCTAGAGAATCAATATTCATTCAGATCAAGTAATCATATGAAAAACTCAGATTGATTCGGCAATAGTGTTCCAAATGACCTGGTTAGGTTTGATAAACTCAACCGAACAGAATTTCTTTTGTAAATATATTATAATTATGAAAATCAAATTTACTAATTAAAGACATTCTTGGTGAACGTGTCAATCCTCCTACAAATAGCGCATCGTAACGTATTTTAATCGTCTTGTATGCAAAGTAATGACAAGATTACAAAATTCTAATTCAGTATTTAATTACCCGGAGCAGATTGTAATGCCCTACTCGTCGATTCATTTTCAAAATGTAGTCAAAATTTGTAATGAGAAAACAGCTACCAGCTTCTCTCCGCAGAAAATCTCGTTTTGAAAAAAAGTTTACTGTTCTTCGAACATTGTAAATTAATGATGAATACGGATAAATGAATCTTGTTTTTTTTATGTCGTTTATTTTTATCGTTACATCCACGAGGAACAAAGAAAAGTAGTTAGCAAGGTAGTAATAAAAGAGTTCTAAACTCGGCGGAAAGAATATTCATTTAGAAAGTATAGGAGAAAAGTCTTTTTTCTTCTTCATCCAACCTATATGAAACTGTTCGTTCTCTATCAAATTTACATTAAATAAATAAATTAATCATCTGCGAAAAGAAAAGAACGACATAAAAATTAATCGAAGAATGATATGTCGCGTTTTACTGTCACGTACACATCAGTATACTATTAACAACAACATCATATCAACAACGAGAGAAAAGAAGAAAAAGAAATGTATATATATATATAAGGAAAAAAATAGAAAAACAACGTAATTATTAACAGTGTGTGTGTGTGTACGTACGCAACGGCGTGTATGGGTGTAAATCGAAGAACTTAGTCGGTCTATACACTACCCACCCCCTTGCGTAACTTGTAATATGTCCACAAACTGAGATTTTTCTGTCTGTATGTGTTTTGGAAGAAAAAGAAAGAAGAGGAATACGACAAAAATACATAATGCGAGAAAGACACAGAAAGAAAAAGAGGCGATAGGGGATCATAATGTGTATGTATGTGCATGAAAAACCCGACGGAAACCGAGAAGAAGTGAGACATTTTGCATCGTCGATAGTTGATTGCCAGCTCTTCTTTTTTTTTTCTTTCCCAAAGATTTTGTTATCAGATGCTTTGTGTCTATAAACACTTTCATACACTCAAATATTCATTTTAATGTTCATTTCAAAGAGTAAAGGACTTTTTCTTTTTCTTTTTTTCTCAAGTATTTCTCTTTCGTCAGTCTTTCTCTATTGACAATAGATAAAAATTGAAGGTAAGTAATAGAAAATATTGCTTTGCACTTTGACACATATTATCATCGTTTATTTTATATCTCTTCTTTAATTTCACTGTTATTTTCTTCTACTTCTGACGATAAGAAACTAATGAGTGGTGTTTGTGTTTTTGCGTCTTTTGTTAGACGTTCGTTTGCTAAAGAAGAGAGAGAGAGAGCGAGGAAAAAAAGACGAGATGATTAACAAATTGATGATGGATCTTTTTGTTTACTTCTTTATATCTATATTATTATAAATATTTTAGTTCTGTTTCAAAGATTAGAATTACTGGGAAAGCATTTTCTTCTCTTTCTTTCCGAGTCGGTTATTTTGAATTTTTTTTTCAAAAAGAACATTACTCCTGTTTTTTTTTTCATCGTTGTTTAAGTGAGTAGAAACAGAATCGCTTTTTTACGCGCACAGACACATACGCCGTATTTGTTAGATGAAAAGAAACAGACAGATGTTGTTTTTAACGTACGACTAATACATCGTACGTTCCATAGTGAAACATCGTTGTTTGTTCGACTTGTTCTCGGACATGAAATTTTCTTTTTCTCATTCACAAACATTTGTCAGCTGAGAGAAGATTTTTTCTTTTCTTTTCTTAAAGACACATCTCCCATCTGTTTTCTTCTGTTTTTTTTTTTGCAACATTTTACTCAATGCTTTTTTTGCGTCGTCGATGACCTGTTACTAATAATTGCTCTGCAGGTTTCTCTTTCTCCTTCTCGTGTTCGCGAAACGAAAGCAAGATAGAAATGACATACTATGGATTCCATGGACGATAAATAACCAAAAAATGTGCGTTCTCCGTTTACTTTCGCGTTTGGATGTCACATTCCGTGGACATACACACACTTGCTTTTTTTTTCTCAATTATAACATATATAAATATGTCGAGGATTTTTGTTTTAGGCAGACATCATTACATGGCCTATGACGATGCCTGTCCGCCGAAGAAGCGTTGGCAACAACAAAGTTGTACACCAACACCTTCAACATCGTTTGTATTAGATGCAAATCAATGGCGACAACAAAGTATCTTAGTACTTGATAAATCGAATCCAAACTGTTATCATCTTGGTGTGATTCTCGATATTATTGATTCTCATCTCATCAAAATATCAACACGTGATGAACAATCGTCTCCTTTAACAATTGATATTCATCAGCCAATATCAAAACATTTTCCATCGATCATAATTGATAATATTCCAGCGTGTCAAGATCTCGTGAATAATATATTAGTGTGTGTTCGTCGAATGAAAACGGAAAATAGCACCGAATTCTTTTGCGGACGAATACGATCAAAACATCCGACACGTTTAGAATTTTCAATTGAATTTCGAGATTCGAATAACAATCAAGAGGATAGTGAAGAAAATCAAGAAGATGTTTGGTTTACGAGACAAAATATTCGATTATTGTCTGAACCGTGGCATGAAGAATTACGTCTTCATCAACAAAATCTCTCTGTTTTTCGACCAATCTCGATTGATTCATCGGTAACGAATCAACAGAATGCGTATCCGACACCGCCAGCTGAACACAAAGATGAAGATGATGAAGAAGTCGAACGAGAATTCAAGAAAGGCGAACAACAAACAATGAACAAACTTCAAGGAATCAAAAAAGGCGATATTTTTACAATGGGGTAAAGAAAAAATCCCTTCACTTTCCTTTGTTGATCTTCGTTTTTAATGTAGAAACACTGGTATACGAAAAAAATTCAATGGAAAACAGTGGCGTCGCCTATGTGGAATGAACCAGTGTCAAAAAGAATCCCAACGACACGGGTTTTGTTCCAAACATTTGTCCCAAATGCGCGAACCAATGAACCGTTTCGTTGGACCCATGGGAACATTTCCTCACGCCGCTGCCCTTCCATTTCTTGCTGAGTATTACCAACGTCGTTTCGATTACGTGCCATCACCAGTTTTACCATTCTATCATCCACTCGCCCCAACATCATCAACATCGTCGGTAGCAGGCACAACAGCAACCGGATTCCCCAATATTCATCCTCTTCGATCGTTTTCAACACCTTCATTAACAACAACACCATTACTAGTCAATCCTAACCATCCATCGAGCGCTTTTGCACCATTGATACCTATGATTCGACAACATTCCGTTGATGTCAGTCGATCACCGGTTTTATCAGATCATCGAAATTCTCCTTTGACGCGTCGTTTAAGTGAAGATAATGATGATGTCGAAATCGACATTGAATCAATCCCGTCACCAAGTATGTTTACTTGTCAAAGTGGAAGCGATAATAAATCTTTTGTCTTCTAGCTGTCAAACGATTTCGTAGTAATATTATTGGAAATGACAAGAACAACAACAATAATAATAATAGCCAATCGAATAGTATGTCATCACTTTGTCAAGATGTTTTGCCCAAATTGATGACGACTGTTTCTGTTGTTGAACCATCAAGTTCTTGATTATTTTGCTTCTTTTCTCTTTTTTTTTCAAAACAATCAATTCTTTGAATGTGAGTGAGTGAGTGAGTGCATGTGTGTCAAATGTGTGATGAGCTATTCAAGTCGGATCAAATCATGCTTTGTATGTTTATCTGTATAGAATGTTGAGAAGAAAGAAAACGAGACATTTGATGTAATCGAGAGTAATGATGAAAGTTTTTCCAAATTACGATATGTCGAGTTTGTTTTCTGATAAGGATAAAAATGACGTTGTTGATCTCATAGAATAATACTCACGATTTGATGTTATCATCTGGCTTGTTTGAATATCTTCTTCAGTTGTCGTTCTGTTCTCTCCCTTTTTCGACATGTTTATCTCGGTGTTTTATAAAGAAATAGTCTAGGTATATCGTCAGGTGTTACAAACACGCGATGTTTTGTTCTTTCTCTTAGTTAATTTCTTTAAAGCTTAGTGAACGGAAGACGAACGTTGTTTAGATATTACACTATAATCGTTGGTTTTTTTTTCTGTGTTCGATGAATTTTAGCATTATAAACTTTCAGAATTTCTATGTATAACAGAATTAGTTGGAACAGAAGAATATTTGGAGATCAATAAACATCGATGGTATAAAGTCATTTAAATTCGTTGAACTGAAAAATTCGAATTGTTGTTTATATCAGAATTCTTTATTGGAAACATGTAACACGTACACAAAAAAGCAGTAAAATTATATTTTTCCGAAAAATGAAGTCAAACATGTGTGTAAAAGTCATTCTTGGATTAAAGTGTCTTGAGTTTGAGTTTATCTTTGGATTGATTGACATAAATCTAAAAAACGAAAATCTCAAAGATAATTTTCTTCTTCATTATTTATAACATACACTGTTTAATGCATTAAGTAATTGATCTACTTTCTCTGGTAATTGATCAATTGGATTACGATATTCCGAACGCATTCGTTCATCTTTCTTTACATAAATCTCTTCACCATTCGATTTCTTCAGTCCTAAGAAAAACAAATAAAAAAAGAAAAATAAATCTAAATAATTTCTTCTAACCTGTCCATTGAATTAATGTTTTGAATGCATATGAATATAAATGTCGATTAGTTTGATTGATATTTTCTCTTGCTAATCGAAAATTATCTCCAATAATTGAAAAAAACATACTCATACAAATAAAAACAACAAAGATAATAAATAAACTGAAAGAAAAGGGTCCAAGAAAAGCATCTGCATCATTCAATTGATGTGCATCAAATTTCATTAACATCATTTCAAATAACATTTGTGCTGTTCCTAATAAATTTGAACATTGTGGTAATTTTGATATAAATAAAAAATAAAATAAACATAAAAATGACATAAATACAATTATAAACATAAATGAAAATGATAATAATTCTTTGCCTGAATATTGAAGTGTTGAAATAAATAAATAAAGACGTTGATTAAAACGACATAATTTAACTAATTTAATTGTTCCAAAAAAACATAAAAAACTTAAAAGAGAATTTAAAATATCATTAATAAATGAAGTAAATTGTAAATTAATAAAATTAAATCCATTGGTTTTTTCAAATAAATTTTCAATTCTTTGACATTCTCGATAACGCCAAATATAAATCAAAAGACTTGTCCATGAACAAATAATTATTCCAATTTCAATAAAAGACCAAAATCGAAGGAAATATTTGAATTGTAAATTAAACATCAATCGTAATTCAATAAACATAAAATAAATAATTAAAATTAAATAAAAAATTGTAGAAATTAATTCAAAAATTGATGAAAAAACTACAATGAACAAAAAAAAACAAAAAGAAGAAATAAAAGAAAAGAAATTTTACTTTGAAAATGAATTGGTTCAAATCGAGCTGATGGATAAACACCACTTGATGATAAAAATTCAGTTAAAAATGTTATTGATGTAAATAATTGAACATTTGGATTATATAAAGTTAATTGTATAATTATTGCACGTGTTCGATTATCAATCCATTGATTTTGATGAAGTTGAGAAAGATTTGTTTGTAATGATAATAAATTTCCACGAAATTCATAAATATAACCACCTTTTCCATATATTCCATGATTTCCATAATAAATATATGTATCTAATGTTTCATTTGATTGATATTGAAATGATTTCAAAAGAAATGAATTTATTGAATTTGTTAATGTTACATTTGTCCATCCTGGTTTATATGAAATTTTATCTTCATTTAAAAAATTATAATCAAATAAACAATTTGATTCAATAAAATTTCTTTTAATACATAATTCAGATTTGACTCGTAATTGTCTCATTGTTGCCCAACCAATTAATCGTGAAGATTTATCATTAATAAATCCACTTAAATTTCGAGGTGGATCATCATTATACCATTTTTGTGCACGAAGATTTTTAATAAAACTTTTTTCTAACCAATTCCAATAATCATCAACTGTTGAAATCTTAAATAAAATCATTTTTATATTCAAAATCTTTTCTTTTTCTTATCATTTTTTTACTTTTGTAAAATCAAAATTTTCTTGTCGAGTATTGAGAAAGTATTTTCGTAAATGATTTACTTGTAAAAATGAATTGGAATCTCGATTAGAATAAACAACAATAAATAAGAAAATAAGAAATATTATATAAATAACAATTTCTCGAATCATTGACCACATTTCGATTTCTTTTAAACGTTCTTCACGTAAACTTATTACTTCATTTTCTGTTAAACGATTTGCACGAATTGGATTTCGATATGTAAATAAATTTTCATCCTTTTCAAAATATTCAATTTTTCGCATTCATTTTTAATATTTTATCAAAGAAAATTAAAAAAAATAAAACAAACCTTATTTTCATGAAGATATTCTTCATCACAATTCAAATCAACACAATTATCATCTAACCATTCATTTGCTTCTCTATTTTCATCATTTGATTTTGAACAAAAACATGCAAAGAATATCGCCAATACAACGATCTTCAATATAAAAATATTATGAAATACTTTTCATTATTATTATTTACAAATCTTTCTCACTTTAATTGGTTGAATAAATAAAATTGATGAGAAAAATCCAGTGAGAATTGATGTTAACCATTTTTGACTTTTTAAATCACCAAATTCAATTCCACGAGCGATTATAAATAAAATTGAAACACCAACAATGATTAAACATAATCCATAACCAATAAAAATACACCACCAAGGAAACATCAATGTTGATTTCTTCTTCTTCTTCTTCATCTGCATCATCTTCATATCAATTGTATCATTTTCGCTAAATCAAATAATCTTCTTTCATCAACATTTCAACTCTAATTCAACAAACCTTTGTGTTTTTGGTCGAACTTTATATAAAGCTTTACGTAATGGTGATTGTTGAGGTCGACGAGGACGAAGACGTCGAAATAATTGTATAAGAAATAAACTTGGAAGAAATGCAAAAATTTCCACAATTATTCCAATGCTTATCTAATCAAATACAAATAAAAATAAATATGAAAACTTCACACTTTATCCGAGAGTTATGTGTACTGCAAAAAAAGTGAATCAGATAGAAGACATAAAGAATCTGAGAGAAATATCATTTTCTTTTTCGATCAAACATGAATTGTTTGTCCAATCAGTCTCATCTTCGATTTCTTCAGAGATTTTCATGTAATAACACATCCTCAACAATTTCATCTCAATCACATTAGTCTCTCTACAGTTATCGTATAAACGGATGGAGGACACTGACTACGTCTAATAATACACTCATGTTTTCCGTCTACTACAGCGATAAGATCCGTTCAATCGATTCTCGGTAACATATTACATTCCCTTTTCTGGAAGAAAGGGTTATAACCGCGTTAAAACTGGTTAAAGTTTGTTTGTTTGTCCAAGTCAATCAGATTGCAGCATTTCATAAATCAATGAAAACTTAACGATGTTCCTAACGAAGTGATTGTTGCAAGGTAATCGAGGTAGAGGATCTCGAATCCGGTGTCAGTTTTTCGAAATTTCAATTCGCTAATTAAGCAATGAAAACATTTTTTGGTGGTCGAATAAGGGTCGACTGGAGGGTAATCGGGGTCGAGCATCCCAAATCTGCAGTTAATTTTCGCAAATACTAACTAATTAAACAGTTAATTAGCTAATGATTAGTTCTTATATTGTCAAGTAAGAGTTGACCGAAGGGTAATCTGTTCCCAAGATCTGTAATGTGTTGTTAGTTTTTCAATAAAAAATCCTGTTCTGTTTTTTAGATAAACGTCGGCTTTTTGCAGGGAAGTTTTTCTTAGGCAATAGTGCTTGAAGTAGCAATATGTAGAACTGAAAAGAAATAGCTGACTAACATCGGATTGTTGGATATTCATACACATCAGCATATTGATAACATCACGATTATACAAACAGTTATATTACCTTACCCAAACATTATCTGATGCTAACCACTCAGTAATACTTCCTCTGACAAATGTTGTTTTGGACAGTCACAACGGCACAAAGTTCGACGCTAACGGCTACCGGTGAGTGGCCGACCGGAGGAAGGCCGACGAACAACTAGGCATTTATTTCAATTGCTTAGAGGAGATAAAATAAGTGAAAATAAATTGATTTTTTATTCAGAGTAGTCTGAGGAGAGTCGATGAATAAATTTTTATAAGCGGCGTTCGTTTTGTTTACGTCTTTGGACAAATGAATTCAAAGTAATCGAACATGAATGAAGCAGCAAATGAAAGAATGAGCATAAAAGCGACTTCAGTTCGAAGCCAATTAGATTGAGATTTAAGTGAGAGCGTTTATCTACTAGTTTCCCGATACTTTCAGAAATGAGTCAGCGAATCCAACGGATGAGCACTACTTGTAATTAGATGATTGGAATTTCGAAAACTTAACCTTAGATTCGAGATCCTCGACCTCCGTTACCTCATCAGTAGTCAATCTTTGGTGGCCATAAGTAAATTTCATTGATTTATAGTATGCTGCAATCTGATTGGATTATGCAAACAAACAAACTTTACGCATTTTCATGACTGTCTTTATGACGCTATAACTCTTTCTTTCAGAAAAGGAAATAAAGCCTCTTGGATGAAATTTCATCCAGGTAGCTCATACTTGCTCTCTTGGTGGTCCGTCGACAGTTTCTCCGTATCTCTCTAGGCCTACAAGGGACTATCATGGAAAGTTAGGCAACCATAACTGGTACAAAAAGTGAGTTAACACACAATTATACAATTCTATATATAAGAATCTGAGAAAATTCTACTGAAAGGTTGAACGGGACACACTGATCGATTTCGCAATAGGTATGAACTCACTTTTTGAGTATACAAAAAGGAGAATAAGAAGAGATGAAAACATACTTGTTCACTTGTGATATAAAGACCAGCAAAAGATAAACTAACACTAGTGGATGAATTTGTTGATTTGGCTTCAGTTGATAAATCATAATACATAATATTTAAAAACATTGAGAAAAAGAACAGAACAAAACAACATGTACATCGTTGAACACGTGTAAATTGATTTGATGGTGGACGAGAAAAGATTGAAAACCATAAATGACCATCGGAAACACTATGGTAAGTTCGTTTTGCTAAGAGATGTGCAAATTGCTGTTTTTCCAGATCACTCGCAACCGGTAAAAGTCGTTCAATCTATTTTTGGTAGAAAAAAAAACATTAATTAATTATTCATCAAAAGAAACTTTCTACTTTTCCATCATCTTCTTCGACTGCCAACCATTTTTGACAAATAAAATGAAATGTTTCCATTGTTTGTAAATCACGAATAATTAAATATTTTAAAAACCATGATGAAGACGATCCTTTACCTGAATTATTATGCCAAATACGAATACAATTTAATAAACCAAGAGATTTCGGAACACTCATGAGAAATGCATCAATTCCACCACGTTGAAGAATTTCACGATTTGGATCTGCAAATGTTCGAATATTTGTTTCATCATCATTTCCATGAAGAACAAAATAAACATTGGATTTCGTTCCCGAACTCTTTCGTTGACCGGTAAAAACAATAATTTCATAGAAATATTCGTCATTTTTATGATTATCGGGTAAAACTGTCACACCTAATTTCTCCAAATCTTTTTTATCATAAAATCTCGCATAAATTAATAAAATGAAATAAATCACCGAAACACAAATAACTGTGAGATAAATTGTTTTATTTTTCAGAAAATCCGCATTGGAAAAAACGTAATTCCAATTCATTGAATTCGGTAAAACAAGAAAACCACCTGCAAAAGTTGTTAAATGATTTGTAAAACATTGTGTATGAGAATAATTTGTCAACGGTCCAACCTAAAATGAAATTGTTTTCCTTCGAAATTGTTCATTTCAATGAATTTTCAACGTACGATCGTTCCATCTGATTTCCATTGATTATTCGAATCCAAATAATAACAACCGGATGTATAAACTCGTAATAAATAATCATTTGTAAAATTATATCGAATATCTGTAATTGGTGGATCATTTCTTTTCGAATTTGAACATCTTTCATTAATTTCTGTTGAATTTAATTGTCGAATACCATAAATAAGAATTTCATGACCAATTGTTTGTTGATTATTAAGAAAATATTGATAAATATTTTCATTATTTAATGTTGATGGACAAAAAATATGCCAACCATCAATTTGATTGATTGAACTATTTAATTGTGGCATTTGATCAAATCGATAAATAAATAAATAAGAAAGATTTCTTTGTAAAACTTTAATTTCCCAATGAATTGAAACTGAAAGTGAAAAATTGATTGGTAAATAATGAAAATGAAATAAAAATTCATGTGGTGTTGAATTCATTGATGTGACATTTTGATAAATCATTGAAGGAATTATTAAATTAGGATCACGAGGAATAAAAAGTTCAATTGTTGTATTTTCATTTGTTTTTATTGAAATTTCTGATGAATTTTCATCTAAAATTGAAAATGTAATTGTTCTTGAAACATTTGTATTTGATGTTATTTTGGAATTTCCAAATGAAGCTAATGGATTCATTAAAGACTAAATAAATCAAATAAAAAAAAAAAGAATTTTTGTTTTTTCTTTTTGTTTTTGAAAATTTACTCGAATTGAAACTTTTTTTGTTTCATTTAAATAAAATGAAAAATTTGAAGGAAGATTTATTTGACCATTTCCAATTGATTGTTGAAAAGAATTTGAAAAAAATTCATTTGATTTTGTTTCTAATGACATAATTACTTGTGATGTTTCAATTTGACAATTTTGTCCAATATTTAAATTTAAATTTATTGTTGAAGTTAAAAGAGAAATAATTTCATTCATTTGATTTGTAATTTCATTTGATAATTTTCTTTGATAATAATCATTTCGATTATTTTCAATTGTTTCCCATGAAAAATCATTTCCATTAGCAAATAAATCTTTTCGAAAAAAAAATTATTTATAAAAAAAATCTTTTTTTTCTTTTTTTACTTAAATTTGCCCATTCATATTCAATATCAGTATCATAATTTTCTGGAAATGATGTTGCACGAAATGAATCAATTTCTAAAATTTTTGTTCGTTGTTGTAATGGACCATTTACAGCCTAAATTATATTTTTATTTAAATTAAAAAGAAAAAAAAGAAATTAATTTTACACTAAGAAGATTTGTTGCACATTGAATAAGAGAATTTGATGCAATTTCAACATCTTCATATGCAACTTTTTCTCTCATTAAATATAATTTTTGAGATAATTGAAAACATCGATTTGATGCAAATGTCTAAACAAAAGAAAAGAAAAAGAAAAAAAGAAATTTAAAATTTTTACTAAAGTTGATCGAGTTAATTCATTTGTTGATTGTGTTATTTGTGATAAAGTTGATGATTGTAATTTAATACTATTAATTGTTGTTATAAGAATTGATTGAAGAAATGTTATTAAATAATCTCGAGCATTTGCACGAGAATTTAAATTTTTTTCATAATCTTTTAATGCAGATTCATTAAATGAATTTGTTGTCTAAATTTTTTATTTTAAAAATAATTAAATTTATTTTTTTATTAAATTACTTACTGAAATTTTATTTAAAGAATTTAATGATGTAATTGAAATACTTCCTATTGGAACACCATCTTTTAATAAGAAAAAAAGAAGAATTTTTATTATTAATTTTAAATTAAATTTACTTGAAATAACTTTTTCAATATCTTTTATTCCTTTTTGATTAAATTGTTGTGAAACAGATGTTAAAATTTGTCCAACAATATTTTGATTTTGACTTGCAAGTAAATGAATTATTGAATTTGTTGTATTTTCTCCTTTTGATTGTGAAATATCATTTAATAAATTATCAATTCCTTCATTATCAAATAAAATATAAACAGATGAAATATTTATTTCATTTATACAATTCATTTCATCACGAATATCAATAAATAAATGAAGTAATGATGTTTGATTATCTCCTATTGGTAATTGAACATTAAATATTGATACTTCAGAATAACCAATTATCATTTTTTCTTTTTTATTATTTGTCCAACCTATTTTAAAAATTAAAATTTCAATTTTATTCAAATTTTATTACCATAAATTGTATAATCTTTAATTCCATCTTCATCAAACCAATTTGGACATGAAATATGAAATATTGTACTTGTTGTTCCATTTAAAGGATTAATTGAACATGAACCATTTGTAGGTGGTTGATTTATTATAAAATTTAATGAACTTGAACTTTTTTCTGTTAGAAATGTATAAACAACTTCAAATCGCCAAAGAGTTTTGCTAGGATTCATCAAAAACAATTCACTTGTTGCTGTAAAATTACTGGAATTGCCACCTTTACAAAGAAAAAAAGAATTATCTCATCTTTTTCTTATTAAATATCAATTTTTATACCAAAAAACCAAATATTTTTATATGTTGTAGTGAGATTAGATAAAATCCAATTAGTAAAATTTGATGAAGAATTCATTTCACCATAATAAATATTCCATATGATATTTTGTAATGTACTACAATTTCCTGAACAAACAGAAAACAATGCAACTTGTGTTGTAGGATTAACTAATTGAAATTCTTGATTTGGTGCACATAATGTCCATATAACACAACTAAAGCAATTTCATACTTTACATTTCAAATAAAAACTCAAACACAATTCAATATTTACCCAATAAGGATCATTTGTGGACGAGTATCAACAGTTTTAACAAGAAGATAACCTGTTGCTTGTCGCGATGAATTTTTTCGATTTCCCATCTGAACCATAAATTGATAAGTTCGATTGGACTGAAGTGAACCAGAGAGAATTGTGAATGATGAATTCATGGCGTTGTCGAATCGCCACCCTGTTCGATTTATAAGACATGCTGGATTCGATGAATCATTTCTCATATCATTAATTGTTATCAATGAACTTAGGAAACGAGGAAACTTGGATACTCCATAGATTCGACAATAATAATAATAGTTCCACATCTATTAACAAACAAACACTACTCAGCAATGTTGCAAGGAAAAGTAACTTACAGAAGGATCGAAACTGTCGTCATCGGGATCAACGGAATAACTCCCCGGATCGAATTTGAGATCTTGAAGATTTCCACGAGTGATCATTGATGTGCCATAGGGAATTAGATTCGCTGTTATGCCTGATGGAGTTATATCAACATAAGTAGTCGATATTACCGTTAAGCTTGGTATTTGAGCCATTGTGACTGTTAGGTTTATTTGATATAAACCGTATTGCAGACTGCGTCCAGGTATGTATAATTCGCTCCCCGTTGTTGTTATAGATGAATCGAGAGATATTCGATTTCTACATGACGAACTGCAATTGTTGATTGTCCATTGGGTACTGATCGACAAACTATCATTACAATTCAACTGTATTACTGAGACTATAGTGAAATCTTGCACACGACGGAATTGTATTGGAGATGATATCGATGATGAACTGGGTATGAGTGTCACAGTTGGAGGAAAACATCCTAAAGCGAAGAAAGTATTACTATTACTTTATTTATTGAAGAACGAAATGGTTCTATGAAGAATTCGATGATGAACGAGCGTAAAATCATCAATACACTCAATTTAATAGTTGTCTACCTGCTTTTGCCGTCATGGTTGTCGTTGTGCTCATCATTGTTGTAACTAAACGAAAGTTCGGATATAAATTGTAATTTTTATATGAATATCTGTTCGTTTACCACAACTATCAAATGTAACAAACTTCTGAATTCGACCATTATTTTGATCAGTAACATAGATATTTCCATTACTATCGAATGCCATATATTGTGGAGCAGATAATTGAGATACTGAAGATCCACTTGAACCAGAACATCCTACTAAACATTGAGCCGCTGAAGGTCCTGATCTAATGATACGGCTATTTCCACTGTCAACAATATAAAGATTACCATCGCCATCAAGCATAATTCCTGTTGGACTATTAAGTGCGGAAATTCCTGTAAAAGTAATAGTTGTTCCATTGATTTCATTATAAAATGACCCGTTCGTTACAACCGATGAGAAAAATAAAATCCGGTTATTCCCACTGTCAGCCACATATAAACTAAAATTATCGGTCACATAAATTCCGTTTGGTGAAGAGAGCTGATCTAGATTTGATCCGCTACAAAGCGTTCCAGCAACAATGGTCAACGTCTCTGATGAATCGTTTAACGATCTCGACACAACCTGATGAAAATCCCGCATTGAACAATACAATGTATTATTCAAACTTATGAAGATATCAGAACAGATTTGACCAACTCGCATTGCGACTGAAGTTGCACCTGTATTCAATACTTGTCTGATGTCACCAGTTGTATTGTCCGTACTGATATAAATCTGTTGTTGATTTGTAACAAATACCGAATTGGGAGTTGTTAAACTATTATTCATAGTGATCGTTTTGTTAGTGTTATTAGTATACCAAATAATGATTTGACTATTGTCTGCATCCGCTCCATATATTGCATCATTCGAATCGATAAAAATGGCAGATGGACGATTTCCGAGTGTACCATTTGCTGCAAAAGTAATTGCATCGCCATTCCATGCTGTGCATGAATTGAATCTCGGTTGATTGAATGAAACAACTAAACATATAATGCTCAATCGAATGAAAAAGGAGAACATGAAATGAAACTTACCACCGACGATTTCTCCAATCGATAAGAAAATGATCATCAATTTGAAATGATCGAGATAGATCATGGTGAAGCGTTGAAATTGTTCAATTCTTCACGTTGATAAGACCAAATGTTCAAAGGAAATGTTTAGTTTTTCCAAGAATAAAACTGCGTCGAAGAAATAAATGGAAATGATCATTACATGGACTTTTATATTTTTCTTTGTTTTAGTTTGTTTGTGTTTCGATTCTAGGATTCTGCATGACTTGAATAAGAAAGGATTTTTTCAGCAAACAAAATACTCGGAAGTCAATGAAAAGTCAGAAGTTTGACTAAAAACTAGAATATGGCGAAACAAATATTTTCCTCTTTCATTAGGAAATACAAATACCAATACCAATCTATAATCTTTTATTTCTTTTACAACTAAACAAGAAACAGTCATATTCCTATCGTATAGCTGCTATGCGATTACTTTTCGCATGGTTACACTGTGAGCATCAGTTTTCTGTATTCAACCCGGAATGAAATTTCAGTGCATTGAATATCTTTTGTGTACTTTCTTTATCCGATAATTGACCTTGGATGTGAAAATTTTTAGCTCTTTTCTATAGTTCACGTCAAAATTCATCTGTGATAAATTTGATTGACGTCAATCAATGATCAACATGAATCTTTGATTTTCCATTGCTGACTTTTTACCGGCTGAAAATTAGTTTATTTAAAAATACTAACACAGATAAAAAGTCATGTAAGTATTTTGATAAATAGAAAAAAATTCATGATATTGGTCTTACTATTAATTTTGCCCCAAGTTCAAACAATGATTTTCCAGGTGGTAGAAATTTACCAACATCATCATTGAGTTTTCGCGATAATATTCGCCATTTAAATTAAAATGCGAAATATTCTTTCTTTGTCCAACATATATTCTCGATTTATTGTCATGTGAAGGAAAGTGTTTGTAGACAATGTTGTCATTCACTAACTGAAGCTTTTATCATGTCTATGTGTTACTACAAAGAAATTCTATAGCTTTTCAATACAGGATTCTCTTCAATAAACCTCGAATGAGAAGTTTAAACTGCTTAACCTGGTCGGGTTTTCAATTTCTGAAATAAAAATCTTTTTTTTGTTTTTCCAATGAAAAAACCTATTTTGCCAATGTAACTTAAGATCACCCCCTCCTCCCTTACAAAAGTCAGTTTTCGAAAATCAGATAAATGCATAGGAAGATAGCCCGTCTTCAGATCTTTCAGAAAACATAAAGTTTTTCTTCTGCAAACTTCTTTTGTTTCCAAAATTTTCATGGCTTTTAACGAAAAATCATGCTCTTTTACAGAAAGCCGAAAATCTTTCATTTTTTTCCGTTTCTGGTTTCTAAATTTTACTTCCAAATTTCTTCGTTAGGGGTTTAAAGTATGTTCTTTTTGTTTGATAGAGCGATTCAATAAGCAGAGTCCTTTTTTGAATTTAACTTTTTCTTTATTAAAGAATCACACATTTATATTATTGGACCCCCATTTTTTAGGTCATTGAACTTCTCATGGCTTTTCTTCAGTGAAAAAGTAAGATTAAAAACAAAAGACTTTGCAGTGCTCTGCATCCTGAGAATCTCGTTCTAGCAAAAAAAAGGAAAAACGTCCACCCTGGCTCTGGACCGAGAAGTCTTGGGAATAAAACGAGCTATTTTTCGCCTTGTTTGTTTCATATCTCTGAAAAACAAGGCGATATCGAGCTGAAATTTTTATCACAGACTCTCTTCAGTTCATTTGAACTTTCCTAAGCCCAGTTCGCTTTTTTAGGGAAGAGCCTTAAGACACAGAAATGAAGTAATTGATTTGACATGATTCATCGTTCTTTATTTCTCCTCTCCAAAACAAAAAAAAGTGTGTTAATATTCAGAAATTCTCCTCAACAAAGAGTAATTCGTTCAATTGATGAGCTAATGATACTTTGTCTGTTGATCTCGCCATCGCTTCATCAATATGTGGTATGAGCTCCATCGGAGTCACTTTTGATGCAAATCGCTTCATCGGAAAACCATTCGGACTAATTAGAAACTAAATACCAATCATTCAAACATCAATCATCTACTCAAATTCCTTTCACTTACCTTCTCAAAATTCCATCTCAAATCGTTTGATCTTATGGGCCTATAAGTTATATTTGGCCATGGATGAAATTCATCAACCGGTGATGGACAACGACTCTTAAAACTCATGTATATACATTCAATCTTTCTTTTTAGCAAATAATTTACTTTTAAATAGGTAAATAGTGGCCGTTCGTCGTAACCGTTGACGTCTGATTTTTCAAACATTGGGAAGTTTGACATATAATTACCTCCAGCTAAATCAACAAATTTTTGCTTTTCTGATACAAAGTCACAGAACTCACGTCGAACAAATCGAATACCATTGAGAATTTCTTCGCCAGTTACGCCAGGCTCTTGCTTTAAAGTAAAAACACATCGGATTCTTTGCAACGAAAACTTCTCTTTCTTACTAAACCGAACTGATTGCAAGGAAATGCGAGTATTTCAAAATTGTTTGATCGATAATGTGCTTTCAATTGGTTTAAATACGGATACTGACGAGTGTATTGACAATATGTGGCTGTGATAATAATTAGTAACACTTTTCCTACAAGACAGAAGTCAAATCTATCTTCGATTTTCAGTTGAGTTTTTTACCTCGATATTTTTCAAATGAAATTGGATTTATTTTTGTCTCATCTTGAATGTCATAAGATGAAAAATCATAAATATTTTCGTTTGAATTGGATTGATCACAACTCGTAAACAAATTTACGAGTTGGTTTTCTCCATGGACGTAAACTTTCGTTTGTTGAATGATCAAGTAGAAAAATATCGTCACTGTTAGTTTGTACATTGAATTCGAGTATACCGACGAGAAAAAGCAAAAGAACTGTCGCTTGGTTTGTTACATCTGCGTCAAATGAGAGAAAAAAGAAAAAGTAATAAGATGTCATAGAAGTTTAATTGAGAAGCATAAAGCGATAATAATCAAAAGAAATAAAAGAATAACATTTATTCCACCTGTAATCTCTTCACGAGATTTAGACCGTTTTTTCATTAGGACTTTGTCAAATTATACACGAACGCAGCAATCATCAGGCTGGTAATTTTCTTGTCTGTTGGAATCAGATTCTTTCTTTTTCGTTGATTTTGACAGCGGAATTCTTGCACATACATTGCTATCTATTAAGCCGAAATTGACTTCGAATCAATTTCAATCTTTCGAATAGAACTGTGAAAATCCGATGAACAACGCTTAATGATCAAAATCAGTTATTAGTGCATTTTTTCTTCTGTACGTTACGACTATTGCGTGTTAAGGAAAGAAAAGCACACAATCTGCCTCATCAACAGATATGCGAACATGAGGATAGAAAAGTGCGAGTAGAACTTATGACAATAATCATCAGTTTTCTCTTTCTTGCTCTTTCTTTTGATAGCTTGATAGTGGCTCGTATAGTCTTCCTTCGTTCTTTTTCTGTCTTCTTGTTGTTGTCGACAGAAATCGGTGACACTACACTCTCTATATACTGCGAATAGAATATACATCTGACTCGTTTTGCGAATTGAGCTGTGTAGTCTATAAACATAGAAATCTGTTTCTTTTTTCTTCTCCTTCTCTCTATCCGTTTCATTCTTCTTGCGTTCTTATATATAGATGATAGAGGATAGTGGTGTATGTATATTAATATATAAAAATAGATCTACCGAGGTTGCGCCGGTGTCCTAGACCTCCCTCTCTACTTCTCTTTTCCTGTTCACTGCTCTCTCTCTCTCTCACACACGATTTGTTTCTCTCCCTTATCTATCTGTCCGTGGGTACGCGTATACAGAGCAACATTTTTTTCTTCCCTTCAGGCGACACTCTACTTCAAGCATACACTGTATGTATATATAGACTTTTTTTTCTTCGTCTCATTTCTATACCCTTCCTTTTGATCAAACAAACGCAAGCATCCGCGTTAAAAGGAAAAGAAAGGAGAAGTTGAACTATAACCATTCAACGACGATATAAATAAATAAATATATTGAAATCTTTCGTCGACAACGAGGCAACATAACATGCACACATGATCAGGAGGATGGTGGCGAGAAGCGAAAAAATGCGTCTTTTACCCCTCCTCTTCAATGACTACTATTACTATTCTGACGGACTGAATGAGGAAAAGAAGAGACGCAGCAAAAAAGAAGAAGAAGAAGAAAAAAAAGAAGAAGCAACAAGCGCTCATTGACTGACTGACTGATCGATTGAACGCGACATACTCATACACTGACATACAAACACGAGAATAGTTTGTAGGTGATGGTGGATTGACCACCGTCACAACCAACAATCATATAATTACACATGTCCATGTAAGTTCATTGTTGAACTAATGAATATGTCAATAAACTGATTCGTACTTTGTCTCTTCCTAGAAATATGACAGCACCTCCTCAACAACAATTAACAGCGATTGATCATCATTATTTCGACTGGTCAAAACCACAAACAAATCATGTTTACCCATCCATGTCATACACACCTCGACGGCAATATTATGACGAGAAACGTTCATTTGAAGACAATCAATCGATAAATTCTTCGACTGATCATCTTCATAAGAAACAAAAACTCAACGAAACTGAATCGATATCATTAAATTCCAACGATAAATGTTACCCATTTCAAGCTGAATTAACTCAAAAGATCGATATCGAATGTGCCAACAACAACAACCTATCCGGTCCAACAAATCATCCTCCGACTCATCACTTTACATTAAGTACTGTTATCAATGTAAGTGTCAATGGGCAGCCACAGAAAGTTTCGCCATCATCTTCTCAACAACCATATCCACTTAAATCTGCAGATTTATCAACGTTGATACCATATTCTGATGTAAATTTGTCATTGTATTTGAAAGATATCGATTTATCCACGCTTGATATGTTCATTTTACCTACATGTCCAAATCCTCAAGATTATTTAACTGTTGATGGTCTGTTAACTTTTCTAATGTCAGATAAAACTCTTTCGAATCAATTCAAATCTCCTATGCAACAACTTTCTAACTATTCTCGAGCTCAATCGTATCAACATCAACATTCGTTCCCGGTAAAAAAAAACATGATTTTTTTTGCATTTTCAAATCTTTGTTCGCTCGATTTTAGCAATACCAACCGTATAATCCTCTGTATGAAAATTCCAATTCGTCGATATTAACAACTGAACCAGGAACGTGTTCATATTATCGGCAAACATCTTTTCCGCAAAGACATTACTCTCCTTTCAGATAAAAACATGGACTTCTGTCTCGCGTAAATCATCCGGTGCTCCACTGTAACGTTCTATTTTTATCGAATTTTATTTCGCTTATGCTTGGAAAGACATTTTGTGTACAAATCACATCTTTTATCGAACGAATTTACTCATAGTTTAAGCATATCTTTTTTTTGTTAGCTTTGTATTTGTGCAAATCGAACTTTGACTTTTGGAAAAAAATGACTTCAAACTTATTTAAAACTAATACGACACTGTTTACTGGCTCATAATTCGATTTCATCTGAGTGCATGCGGAAGATTAAAACGATATCATGCTGTTATTTCATTTTCGTTTTCAAGGATTTTATATTAGAAAAGTCTTTATTGACCATGAAGAACAATGGAATCGGATCACGGATGACTATTTCATTCCTGGTAGAAACAACCGAAAGAAAGATTCGCCATGTACGCATAAGTATCTCATACCTGAAGTCGCTTCTATGTTTGCATTGGTTAAAAATGAATTAAACTAAAATGTTCGTCGCTCACTCCAACAACTTTCTCAGTTGATACGTTTTAAAGATACTTGAAGAAGAAGAAGAAAGAATGCGTCGGCGAAAAGCCTTGTTTCGCCTACATTTTTTAAAAGTATCGTCACATAAGAGAAGCGCGTTATTTCAGTTTTTTATTTTCATAGTTGAACAATATTTGAAAGGAGAAGTTGATTCGATTCTATCGCAATGATCTTCCGTCGTTGTTGGGTTCTATGGCTCATCCTGATGATAGCTGGAAGGGGATACGGTAAATATTTCATATGTTTTGCAAAAATTCAGAACAGCTATCCATTTCCAAAACAAGATTTTCTATCAGAAATCCCGTTTTTGTTCATTGATTTTGAATAATCTTTCGATAATTGGAATTGTACTCTCCAAAGTCTATTAGAGAGGCAGAATCGGGAGAGAAGACACTGGACTAGACTTCAATCCTACTGCTATGGGAGTTTTGTACGTAAGTGTTGTATATTTTATTAAGTCCATTTTGACCGTTGAGGAAGTGCATAAATGAGAGGTTTGCCCTTTCATTAGGAATTTTCTTTTGTGTTATTGAAAAGCATCAAAACAATACTCTTAACATATGCGCTGTTGTTGTCAATCTGATGACGTCGATGAAAGCAAATGGTACTTCTAAGAAGATATCATAAAAGTTTTCAAGTGAACGTGTGATACTATTGAGTGTTTTTAAACTATTTTTACTAGAAAAGCATAAAGACACTTATCTCTAGGATCTTGTCTGATAATATTCATACGATCACGGGATTGATATTATAGAATTAGATCGTATTTATTTATTCGAAGTTTTTGATGAATATTCTTCTGATTTATTTAGCTGTTTCTTATCATCAACCGAGATTTTGTTCGAGCGCAACATGGCGTTACAATGCAACCACTTTCTCTGCTTCGACTATTGGTATAAGTCCAGCGTACATATTTATCACTAAAAATAACACGATTTCTGTTGTTAATCCGTCCAACAACACGATTGTTATGTGGAACGACAATAACAGTACACCAATTAGAACTATCAAGCTCAATTCCAGTCAACCGTACAGTCATTTCGTAATGGATTCAGACGATATATACATTGATAGTTTTATTCAAGCAGGTCAAGTTGGAAAATGGTTTGTAAATTCGACCTTCGGTCAACCGGTAATGTATCCTTGCTCGCAATGCTATGGTTTGTTTGTGGATATTAATAGTAATATCTATTGTTCAATAAATGACAAACATCAAGTTGTTGCACAATCGTTGAACGATATCTCCAATAGAATGAACATCGTGGCTGGAACTGGTATTAGTGGATCGAATTCAGATATGCTTTCGGCGCCCTATCAGATTTATGTTGATACCAATTTGGATTTATATGTCGCAGATTCTGGCAATAACCGAGTACAATGTTTTCAAGTAGGACACACAAATGGAACCACGGTAGCTGGAATAAGCTCGCAGTATATTACGATTACGTTAAACAGTCCTACTGGAATTGTACTCGATGAAGATAAATATCTTTACATTACCGATTCTGGTAACAATCGTATTGTGGCATCAGGACCATATGGATTCCGTTGTCTCGTTGGCTGTTCGTCTCTGGCTGGTTCAACAGCTGATAAACTCAACTCTCCAGTAGTTTTTAGTTTCAACAGTCACGGAGATATGTTCGTAGTTGATAAAGGAAATCGTCGTATCCAAAAATTTTATTCACAGTCAAACTTATGTAGTGAGTAAAACAAAGAACGACTTCTGTACGTGAAATATACTTGTTTATTTTCGTATAGATAACTTTACAACGGCCATCATCACAACAAGCACATCAACTACAACTACTAGTAAATGCTTTCTAAAATTGTTTCCTATTTTGAACTACTTTTTCCTTTCAGCAAGTACACAGAATTCAAACCAATATTTAACAACAATAACTTCAGCGAACATCAGTATGTTTTGTTTTAAGAAAGCTGAATTATCAATACGTGTTTTTCTCGTTCAGTGGTTTCATATAATCGACCGAAGTTAAGTGAAAATTCGACATGGTATGAAAATGCAACGACATTTGCTGATACTAATGTAATTGGTGACGATCCGTACGCTATTTTCATTGATATATATAACACAGTATATTTTGCTGCCAGTAATCCACATCAAGTTATCATATGGTCGAACGGTAGTAATATTGTGACAAATACTCTACCTGATTATCAAATGGCTGGAGTTGGTCTTTTCGTTACATTGAATGGAGATATTTATCTTGAAAAAGACATCAACGGGGAAATACACAAATGGAATGTGAATTCGAATACCACAGTTCTTGCTCTAAATATGCACAATAGATGTCAAGGTTTATTTATTGATATTAACAATATGTTATATTGTTCGCAATCGTCACTGCAACGAGTTGTTTTCAAATCTTTGAACAATGAATCGAGTCTAATGACCATCGTTGCTGGAACAGGTTGCTCGGGAAACAATTCGTTACAACTGTCACAGCCTTCTGGTATATTTGTTGATACGAATTTGGATTTATATGTAGCAGATACGGCTAACAATCGAGTTCAACGCTTTCCAGCAGGTCAGACAAGTGGAATAACTATGGCAGGAAGTAGTTCGTTAAATACTACCATTACACTCTCATCTCCGTCATGTGTGATGCTTGATTTCGATGGAAATCTTTTTGTTCTCGATTCTTTTAATCAGCGTGTTGTTCGGTCAGGATCAAATGGCTTTTGGTGTATTGTTGGCTGCACTGGAGTTGGAGGCTCTGATGCAAATCAACTAAATTATCCTCAATATATGGCATTTGATAGTCATGGGAACATCTTTGTAACTGATGTGTACAATAACCGAATACAAAAGTTCGAAATCATAAATATACCTTCGAGTAAGTAGAGAAATCGACTTTGAGAACATTAGTGGGAATTGAAGTATTCAGTTAAGAGACCTTTTCTTTTTTTCTTAGAGGGGATAACAGCAGTGAATGAAGTATCTCCAACAATAAGTAGAATATTTAGGAATACTTCAGCGAACGAGGATGAACTGTTTTTTATTTTATAGATTCATCAACATCTTCAATTTCTTCAACAACAGTTGCAACTACAAATGACTGTTTGTGCACGTGAATTTATGATCTCTCGAAAATACATGAATTTTCTTCTGTATAGATACAACTGCTTTTACATCGCACCAAACCGCTACAGAAATGATCATAGGTCAGTCCAGACAGAAGAAAACACCAATACATGTCTTTTTTTTAGACTACACAACAACTAACATTGTGGCAACAATCACTGTTCAAAGTGCCACTACACTAAGTACAAAATATTTGAATCTGTTGTAAATAATGATAATACCAATCGACATCTTTTGTACAGCGCCAACATCAACTGTAGCAGAATATGGAACAACTATAGAAAAAACAATCACCACCAGAACGACAGGCTAGTTGAGGCATACATATATTGTATGAAAAATTATGGTTACATGTTGTTTTTTGCTCATCTAATAGAAAATGTTATGAGTACGAGAATGCTCGAAAGTACGGTGTCACAAATTGCAAAAGGTTGACATATTCAAGTATATTTTTGATAGTGACTGATGTATATGTAATTTAGTTGAAACAACAGTGGTATCAAACAGTCCACAAACACAGTTTACAGCAGGTTTGTGTATCGAGCGAATGGATTGTTAAAGGTTAACATTGGTTATCTTTTTCTTTTTGTTGAAGATATGAACACAGAGGCAACAGAAGGTTCGTTTGTTCAAATATGTTGTATCGAAGACATTCTCATTACTGTTTGTTTGTTTTAGGCGATGATACTACTATTAGCTCGGCTACAATAGAAAACGGCAGAGGTTTTTATATTTTGGATTATTGTAAGTGTAAAACGTCTGTTAAAATTCATACACTTAGATGAAACAACGTCAATGATCGCCGTCTCAACTATACACGGAAACACAACAAATACAAATTCTGGAAAATCATTGTTCAGTTCAAGTTCTCCTTCACCGCAAACAACCAAAGAACCAGTGATGCCCACCGCTATTAATAATTCATGTATTTATTCAAAAACAAAGTCTTTAATTTCTTTCGATTTCAGCTTCCTTTTCCTTAGCTTGTTTACTTTCTGCAATTACTCTAATCCCTGCGATCTCATCGGTTTCATTGGCAGTAGAATTCCATCGAAATGAAGATTTTTATATTAGTTCAACAATCGATATCAATTGTAATAATTCTATGCTAATGACCATGGAGTGGACAGTGAAAACCTGTACACCAAATTGTTTACATGTAATACAAATAGATGAATCAATCGGCACAACATTCAGTGAAATTTATTTTCCACCTCGAAGTTTACCTTATGGAATCTACAAATTAGAACTAACAATAACTGCAAATACTTCGTCACAAAGTACAAACACGGCATTTACTTTCGTCAAAATCATTCCATCTGATATCCAAGTGAATCTAATTCGATTAGGAACATCAATGATTACTCATAATTACCAACAAGATCTTAAACTTGATCCTGGAACATACTCAATCGATTTCAATGGATATGAATTCAATGCTAGTGTACGCTTCAATCGTGAATTAGTTTTACTTTTATCTCTTTTCTTGTTTTATAGGATTGGTTATATGAATACTATTGCCGAATCTATGATACTTTCACAACGAATGAGCCGATGGTACCAATAGATTCACTGAATTCATCGTGTTTGATAAATCAGACATTGTTTACATATGATGGTGTACCACTTTCACATCGATCATCGATAAGTATTCACGCTGGGTCAATGTCACCTGACAAAACATATCAATTCATCGTTTCAATGCAAAATCAACAGAATTCTTCTATTCAAATCACTGGTTCGGCATTAGTCAAACTCGTAAATTTTCCAACGAAACGCATTATTATCGGGTAGGGTATCTTTTCATAGAAGAAAACTATTTCATTTCGCATTTAGATGTGTTATTCAAACGATGTGTACTCCAAATATTGAATATCAACTTGTGAATCCATCAACACAGATTGCATTGTATGCCGAATGTATTGATACTTGTGATATCCAAGAAAATATTACATGGAATATTTACTATGGTAAAATCAATTCTTCGTCGAATGCAACACAATGGATGTTGTTTAGTCAAATGAATTTGTATGATAATATTTGGTTTTATGGTAAGAAGATTGTGTTCTGCTCTTCAGTTGTTGATAGTTTGTTTAGGGAGAAATACAAGCAATTTTACCGCATCAAAGGACTTGTTCTCGAGAAATTCTCAGTTTAATCTTTGGAGATTTGAAGTCATCTACGGACTTCTATCAGAAATAAGTTCAAGTGCATTGGATTTTACAATCAATCAACCACCTTCGAATGGTTCATGTTCAATTAATCCTCTCAATGGTACAACAAGTACTGTATTTTATATTTCCTGCACAGATTGGTTCGACAAAAATGGAATCAAGGAATATTTACTTTATAGTATGTCAGTCCTTTTGTCATACATCTAAAACGTCGCTTTTTTCGGTGTAGTTTGGTCAACCGATCCATCGGACACGATGATCAATGCATTTTCTTCAATATCAACATTTCAAGTTCGATTACCAGCAGGAACTATTTCTTTGATCGTTCATATTCGAGATAAAGCAGATTGTGTAACTGAATATAACATATCGACTTCTGTCGTTGTTCTACCGGATTCGAGCGAAATCACAAGTTTGATCAAGAGTACGACTCATAATTATATCAACAAATTGTTTTCAAGTGGAAATCAAAATCTAATTGGACAGATAATAACATCGATATCAATACAATTCAATAGTATGAGTTACGCAAATATCAACAATGCAATTTCAAGTAAATATTTAAACTACGAAACTAATGTGAAATCATTCATTCGATAGATGGACTTTCACCAACGAATATATTCATTTCATCATTGGGAAATACTTCTCTATCAATGGTAAACTAATTCAAAAAAATTAGTTCTATCATCTCGAATTCGATCTTTCAGAACTCAATTTCATCATACAATCAATCTGCCCTAATCGAATATGACAAGCGAAGAAATTCTCTTGCAAACATTCGTTCTACTTTAGCGAAATTCATTCCCAAAGTAGCAATTCTCGGTTCGAGTAGTATCCAATTGCAGTCAACTATGTTAGTTCATCTAACTCAATCAACAAACGAATTAACACGTCAAACTTTAGTAAGAGATTCTTTCCGATTGAAAATTACCGAGTCATTTTTAAATAATAGGCAATTGTATCCAAACAATGTTATCGATTGACTCTTGCATTGTGTTCGATGGCAAGTCGAATCTCAGCTGATGATGTTCGACGAGCATCGAAGCAATTAATTCAATGTGCTTCCAATGTTTTAACAGTAAGAATGTAGTTTTCCTCAGTAGACATTATTTGTGAGTCAATTTAGGCTGTAAATGGTCCATTACAATCCCGAACAGACGTGTTGGAAGAAGATTTCTTCGATGCAACAAGTTTTCCGACTGATTACGACACAGATATCGAGTCTCCTTGGTCAAATCTAAGTAAGATTGAATGAGACAAATTTCTATGTTCAATTACTTTTCTTCTTAAGATTTATTTGCCGATGGAAACGATTTTTCTTGGGAAACAGTCGAAAAGAATCGAAATCTTTATTATCAAAAGGAATTAGCAAATCAAATTCTTGATCAAATGAATACACTCATTTCAAAAATCACTTCAGCTATGAACATTCACTTGACTCTCAATCAAAACTTACTCGTCAATACATCCGAAGTTTTCATGTTAATCGAAAAACGAACACTTCAATCGTTAACAAACATCAAACTCGAACAGACTGAGAATGCGCACATTCAATTACCAACGAATCTCTACAATAATTCATCCGTTTTAATTCGAGTAGGTTGTCTTCTCATAGAATATTTCTCAGTAATTTCTCGTTTCCTTAGTCAATGTTAACACCATTAGCTCCATTCGGTAACATAACAACTCAGATAACTTTCACCAATCTGTCGCGATCAATCTCATTGTCGATTTTTGATCTCAATGAATTGGAAATATCCATGCAAACAAATGAACGTTCTCCGATTAAAATTGTCATTCCTCATGATTCGAATCTCAGAATTCCGTCGATGATTTTACAAGATGTTATATCCATGAATTCAACATTTTATCAGCAGTTGTTTAATTTGCATTATCTAAACATAACGAATTCTCTTCCAATTTCACTTCATTTTGAAATTGAACCATTGAAGGAAAATATTTCATATATGTTTATTTATAAATTTGACCAATCACCACAACTGAATAGTTCAATCAATCACATCGACGGATGGACGCTGTTTTGTTCTTCAAGTAAATGATTTTCTCGAATCAAAAACGTCTCTATTTTTTTCCAATTTAGATTTAACAACTGATAACCTTTATAAATATTTTATTGATAATCGACAAACATCTAATCATCGATCGATTATCTTCGGTTTAAGAGAATTACAACCGTCGGAGAATGTCTGTTCGAACTTTTCGCCTACAAATCCACCAATAATGGACAAACGTATGAACTTCACAGCAAATTATCAATTGAGAATTTATGCATCTGGTTGTTATTATCTCGATTCAAATAATCAATGGAAATCGGATGGATTAGTCGTGAGTGTTGAAGAAATATTTCATTAGAAGAAAGTTTTTCAAAATTTTTACCGTAGGTTGGAGAGAGAACAACTCTGAATGCAACAGAATGTTATTCAACACATTTAACAACATTTACCAGTGCGTTTTGTGTTTTACCTGATCCAATCAATTGGAACTACGTCTTTAGTAATGCTCAGTTTATGAAAAATAAAACAATTTATTTAACAATTATCTGTGTCTCAGTTATCTATCTGATCTTGTTAATCTTTGCACGTTACAAAGATAAAAAAGATGCGGAAAAATTGGGAGTAACAGTTTTACCCGATAATCATAAATTAGATGATTATTTCTATGAAATCATCGTTTTCACTGGTCAACGAAAAGATGCTGGAACAAAATCAAATGTACAGTTCGTCCTCTGTGGTAATAATCATCAGACACGTATTCGTACTTTAATGGATCCACAGCGATCGATTTTACAACGAGGTGGAATCGATGCATTTCTCATGAGTGTACCAAAATCGTTGGGTTTATTGAATTTCATTCGTATTTGGCATGACAATAGTGGCAAAGGATCCTCATCATCATGGTTTTTGAAATATTTAATCATTCGTGATTTACAAACAATGGAAACATTTCATTTTATTTGTCAAAAATGGTTTGCGGTGGAAAAAGATGACGGAAAAGTGAGTCACTTCCCCCCGATTGAGTTTTACGCGATTGATTCGTTTCGTTTTCAAATAGATCCAACGAATTTTACCGGTGGCGAGTGAAATGGAAAAACATGAATTTCGTCATGTTCTATCAAAACGTGCATATTCTTGTATATCAGATAGTCATTTATGGTTTTCAATCTTTTCTCGTCCGCCATCGAGTCACTTCACACGTGTTCAACGATGTACATGTTGTTTTGTTCTTTTATTTGTCTCCATGTTCTTGAATATTATGTACTATGATTTGGCAAACGAAACAAAAGCGTCTGATCCAACAAAATCATTGAGTTTAACATTCGGTACACTGTGTATAACGCATCAACAGGTAAGAAGAAAACAATTTCGTGTAGTTCTTTCAGTTATTCACTACAGATTATTGTCGGTGTCATTGTGGAATTATTTGCATTACTTCCCAGTTTTTTATTGGTACAAATGTTTCGTCGAATTCGATGTCGACAAAAGCAAACTTCAACATTACGAAGTACTTTTCAAAAGATTCAAGCAAATTCCAAGTTCGTCGCATTGAACATACAATTATGTTTGTATGAATCCATTATTTCAGATCAAATGAAACTGTTGAACGGAAGAACAAACGAAAAACTCTACCTTGGTGGTTTATTTTCATTGCCTATGGTATCTGTATAGTTTTAGTTGGCGTTTCCATCGTTTTTATCTGTGGTCGAGGAATTGAATTTGGTGATCTGAAGACTGGACAATGGTTAACATCAATTTTCAGTGGATTTCTCTCATCAATACTTCTAGTGCAACCATTGAAAGTATAAAATTGTCTTCGATGAACAATGTTAATTGTATGTTTGTTCTTTTGAAAGATTCTCTTTTTGATTGTATTCTTTGGTGTTTGTTGGCGAAAAGCGTTTGATGATGAAGAAATCAAAGATTATTTCGATAATCAACCAATCGAATTAGATCGAGATGAAGAATATCTTCATATGATCAGAGTTTGTTATTCTTGAATAATAGTCGGAGAAATATTTTTTTCCTGCCTTTCTTTGTTTTAGAGAACTTCGATTTTTATCTATCGAAATCCAGTTTATTTCAATCGTTTGAATAAAACTGAAGTTGCCTGTGCACGTGAAATACGTTTAAAAGAAATTCAAATGTGGACTATTGTCAATGAAGCACTTATGTATCTAGGTTTTCTCATTCTATTGTATTCTCTCGTCTATTCCAATCATTTTTCAAATTCTTTTTATCAAGTTGATCATTTACGTAAGTATTTAACAAACTCAAGACAAATCGATGCGAATTTCTCAAAGGTAGATTTCTTATTGCTCTAGATTTTCTATGAAAATCTCCAATTATTTGTAGATTTCAACAATTGACGATTGTTGGAATTGGCTAGAAAACAGTTTCGTGTATAATCTTCGAGCACAAACTTGGTATAACGGCAATGTACCTCGAAATTTGAGTGGATTTATCAATGACAAATCCAATCGATTGATTGGTTGGGCAACAATGAGACAATTACGAGTCAAATCACAGCGATGTCCAATTCATAATACAATTGCTTATTCGTGTATTTACGACTACAGTTTCTTTGATCAAGATGAACATTCTTATTATCCCGAATGGAGAAATCAATCGAATAACAATTACAGTTCGACTATTTATAATGCATTCAAATACAAATCAAGTGAACAATTGGGTACATACATTTATGTGGGTGACCATAAGACTTATGGAGGTGGCGGTTATGTTTATGAATTTCGTGGTCGCTTATCATCACTTCAAAGTAACCTTTCACAGCTTCATCGATTAGGCTGGATCGATACACGAACACGAGCTGTTATCATCCAATTAAGTTTATACAATGCAAATGTTGAATTATTCACATCAGTGACCCTTCTCATAGAAATACTATCGACAGGTGGATTTTATCCGACAATTCGTGTTGAACCGATGCATTTTTATAGTATGTATATTAATACTATTTAGACTTCTGGAAATTTCTCATCATTTCTTCTTTTTTTTGCTTTAGCGTTTACATCCGTATGGCAACTCATTTGCACAATTGTGTATTTGATTGTAATTATCTATTTCATGGTTGTTGAAATTCGATTGTTAATGCGATTAAAATGGAAATATTTTCTTCAATTTTGGTCATTAATCCAATGGAGTATAATCGTATGTTCATGGATAAGTGTTATGATTTATATTTGGCGTTACAATGAATCGAAACGAATCGGTCAATTGTTTACAGAAACAAAAGGACATATTCGTATGAATTTACAAATGGCATCCTATGTCAACCATCTTTTAACATCATTGTTTGCCTTATGTTGCTTTTTTTCTACTATAAAATTTCTTCGGTTATGCGTTTATAATTCTCAACAACATTTATTTCTGCAATCAATCAAATATGCTGCAAATGAATTAAGTTTGTTTATGTTGATGTTCTCAATTATCGTCCTTGCATTTGTCTGTTTGTTTTATCTGTTATTCAATTCAAAACTGCAATCTTGTTCCACTTTATTTGCAGCAACAAAGATATTTGTAAAAATGATTTTAATGAAAGCGAATGGAAAAGAATTTCTCGATGCTTCGTCTTTGCTTGGGCCTTTTGTTTTTACTTTATGTGTCTTTATCGTGGTTTTGATTTGTATGAGCATGTTTTTGTCAATCATTAATCGTAGTTTTCAACGTGCTCGAAAGAATCAAACAAAAAACAATCACGAAATATTTGTATTTATGTTTAACAAACTTCTTCACTGGATAGGTACGACTTGAATTACGAAGATTAATAACAGCGTATTAGTTTGATCATTTTAAGGTTTGAAACGGACAACTGGTGAAGAGTTTGAAGAAGCAAGAAATCATCGAAGGGATGTGAGATATCTAAGTGGAGTGGAACTTTTTCCTGAAAAAATCAACCAATTTTTAGATGCATTGAATAAAGTATGTAATTGTATTAAGATTAAGATGCAGATTAATCTTGGCATTGCTTTTTTTTTAAAGATCTATTTGACACAAGAAATTGGAAAAGAAACAATGAAAGAAATTGTCGATTGATGTCCTGTTTAAACTTTATTGAATGGAGAAAAATGGATAATTAGTAATATAAATAAGAGATTTTTCTTAATTTTTGCGCTTTATGCGTATATCTTTTCTTGTATTTACAAATGATCACAATTAAAACGCCTTTTTTTCATTATCTACTAACAGAGAAGAGCAATGACAAAACGTCGTTTATCATTTAAAGAGGCAAACAAAGATGAAAATGAATCTTTCGGTGTTAAATAAAAAGCGAAACAAAGTCATCGTCTAGATGAACTAGGTACGATAGTTGTATTTTAACTCCATATAAATGAATAACCGTATTACTGTTTTTCTACAGAGAACTATTCAAATTGCTTTCATTTTTCCATTATAATGGATTCACTACGATGAACAGAAAATCGATTAGAACAAAACGTCAGAATCTGCTCGTACATGACCACTTTCTGAGCAATACTTTCGTCATTATTTTTACACTAAAATCAAATAAACGAAGAATTTCAAAAAGAGTTATCATCTATGTTATATGAGTATCTATTTAATCTTGTCGAAACGATGTAACTCATCAGTGAGTCTCACTCTAACTATTTTACAAAGAACATAGATTAGATTTGGTTTCAATACTTGTCTTTGACTTTTCAGCGAGTATTAGTGATTGAAGATCTCTATCTGATAGATATCGAAATAAGCCAAGTAGTGATTATTGAATAAAAATGGGTTTCGAGCTATTCGAAGTTATTTTAGATTGATTTCAAATCTGTAGCATTACTAGGTCTTGAAATTTATCCGAAATGGTATTATGTATCCGACCGCTCGTATAGGATTAACAAACTCCGAATATAGTCATGGTACTTGAATGGATTGAAGTATGCAAAGTACCTTCGTCTGTGTACCAATATTTTCACTTTTAATCGAGAGATTCATAAACAAAATGCTAACAACTAGTGTAACTTTGTTATAATATACTCTGTGTTGTTAATAAATAAATAAAACTCGTAACAACTACCGTGGTTATCAACGGAACTCAATATAATTCTATGGACAGGATTGGTATATAATGCGAGTGCAATTCCTTCAATACAAACTGCATCATTTTATCGGATTATGATTACTTTCTAGTCATATGACGAATTTAAATACTTAAAGACCAATCAAAAGATCACTGAAGTACTTAATTGTTAATCTAAGTTAGAAAACCGCAGGATTTCTTTACATGAAACAAGAGGAACAACAACCAAATGGTTCAAACATAAATGATTTTATTTAAATTGATAATAGAATTTACTATTATCAAGATGAAAAATCGTTTGTCATCTCATATATCAACGTACTCTGAATGATATTCATGTCATTAGTTTTTTGTTTGAGATAGTAAAGATCATCTTCCATTATTCAAGTACTAAAAAATAGTCATAATGTACACTTAAACGAATAAATAAAAGAGTTACAAGTAGATTGTCAGTAGAGGAAGTGGCATTCATCTATCAAATGAAATTACTGTCTTTTTTATTGTAATCTAACTGACTGACACAAGCAAATTAAGTGCGACAAAACCCATTACAGTATAATTGTAAGCACGATAGACTTTGTATGAATGTATCTGGAACCACCTCATGTTCACATGATAACAAATAAGTTTTCTATACAATAGAAAAGTGTGATTGAGGATTTAGATGTAACATAATCATTCGTCAAACGTTCAAGTGACATGATGATTCATAACTAACTATTCAATGTTTACTCTATTCTTAATTTTGATGAGTATTTTCTCAATTTAGAACAAATTTATACTTATTACATGTGAACGTAAGTAAATCTGTTGGTTTGTTTTAGATTTCATCATAAATCTGATCGATTGAAGTCAATAACGAAAAAATTTAGAAATAAATCGAAATTACATCTAACTGGAAATGAAGCGCGGTTGTTTCTGCCAATTAATGTCAAAAATAGAAAGCTCTTCTCTACACTTGCACTGTCATTATTATTTTCAACAATTTACCGTTTGATCAAATTTGGGATTACTGTATTTATCTTCAAACAAACATCTGACACACAAAATTTCAAAATAAGGTTGATGTATATGTTCTTACAGTTTCATGACCTAATAAGACATTCTCAATACTCGTCAATATGAAGAACATCTGTCATCAGAAGCATCACATGTCAAATTTTTTTCTATGGAAGTCCTATGAAGAGTACTATCTTTTTTAATGAATCCAATACTTGGAGAACCGTCTCTTTTTTTCGCCTAAGGGTTTTACATTGTTGTGCGATTAGCACTTGTGATGCACATATTATCGCTACGGTTGTATGAATATAAATGCTTGCAAAGAAAGAACAATCAAGTTCTGTATGTAAATTTTACTCAATCACCTTGTAGTCATTTGAATGGTAACCTCACACATGATAATTAATAAAAGTACAAATTTATCGCCAAAAGACTTTAATTTTACATTTCTGAACACGCAATAAGAATTTCCAAACTAAATAACATTATCTTCAATATCTTTAACAGAATGTAAACTTTTTCTCTCTTATGTAATTAACATAGAATTGAAAAGGAAGGAAAAGACAGGTTTGCGTTCCGATTTACTTTCCATGAAACTCATCTGTCATACAAAAAGAAACATAATAAATAATATACTGTCAAATCTAATACAGGTAGATTTATGTAAATGTCAAAAGTTCATTTTTAAATATCTGATGAGATTGTTTATTGATCACAAAGAAAGAATATTACAATGGAGTTCCATGTTTACATAGAGATCGTGCTTGATATTGATGTCGATGAATAAGATCTTCATAAGTTGTTGGATAATATGTTTTTCTTGATTGTCGTTGAAATAAACGAAACACAGCACGTCGAAATGTATAGGAAATAGAAAAATAAATAGCAAAATTAGTTGCTGAATTTAATGTTACACAAAAATCTGTTATTTCTCTTATTGTTCGTCGACGATAGGTTTCATTAATATAACCCATATCTAAAACTAATGATAAAAGTGCATCTGGAAAGTAAGAACAAATAAAGCAACCAATAATAACAATAAGACTCAGTGTTAAACGAGAAAATGCAGTACCAGTTGATGATTTCATTCGAACGAGTAAATAAATAATACGTGTATTCAAATAGAATAACAATAATGATGGAAATATCGCACGAATTAGATCGATCACAATCGAATACAAACGAAATGAACGTGAACTGCCAAAGTGTGTCAATTGGATCGATTCCGACGATGTAGTCGTGTCATTGGATGATATAGGAACAATTTCATAACGAAATGAAACAGGTAACGCGACAAGAAGACTTACAAATATAATTAAATTACATATTAAACGAGAATTCTTCTGAATGCGTATTCGTCGTTGACTGTTTGTAGTACATAATATGTATCTAAATAATTATACAACAAAGATTCGAGATGATAGTTAGTCAAATTCCTACCGTTCGATAGCTACGATTAATGTTAACCATGCTGTTGACAATGTTGAAACAGTATTGATATAATGACAATAACGATAAAGAATGAGAAATAGTTTTTTACCGAGTTGTTGGTCAAATATTTGGATAATCAAAACGAATGAATACAGTAAATCATTTGAAAGTTTAATTGTATCGGATATAGTGAGATAAAGAAGAAATTGTGTTGTTAATAAACGTTGCATTGTATGAGTTATAAATACAATTATACAAAGAATATTACAGATAAGACCGGGTATACATATAATTGGAATAAGATAAATACCGAAGATGATTTGAACATTTTCAAACATTAATTTATCATTAAAAGAACTATTCTGTGCCAGATTCGACATTTCTGTCTTTCTATAACAAAATAAACCAATTGAATGATCGATGAATTTTGAAATATCTAAAATAATATTCACCTTAAACAATTACATAACGATAGAAATAATTCATATAAAAAAATGACTAAAAAATATGTCATTATGTATAAGGCAGTGAGTACGATGTTAAATCGTACGAATTCGAAGTCAAATTATTGTACCATCTAGTTATGTAATATAAAATAAAATTTCTACGCTGATTTTATTATTCCAAAGAGAATAGAAGAAGAAAAAAACATTCACTACGGCGTTCTCATCGTTTGTTCATTGAGTTGAATTTAATTAAATGTGAGATTGAGATAAAAATCGCATAGAAACACGATACGTTGTGATATCTGTCGATGAAAAACAAGTCTTCTTTAGAATTAAACACTAAATAATTGAAAATGACTTTGCTCATTGATGATGAAAAAGAAACAAACTAATGACAAGAACGTTCTTTCATACCGCCGCTTTTCTTCTATGTTGGAAAAATTAATAGCTCACGAGAGAGACAGACAGCAGAAACTAAAATCAACGAGAAAAGAATGGTTCTGTTGAGCATAGTTGTGAATTGCTGACATGAATTATTAGCTTATCAGATATTTTTAGATCGTACATTGATAGTGAAGTAGCTTAGTTTTATGATGGGTACAGGTCGTAACGATGTTTTTTTCTTTACATGGATGTAAATAATTGACAAAGAATAAAAAAAGAAATGGTTTTGCTTCCTTTTTGCAGTTTGAGATAGGTTCGCTGTAGTGGCAAATCTCTCAGTGGAATTTACCAGAGTTAAGAATGTGTAAGGAAGTAGAAAATTTATGGTGATGAATTCGTATTTTCAATCAAGTTTCTCCTTTGAAAGAATGTAACTCTCTCATGCTTAAAGATTATATGGAAAAGAAATTTCGTATTTCCAAAGTCTAAATTGAAAGAATTTCATATGAAGAAGAATATTTTAAAAGTTATGTTCATTGAAATAAATCAATAATATTCAAATGTCTTATCGTAAACGATATCTTCGATAAATACGTTAAGATTAGTATTTAGTTTTGTCTTTTGTTGTATTGTATTAAGTCTACAATAATTAATTGAATGCATAGTAACATTCGAAAGAAATCACACTGGCAATTGTAAATAAATATTTGTCGTTTGAATAATTTTTGTACGAACACTATATATAATTCATGTTTTTATCAAATAACAAAAACATCTCTATTTTCGCATTAATGTTGTCAAATGCGACAATAGACATAAAAATTAACTTAATTATCCAATGGTGTTTATGCATATTAACACTGGAAGAACAGATGACTTTTAGGGAGCAAAGAGTATGTAATATGGAAGAAAATCACACATTATTTGTATAGTAAATCTGAATTTACACAAGATTTCGAATTAATTTAAAGATTCGCGGAGTCCTATGGAGATGTTCTCAAACGAACACCACAGGTCGAACAATCCCATACTCGGATCCAATACAGAATTTTATCAGATCCTACAGGAACTCGACGGATCCGATGAAATCCTGGTGACGGAATCGCATTGGATTCCGACGGTCTCGGATCCCACGTCGGATCCGAAACATGGATTTCCTGGATTTTCTAAGGGTCATCATAGAATATAGCTAGAAAGATCGCTCATAAAATTTGCAACAACCGACGGGATTTTTCTAGTCGGATTCCAATGCAATTCCGTTTCCAGGAATCCGATCGGATTTTGTCAGATGGTCGTATCCGGTAAGATCCGATCGGATTTGTTGACCTGGGACTTTCCCACATATTGCTTCGGATAAATATTTACAATAAAAGATTGATGAAATACGACATCTGTTTTCTGTGAATTTTAATTGTTCAATCCATTTAATAAATATGTTCTTTCAGTTGATTTAACACTTTGTGAAAAAACAAAAAAAAAGTGTTGAATACATCCGGAAAAAGTTCTTTCGGTTCGAATGACGATATGTCCCTAGATGGTACAGAATTTGTTGATATATTTAAATGCGGAATATATAGGAAGAGATTTCATGCTGAAGAATTTATGATTTATTCTCTTCAAACTTTTGCTTTTATGATTTTTTTCACGAAAAAACTTTCATTTTCATTATGATTTTCTTTTATCATTGGAAAATTCTTTGGAATAGAATACCATTCTGCTCTTATTATTATTCATCGTCTAAAAGTACAGCGAAGAATAATATTTGATTGAAAGTTTGAGTTGAATCATTTCTTCTACTTTTTTCAGTTAGTACGTTAATAATACGCTGAAAATCTCTAACGAAACTAGTTCAGTAAATAAACGGACACATTATGTATGTTATTTAAGAATTTTCAATCGTCGATAGTTTTATTGAAATATGTAGAATAAGAATATAGTGACCATATGCAATGTACGGAATTACTATTTGAATAAAATATGACGTACTCAGTTTTTCTTCTTCTCTGACGTTCGTATAACAAGGGGGAAAAGAAAGATTTTTCTCTTTCGTCAATTCTTAAAAATCTGTATTGATATTCGCGCAACCAATGCAAAAGGCAATTAAATTGTGTGAAAATGTCGTAGAGAATGCTATGAGAGAGATAAAAATTTGTCGTGTCTTATCCGTGAAACATGGATGAGAATGAGTTTAGTAGTATTCAATAGTCTCCGGTGTTCTCGAATATATTGCAGCGATGTCGACGAGTACAACATTACATTAGAAATTAAGAAAATTATTTCATCAACAATTCTATTCAACAGCACTTTAACTAATACAATTTGAGTATAAATATTCATAGAAACGCTAATGGAAAACGAGTTGTATTTAATATGATAAGATGAAATTATTGAGTAGATCATATGTTTTACTAACATCATGTGAATTCTTTTGTGCATACAAAAAAAAATAGGACAATTATATTGAAGTTGCAAGACAAAGTGTTTTCGCAAAAAACATTGTTTATTTCTAATAGCATTCATTTCAATAATTCGAGTACAGAAAAGATAAAAACACAAACTATATATGGAAAGAAAAGACAAAGAAATCTCCTTAATGCTCATCAACGGTCTCATCATCCCAATTCACCAAACTATGTTGAGCACTTAAACCACCTTGTTCGCCGAGTAACCAATATGTTCGTTGTTTTCCTTTACCCTAAACAAACGCAAATAGCATCTCTATTCTCGACTTTTATCTTTCTCAGACCTTCATTTCGATATCACCACGAAACTTCAATTGAAATGTTCCAAATTTTTCCAAAATACCTTTCGTACTTGATGAGACATGTATACGCAATGCTTTACCATTAGATTCCATTCGAGATGCAGTGTTCACCTTGAATGAATCACGAACGAACAATTAATTCGATTCGATGAAGAAAGAAAAAGAAAAACTTTTCACTTACAGTATCACCAAATAAACAGTATCGAGGCATCCGTAGGCCAACCACTCCAGCTACACATGGACCGGAATGTATTCCAATACGGAGTAGTAATTTCTTATCCGGTCGATGTCGAATACGAAAATTAAGTACAGCATTGAGAAGAGCTAAAGAGAGACGTGCTATTTCTCGGGCATGTAGATCTCCATTTGATGTGGGAAGACCAGAAACCACCATCTACGCAAAATACATGTGAGAGGAAAAAAGCAAACATTGTTCTTACATAAGCATCACCAATTGTTTCGACTTTGTAAACATCATAGTTTTCCGAAACACCATCGAATACTGAATATAGATCATTTAAGAGATCAACGACTTGCAATGGTGTGCTTTCTGATGAGAGAGCAGTAAATCCAACAATATCGGAAAAATAGATTGTAACACAATCAAATGTTTCAGCAGTGACCGGTTGACCACCCATTAACTGAGAAGCAACGGGTCTGAGAAAATAAAAAAAAGAGTTTTTCCATCTCGATCAGTTGTTATTGATTCTCTTACGCTGGTAGTAATTGGTAAAGCAATGCTTCCGCTCTTTTCTTTTCAGCTAAATAATCACCTGTACGTTCTTCGACGAGTCCCTAAACACAAGATTTCCTCCTCCGATTTCCTATCAAACTGCGATTTACTTCGAGATTGTTTGCATATTGTTCCATACGTTTAAGTAAATTATCAAGAATATTTCCACTATCGCCATCCCTACAAAAATTTATTCACGATAATTGTCATCATTCGATGAATTGATATCATACTTATTTATTCGTCGCATAATTTGTCGAATATCTGTAAAATCTGGCCGCTCATTCGGATCTTCCAGCCAACAACGTTTCATTAGTTGACCAATTTCAATATTACATTCGCCTGCTTCGATCGTTGGACGAAGCAAACTACCCGATTTAACACTCTCAACAATTTCTGTGTGTTCAAAAACTCTTTAATCAAAGAAATTTCACTTATAACTCATTTCTTACCATCCGGTCTTAATTCACGATCTCGTAGATAAAAAGGTCCATTGCGTAGTTGAATTTCTTGTAAAATAATTCCATAACTATACACATCACCTTTCACTGTACCAGCAGCCGGAGGATGCGGATCTCGTAATAGTTCTGGCGCCGTCCATAGACGATCTTTAAATAGATCAATTCAATTGTGCAATCTTTATATTATAACAACTTTTACTTCGATAGAATGCAAGATCTTTTATAACACCCGGTGGTGGTGAATCCTTGTTTGTATTGGACCGTAATGTTGGCAAACCAAAATCCGTTATTTTGCAAACAAATCGGCTATCAACGACGCAATTTGAACTTTTCAGATTTCCATGCGATCCTATTGGACTGTCGTGAAGATGCTGCATGCCCTAGACACTCAACAAAGCAATTATTTCTAATAAACATTGATCGAATCGTTTACCTTGACGATATCATGCATAATGGAATGCTTAAACATAGTATCAAGTTTAATTTCTTCGTTTTGTAGAATATCCTATTAAATGAATCATAGAGAAAAACGACGTTCTTCGGAAAAATCCTTTACTTTTAAACTTCCTTTGGGACAATATTCTGTGACAATGTATTGATGCTTCGGATCAATACAAATACCAATAAACCGTGCTATATGATCATGAGTGATATCTTGCATCTGAATAGACAAATTTGATGTTGAAATCATTTGAGATAAAGATGAATTTACTCAACTGCTTTCACTTCTAATTGTAACGCACGTGTGGTTTCCAATTTGGTTTTATGAAAACGTTTCAGTGCGACAACTGATGCCTTGAAAGTTCAATTTGAGACATAATGTCATGATAACAATTTGAAATTTACTTTATAAATTGCTGTTTTAGTAAATGTTTGCTTAGTCGGTCCATCTGTTTCACTATCTTGAGAATGATGACTTGCAATAGAAGTTCGCTGAAACAAAATCATATATGGAAGAGTTCGTATCATCCCACACAAACGATTATACTCACCGATTTCTCATCGGATAATTCCTACAATGGATAATTGTAGATTTTTTTTAATGACTTCTCAAAGAAAAGTCTTGTTTACCTTTTGAGAAAGTGAAAGTTTATGAAAAGAAGGTGTTGCTACATTGTTATGCAATAATGTTCGACTAGATAGTTCTTCCCATTTGATCAACCATTGCATTGCCTTTAATTCTGCTTCGAATTTTGCTCGACTAAGAATATCTTTATTCAAAAGAAAAACAAATTTCTTTTTTCCAATGGAATTTACCGGTATAAAATAAATCCAACGATGAGAAGCATGACGATGATGGACGATAAACTAATAATAATCCAGCCCCAGATTGGTATAAGTGCTAAACGATAAGAAACAAAACAACCGATACGATTGAGATTTGCCAAAGAACAGAAACGAACTCTTCTTAGGACATTTCAAATTATTAAAACCGCAACGTGGAGAATCAGGAATTGAAGTGGAATTTTTATCAATAAAATATATAAAACGAGATTCATTTAACCATTGCAACTGTTTATTATCTGTTTGAAACGGTTCCGTTGGATAAGCAACAACCGCCTACAAAAAAAAGCAGAAGAGATCTACGAATTTCTCATAGACAACGTTACCTCTAACTCTCCTGTGTCAGGATCCATATCGTAAACCGTATAACCAATATCGATACGATCACAAATTTGATTCATTGTGATATTTTTATTCGCACCTTCAATTGATCGATTACAAATCATTGATTTGAAAGTTTTCGCATCCATCGATGGATAAGCAGTCAACCCATCATTCGCTGCTATTTGATAGTGTCTTTCCAATGCTTTGAAATATGTAACAACAGCATCGTAAAAGTTCGTTTCGTCAGTTCCGATCTAAATCGAAAGAAAAACAAACAAATGTTTGACTTCGCGAACTGATCAACTCGAGTTTGTTTAGTAGAAAGAGAAAGCAAATGTTATTCAACATGCAGAGAACAAGTCCATGCGTTTATATCAAGAAAGTCAAAGTCAATCACCTACTCACTCTTATGGCGAATTTCTACATATAATGATAATCGTTCAATGTTCGATTGAAAGAAAAATGAACTTACGGCTTCGTGTATTAATTGTTCAGTTCGATTTGTTTCACGTGCAAATTCGACTACATTCTCAGCGAAACGACGAAAACGATCGCCGGTATAAAGACGTTGCCGAACATAAAGGACAGTTTCGAATGCGCGACGAGCTTTTTCATTGACTGTTTCATCGAATTCGTTCGGATCATACCATGGTTGTCGTACAGCTAAGCTTTTCTCATCCGTACTTTAATAAGAAATAGAACAAAAAACAGCTATTTGATATGATTAGATGCTCTCAATTACTTTTCTGGTGTAAGAACTGTATCGAGATAGATGAAGACATATTCACCATTGACAAATCCATGTTTCTGAGCTGTTAGAACCGCTTTCCGAAATGTTCGTGGATTAACACACCATAATGACACTAAAAAGTTCAAAAACTCGTTAACAAATCATTCCACTCAGCGATTTTCCATATCTTCAACTCCAAACATAGACAATCAGAGGGAAGGACTACGAGCAAGCATTTATCTTAATTGTTCTTTTATGTTTTCGGGATAGAGGAAATAGATATGTGTCACATTCGCTTTTACCTGATGCATTATTACTGATAAAATCAACAAAGATTGACTTGAAATCATCTTTTGCATCATGATTTGTCACTTTTCGATTATCCGAACGTATTTGATTCGATGCAAATGTATGCGCGATGGGTCGTAACAAAACTTGACATTCATGCCAAGGCTTTGGATTATCTTCATAAAGAAATTTAACAAACGACCATTTGTAATATTGAAATAATTTAACAAGTAATGTACCTAAGAAAAAAAAAGAAACGAAACAAAGGTAAACAAATGTCATTGCTGATTAGTCACTTCATTTGAAAAATATCGAGATTTAATTGTCTATCATTCATATTTTACTCTCGCTTCAATTCATCTGATCGTTTGTGTAAAATGTCTCACAAGTATCGTTCGTCCTCTTGCTTAGTTGAGTCGTGAAGACGAATTCTATTAGGAATCGAGTGACATAACGTCAATCGTTGTTTTCGATAGCGATTCGTAATAGACATGATTTCCATCTTCAGAATCTAATAACGGAAATAACAACAAATGTTAAGTCTTCTTGGAATTTTGTCATTCATTCAACGGAAACAAAAGGATATGAAGAAAAAAAAACGAGAGTTATTGTGCCGAAGTGCTCTCTTCAAGTCTTTTATTGATCGAGATATTTGTTCGAGAAATTATCAGGTAAAGATCTTCGGCCGATTCGAACTTTCTCGTACTCATTGCCTTCGGTTTTATTTCATTAACGATTTCGGTTTTGTTTTGATCAACTGGATGAATTCAATTGACTTCTCAACTCTCCATTATATTAATCTTGTTGACAAATGTCAATTCAATAAGAGAGTTTTTTGTTCTTCGATCATTCAAGTTCATATTTTTGAAACTAACTTCGAAAACTAGAAATCGATTATCGTATTGAATAACTTACGATGAATCAAATCAGATAGAAGAGAAAGTTTCTCGTTCTATCTGAAGAGTCAATCAGAGAGAACTCTTTTTCTTTCTTTCCGGATGCTGAGTGCCGATCGTATTGAAAGGCCACAAGTTCCATTCTTAGACAATCTTTAAGTAAATCGAATCAAGAAATAGATTTGCCTCATTCTCTTTTAGATCCTATTAGACATCACTAACCTCTACAAACAATTTCTTACCGAGCTCATCTGTTCGATATCCGAATCGAAATAGCGTGGAATACATCGTTTGTCGTTGTAATGTAAATTCATTAGAAACAGCTCCCATTGTGATCAAAGGAATATTCTGAAAATGAAGCAAACGTGCGACAGGAGCAACTGCTAAATCTGAATAGAAGAAGAGTTGAATTTTTAGTATAAGAAATGAATCTCGCATAGTTTGCATACCACAGAATGGACCGAAGACAACATCAGGAATTGTCGAAAGCATTGTTGTGACAAGTTGATGTGGTGCTAAAGATATTGAACATTTTGAATCTTTAACTTGCAAATTAATATTTAACCAATTGGAGATTTGATAACGATGAACAATATATTCATAAACAATTAATAAAGATTTTAAATTTGGTATGAAATCATCAATATCAGGAAACATCATCAGAATTGTGACATTAGGTTTTCGAAGAAATGTTCCTGATGATCTGATGATTTGTCCTTGTCGTCCAAGATTGGACATTGAACAGCAAGATGTTGATACAAAGATGAAAAGATAGATAAGAATAATAAACAGAATGGAGAATAATTTCGTCATTAGCCACCATCAATTTTTCCTTTTAATTATCGATCAAAAAAGAAAGAAAGAAACAGAATTGGAATGACAGAATCACAATTGTCATTTATATTTGTCTTATTCATACGTCAAAAATGGGTCTCACCTTTCTTTTCGTCTTCTTTTTTCTTCTGTGTCCTCAATTGATGATGAAGAGAAACTTATAAAACATATATGAAAGCAATCATAGCAGTTAAGTAAGAAAGAAACGAGTCAATACATACAAGACAGATTCTTTTTCTTTTTGTTACGTCGAACGATTCTTTCTTTCGGATAAGAACGATGGTGCTGCTGCTGCTACTGATGATGATGATTAAATAAGGATGTTCAAACAATTTTCGTCACCGATAATAACAGTAAGCGAACGCAATGTCGAGAAAACTTTCTTCTTTGCATTTTCTTCGATGTTCTAAAGACTTTTGCACTAGTCGAGTCGTGCTCGACGAGTCATTCGCACACAAGAAGTTATTGTTTCAAATAATAAGAACCTAATTTCGACAATCAGACTCTATTCTTTTCGTCTCATCAACTTGAATCGATAAGGTAACACTTAACCGACTTTGCCTTGTAGGCTATTTGAACGGAGAGAATGAAGAACATGACAGAGATGATTTTTTTAAAAAAAAAAAAGCTTGAAATCAATTCGTATTCGCGTGCGAAGATTATGAATTTAAGAACTCTGATTTGTTTTCCCAAAGAAGAAAAAAAGATAATTACTCACTTTCTTCTCCGATCTTATCTAACTGGATTCTTCTTCTTCTTCTATCGTTCATTCGTTTCTAAACTGCCGAGTGAAGAAAGACTATATCTTTGCACATATACTCACACTTACAACTACACTCGCAATAATCGGTTTAGTCTAATCATGTGAAAATACTCTATCGCTTATATTCATCAGCGACGATGAAGGGAAAAGAATAGAACCAATGACTATTACTCTTCTTAACTAGACGATTCGATGAAGCACAACAATGTTGACTCAAATCACAACACGAGGTTTCTTCTGTAATTGACATTCGTTTGATTAGAAAAATAAATTATCAAACAGTTATCGCGACATATTGGAATCTACGGATGGGAATTTATGAACGAATTGATAGAAATGAGAGGAAAATGTATTTCTCTTCTAATCGATTTTTAGATTAGATAACGTGGAAAATCTACCGTGCGGAATGTGATTGTAGTAACACATTTATGATAATCGACTATCGAGAAAGATATATTTAAACTATCTAATTATGACTATCATCGAATCTAACGCTTCATGGAACATTCAGCGATGTTCTGTATATGACAAAAACATACTAAAACAAACTCGCTGTTTTCTGCCAAGTTCAATTTAGGTTTTCATACTAAATTAACAATTGACAAAACGAAGGAAAGTTATTTACTGGATGTAATCGTTCTGAAAAACACTGTATCGAAGGTTTTTGTGCAAGAAAAAGAACGCAGAAGAGTTTCTGGATATTTAATTATGTTTTGTTAGATTATCGGACAATTTCCAGACCGATGGGTTCGATGGGAGGATATTCACACTTTTTGACCTAGACTCTCCAAGTACAAATATCTTCGAAATATCAACGACAAGAATCAAAATTGAAGTTCTGATTTATTAATAAAGTATAAAAACTATTCGGAATTTTGATTTGTATATCACGCCGCGCGTTTATAATATTCAATAGCTTTAACATTGCCACATTGAAGATTCTATGAATAGAATATAGATTGATCTTGAGCAAACCAAAAATCTCCAAAAAAAAGAACTTACGACTTGTAATTGATCCTGATTGTTAATCAGACGTTCGACAGAAACTTGTTTACCATTTTTATAATTAACTGTTTGTACCCATATGCCATTTTCAAATCGAATTGTTGACTATAAAGAACATGAGAGATATGAAACGAAAGTAATAAAGAAATCATTTTACTGTATATTCTTCTCCATCATGTCCTTTATCTTTGAATTCAACACCTGGTGTAAATTCAATTGCTGTCGTGTTCAAAGTTGATTCGGAGCGATATCCCCATTTGCCATCTTTCTCACTGATTATAACACGAGGTTTCACCGTTTTTGCTAACGTACGTAATACTTTGTTTACACCGAATTCTTTGAGAAAAGCATCGAAATTGTCATTACTACTCTGAAGCAAAACGAAATCATTGGAAATTCAATGTTTTAAATGAGACTTTAATGATTAAACATACATAACTCCATGTACCTTTAAGAGCTTCAATACCACGACTGTTAGCCATTGATTTTGTGAATATAGACGTACATTGAAATATGTATTTATAGTAGCAAAGTGCGTTCTTTTGGTTCGTAAGGACGGTGTATGTGCATGGGGAACAGGTCAAACAACAAAAATGTTTTTATTCGCATCATTGAATAACGAGGTAAAACAATTGAATATCAATCTGAATCGATATTTCAGAAGAGAAGACAACATCAAATCATGATTTTAGCTAATTCATCTGTTTCATATTTGCTTTATTCTCTTGTTGAAAAATATACTGAAATAAATTCAATGGTTTTGTTCTATTTCGTTTATGTAGATCATCAGATAACGAATATGATTTTTGCATAGATTAGAACGAAAATACCTGATATAGGATTGCGATTCTGAAAGTGCTCGTTTAGATGATTGTTTTATGATGAAAGAAGGCGTCATTCTGAATACTTATTTTCTTTGTATTCAGAAAAGAGAGTACACAGATTATATCTTTTCAATCAATCAATCAAAATGAGACATTTTTTTAAAACTCACATGAAGAAGCGGTATATGAGAATAATAACATGTTTATTGTATAGAAAGTGAATCCAATTACATGAAGACTTTATGTGTCAAAAGAAAAAGGTTTCTTTTTACAAAAATATTTCATAACAAAATTCTTCCTCAGTGTCAGTAAACTTGATATAAGTCCTCTTGCTGTTAAGAGATTCACGCAATAGAGGTACAGTTATAACTTGGGAAGATCGAGTATCGTTGGGCCATCATTACTCAATGCCAAATCATCAAGAACAATCTTCTTGATGTGTATATGTAACTCCTCATTAACTTTCATCTTGTTAATAAATTTATTCAGAGAACAAACAATTAGTCAGGTAAATCCGGTTCACGTCACTGGTATGCGGTGTGTTAAAAAGATTATTTTCTGCAAAGATCAACTTTATATATAACGATAAAATTATGTTTGAAAAGCTGCACGACTATCTACTCAAATGTAGTCACATCTCGATTCTGGAACATTTGCATCAAGATAATTCGATGACGAACGAGAGCATTGCATGATGAATAGTCATTCTATAACACCTCTCTTTTCAATATATTTCGTGACAAATTTCTGTTCTCTCTAACGAAAATCTATTCTTCGTATGACATCAAAATCACACACACGTGACGACAATGTCTTGGTATGTTTCATGAAATGAATTTAATAATTGATAAGTTGTTGAGTGATTTTAGTTTCGTTAAATATGTGTGAGAAGATGAAAGCAGAAGAGAAAGAGAATGTTGAAGATGTAAATGAAAGGAAAAGATATGGTTGACTGGTTTTGTTGACCATGAGTATACGAGAAGAAGGTCATAATGAGAGAAATAGTTGACCGAAAACAAATGTCGAACGAAGAAGGAGCAGAACATGATATGAGTTTTTGTGTTCAAAAGGGCGAATCAATAATGTTGAAAACAGTTTCAGGATCGAAGACATATGAAAATCTTGCCGAGCAACGAACTCAAATCGATCGAGAACCATCAGCAGGTAAGAAAATTTAACACTAAATGAACAAATATCACGGCATTCATATAGAAAAAGATGAACCAGAGCGTGTGCCACGTGTTCGTCGACCAAGTATTGTCATTCGTGAACATCAATTGACGCAATATCCCATTAATTATGATCCTTCACCTCAGATTATTCGTAAAACAGTAGATCCAAACCATCAACCAATTGTTTATAAACAACAAATTGCTGTTCGATATCTATGTCCACCCACTCCACCTCCACCAGCGCCGTTAATTATTCGAGAAGTTCGAACTCGCGACCCATCACCATTACCACCAAGTTAGATGACGAATTCAATTTGAAAAAATTGCCTAGTTAAACATCTTTTTTCAGTTATTATTCGACAACGACCACCAGCACCAGCCACACCACCGCCTATAATAATTCGAGAGCGTCCACCAACTCCACCATCTTATACAACACCAAAAGTAAATGAAAACATGTCTTTTACTGGATAATTCAAAAGATAAATTTAGATTATTTACAAACGAGTATCACCTGTTCAACAGCAAACATCACGTCGTGTTATTATCGAACGCTTACCACCAATGCCTGCTAAGCCACCTGATATTATAGTTGAACGTTGGCTTCCATATAAACAACAAAAACGGCAGGTTATTTATGAAAAGGCTTTACCCGCCAACGATGACATGCCACCAACATTTGATCAACAACTTCCAAACAATGTTATCATTCAATATGCTAATCCATCGGTTCGAATAGAAAAACAAATGCGTTCATTAGGTATAGTGCGATGTGATCCATATGGAAAAGACATAAGTTCCGCTGTATCTTCTCCTGTTTTAAATGGTATGATAAATTTCTCATCTTTTCTTTTCCTCAATTAATAATTGTGATTATTTCTATAGAACCGATCTATCATAACTTTTCAACTTCAAAATACGAAAATCTTTATCCAATGTCAAAATAAATCATCTACTCTTTATTCATCAACTCACACCTTGTTGCTTTTATCGGACTCAATTTCATATGACAGACAGGATTCTCATGCATATTTGTTATTCACATTCAATAAATTTCTTTTCTTTCGATTATAATACCAATACTTATTCCATCTATAATGCGATATTCACTTGAGTAAATATGTAATTGTAAAATTATCTCAATACCATCGCAGCACTATGAATTTCACACGTGATAAAACTAGATAGATCATGAACAAAAACTACGAATTTTCGTGAAGTGCATGTTCAGCAGAAATACGATCTTTCAGTGCCTTTGCCTTTTCATTGGCTATGTGAAAGCGAACATTAATAAAAGTTCTTGTATCGATGACTGATAATGACTAATTAGTTTGATACTACCAGTTATTCATTGACCACACCGTTACTTTGAGTATGTCTATGTAAGTTCATTTATTATGACTTGTTTCATCAGAACAAAACAAAAGAAAAAGCGAAGAAAACGACTGTTTTTGTAAAACGCTTACGCAAAAAGAAAACAACTGACATGATAAAGAAGAGAGAATACTTCATAGAACAAGTAAAGATTATAATAATATTTTGAAAAAGGAAAACTGATTGTTGAAAGAATTGTTTATAATGTGGATCTTTTTTTTTCGTATAAATAAATATATACAAAGAATACAATTGCCGAATCAATACGCCAAAAACTTTGTTTGAAAGAAGAATAAATCAATATACAGGAACGGATTTATGTGATTGTACAACATGAAGGGACACAAAATGAACGTGATGCACAACAGCAACAACAACAAATTGTACACGATGTAGATGGATGGATAAGAGGTGTGGGAGTTCGAGGAGCGAAATAAGCATGGATATTTAAATCGGGATAACGTATCTAAATGAAAATTCTCGTTTGAATTAGAAAAAGATATAAATCAATAGAAATTACCTGAATCCTTTTGACTGCATTCTTACTAATCTGTTGACAATCGAAAATATCTAAACGTCGGAGATTTTGACAAGTCAATAACTGGTCTATTGATGCATCTGTGATAGATGGACAATTGTCCAATTCAAGTATTCGAAGATTTTCTTGAGCGCTAACACTCGAACCAATGTAACGGACACCTTCATCGGTTATTTGTTCACATCGAGAAAGTGTCTATCACAAAAATATAATCGAAAAACAAGTACAATCTCTTTGAAATAACATACTAAAATGCGAATATTAGGACAATTATCAGCCAAATGTCTTAATGTTTCATCGGTGATCTAGAAAATCATTCTTTATCAATGCGACTGTATTTCAAATTCTTACAGCCGTGCAATCTTCAAGATCAATTCGTTGCAGTAAATGACATCCCTGAAATACATTAATTCATGAAAAGTCTTGTGAATCGAGCAGAAATCTTACTTGAGCCATTGCTAAAAATCCTGCATCGGTAAATTGTGAACATAGAGTTGCATCCAGTTTTCTTTAAAATGAACGAAAAGTTTCGTTTTTCTATTCGAAAGATAGTTCCCTACTTCAGCTGATGACAATATTTGCCCAAAGCTATTAATGTTTGATCGGTTAAACTCGTACAATTAGCGATGATTAATGTTTCAAGTAAAGGACAATGTTGTGAGAGAATAGTAAGTCCATCATCAGTCAAGGACTAGAAGAAGACAAGAAAGACCAAGTGAAACTATCAACAAGATCTTTCTACTTACAGAACATCGATTCAAATCAAGAAATAATAAACCTGAACAATTTTTTCCCAAGTAAACCGCTGCATTATTTGTCATCTAAAGAAAGTTTTTCATAAGAATTTCTTTCTCGAAGAGAATTTCTTCTTTCATACGTGTGTACATCCTTCAGCTTTGAACGTTGTTAATTTCGAACACGATTCCACAAGAGTCCGAATGCCATTTTCCGTAATAGCCATACACCATGAAATATCCCAACACTCCAAATGTGAACAATTCGAACTAAAACATAAGGAAAAGAATACTCTTCACACAAAACGATGTTTTCCAATCGTACCTGATCATCTTCACTCCATGATCATCAATATGTGAGCATGATGAAATATTAATCGATGTTAAATAAGAACAATGTTTACTCAAGTAGAATAATGTACTAAATAAAAACAAATATCGTTATCGAGCTTCTTCAAAGAGATTCACTTACGTATTGGATAACTTGTCGCAATGTTTCATAATCAATCGTTCTAAGTTGGGACAATTATTTGCAAGAATTCTAGATAAACGAAAACGATTTGTGAAGTTTGACGAGAGAGATGTGTTATATACCGCATGTTATGATCCGTTATAAATTTACAATTTTCAATGTTTAATCTTTTGAGAAATTTCCCGCAGCGTTTACTTAGATTTTCCAAAACAGTTCCCTGAAAACCAGATAATTTCACAATGAAATAAAAGAAAGAGTTCTGTTCATACATCAATATCACGTTGAAAGTTTTTTAAATTAATACTTTGCCAATTGGAACCATCTAATGCCAATGTATTCCAATACTAAAACAAACGATAGAGAACGGTCATGACAGAAGAGCACAATTTTGAATCACCTTGGAAACTTGTGCACATCGGCAGAGCGATTGATAATCGAGAAAGGAAAAAATTCTAAAAATAAAGGTAACATTCAGATGAGAATGGAACTCGTCCTGTCATTGAAAAGAACATCTATTGTACTACTTCTGGTACTCGGAAGTACAGGAAAATCATTTCCGGTTTCATTTTTTAACAAGTCATCCAGTCACTATCACAAATATTCTATTTAATTAAGTCCTGGACATGAAAAGTTCTTTGCACATCACACATTTGTTTCCTGGAAGAATTACGTTGACACATCTCGGAGTCTTTACCTTAAAACTAATTCTTTGGGTAGCTTTTTGTCGAGTAAGCAAATATCTTCATCTGAAACTTGTTCCAATTGTGTATCCGTCTTTGCTGAATGATGAATCAAACCAAATATGAATCGTCGTGGACGATTTATCGATGAATTGTTTAATAAAGGATCCTTTAATGAATCATCATTATGATTGACTAATACTCCTGTTGCTGATGAATTATTCGAACTATCATTAGTTGATTTATGTACATGTCCATTTGTTGTTGTTGTTGATGTATCACTTGGTGAATCTGCTGGAGATGCAGGATTTAAATGATTATTATCTGGTGAGGTTTGACCAACAGTACGTTTGAAAAATGTACGTATAGCAGACATTGAAATGAAAAGAATAATAATGACTGAAAAAACAATACATTATTTGAGAATTTCTTCTTTTCTTTTTCAATATTGGTTTTACCTCTGCATGAACAAGATCAATTGCGATTGTGCTCTAGTCAGACTTCGTAAATAATCACATTGTTTTGTTTGGAATATATTCAATGCCCACGCGCTTTCCGCGCGAGCAAATGATATTCGATAAGATTAGAATCTAGAAATGAAAAAAAAATAGTTTATTGTACCCAATACACAAAATGACTATTCTTGTCAATAGAACCATCAGATTTGTTTCAATCATGAGCGAAATCACATGCTATGTTATTTATTTTTTTCTTCTTCTCTGTTCCCATCAGTCAGGTATTTGTTCTGTTCTATCTTTTGCTTATTTTGTTTACAACTGTTAAAATGTACATTTATATTATTTTTTTCAATGGAAAGTTTTTTATTGTCTTTTCTCGAGAATATTTCAGATTTTTTAAAGTAATTTTCAACAACCTTAAATAAATGTACAGATGGCGCTGGATGGAGTATAAACTATGGACTGGATTAGTTCAACCATTCATTAATTCACATAGAACTGAACAGACGAATCACGACGGAAGTCAGCGTGAGGATATTTAATTAGAAAAATATTATACGAAGAAAAACAAATTTGTTGCAGGTAAACATGAAATAAAGCAGTATGGAAAATAGAAACAGCATCGATGTGAGAAAAAGTTCATCATCATGGTTAGATGCTTTGGATAAATTCGATTGAGATATTTATAAGAATTCAATGATAGATAACTATAGTAAGAGAACGTTGTAATACGAATAGGATTATGTATTTTATTAAGTGAAAGTGTATGTTTTGTCCTAATTTATGTTAACCAAATTGCAGCTTCTGTACATTCTCAAGTGGCGATTAGCTGAACACCAAGAAACCGTCACGGAATGCGTTTAATATACATTCAAAAAAAGAAAGATTAGGATACCGAAAAATATTTATTTATCTGAAAATATTGCAAATAACACAATTCCAATATGACAGTTCACTTGTCTTAGCCTCGAAGCATCTGTTTTTCAGGAACGACCAGAGGAACCATCGTATGAAGCGCACTCGCTGACTGTTTCCCATCTTTGATCATCTCTTTTACAGGGACGACCATTAGGACTATTCTATCAAGAATCACCAGTAACTTTTCATCTTCGTCAAATGTTTCTGGATAGAATATTTTTCCATTTTCGGTTGGCCATACTCCGATACGTCTACCAGTTAACCATCGAACCATTTTACGAGCAAAGTTTTGACAATCTCGAAATCCTAACATATAATGTTTGCCTTGTTCCATTTCTATCCAATTAACAACATCTGACCAATAAAGCGACTGAGTAGTAGAACCATAAATTGATGTTCGCACCTTGTGATAAGCTCTTGGACTTGTATAAAGAACGGCATCTTCTTCACAATCAAATATATCCGCAGTTATCATACCTGTTATGTGGAATTGAATACAAGCCCATTGATCATTACTGAGTTTTAGTAAAACAGACCAATGTCGAGCTCCTAAACAAGCGTAATTCATTGTACGAAGTCCTAAACGAACTTCAACAACTTTTGGATTTCCTTTTACTGCACCAGTGCAGTCATCTTCATAAGAAGTGAGTTTGTGCACAAAATCCCGAAATAACAACATTGTCAATAGATAGATTTCAGTATAATTGAGTGATTGTCAACGAAGATATTTATAGTTGACTCTCATACAGATCAATAAAGCTAAGACGCATTTCTCCTGACTCACGTGTGGGCTTTTTCTCCCAAAATTGGTTGATCAATATCAGATAAATCAGAAAAATAATACAATCATGATGGCATATAGGGAATATTTAAAGTAGTGAGAGCATCTCTCGACTTACTTCGACAGAATGGGAATTTATCTCTCATAAATTTTGATTATTAAAACGGATTTTATCTTTAAAGGTGTCATTATATTAATTTTTCTCACATGGTATTGCATAACTATGTTTACAGTTAAGTCAAAACATACCTACGAAGGCGATCGAAGAAGAAAACGAAATCAACCGTGTCCCTCCTCTTTATTATGAAACCACCTATACGAATTAAACACGCATGTAATGAAGTCATTTCTATATTAAATGTTGTGGGTTAATTGCGGAATTGCATTGATGACCAAAATAAAAAAAAGTTGTACTATATTTATCGATAAATATTTCGGTGAAGAGGTGTAGTCGATTTTTGCTTAGTCAATGATTCGGAAATTTCTACTTCTAGCTTGGGTTAATCGATTCTCGACGAAAAACTTTCAATAAATCTCATCGATCCAACTTGAGAAAAATGTTTATGGGAGAAAACAGCTTATCTTAAATTCTCCTCAGACCGGTAGCAATACATCATAGTTTATTCATAGTTTATGCATAATCACAGTTGCAGACCATTTTCAATGAGTTTTCAAACATATTGAGTTAGTGCAATTCGACGCGAATGCCTGAGTATCAGACTAGATTGAAAAGACCTTTTCATAGTCTACAAGTACAGTAAGGGTAGTCGTTTGAAAGGACTTTTTCGGAAAAAACTGGACTGAAATCGTACAGTTAAGAAATCATTGGAGGATAACGAAATCGACCAAAAATAAAAGGGATCTGTCGTCGCAAACAACCGGTTTCGTTCGTCGGAATGATGGATCTTAGCACATCAAGATAGAAAAAAGATTTCATTACTAGTCAACTCAATCATCATTGATTTTTCAATATAAATCATTTCGTTGAGTGGGATATACGCAAGAAAAATATGCGATCGCTAATGTCGAGTCCTGATTACTATACACAAGTAACGCGGCCTAATAGCCGCTAAACCCTCTACTGAAAGGATAGTATCAGAGCGCTACTATTCGTCCAAAGAGAGCAAAAAGTTTTTTCAGTTGAACGATCTGATCATTTAATAGTTTGTCAGAATGTTTTACTTAGAACAATTTCGATTCCTGAAATCTTCTGAAATTATAACGCCTAGTCGTTTGTCGGCCTCTCTCCGGTCGACCACTCACGGCTAGCCGTCGGTACCCAATAAGTGTTTAATGATATTTTCATATTAAAAAGTACCTCGTTCTTGTTGAGTCCGTCTCTAGCAAAGTTGCCGAAATTCTTCGTAACTTCATGACCTACAGTATATCTTTTATTATCATTTTTAGTTGAATATGTCGATGATCTACATAGTTTTTTCTTGAAGCTCGAAAAGATGTCATATATATATATATATATACCTTAGAAAAATTATGGCCACTTTGCGACAGTCTTATAAATCTCACTTTTCAACTAATTTTCAAAAGAAACAACTAGTCGTTCGTCGGCCTCCCTTCGGTCGGCCACGCACGGCTAGCTCTTCCCATGCGTACTCATTTTACTATCTTAACTTCATTCGGACGAAGACGCGTTCTGCAAATGAGCACATTTCGGAAAATCAATTCATAATCAAAAACTTAGACGTTTTACATAGCTATATGATTCTCTGGAAAAGGTTTCAATCTTCACTGCACCACGAGGAACCTTAAATGGCTGCCAGCTATGTTCGTGCAGAGCAACGATTAATTTCTGATCAAGAAATCTTAAAGCTCTATGAAAATCACAAAGTTTGTTCTTAAAAATATTATTCTGCAAATCGACGACTAGTCGCTCGTCGGCCTCCCTCCGGTCGGCCACTCGCGGCTAGCCGTTACATGTACATTTTCACTCTTCCATTTAGTCTACAGCCACTTTTGAAAGTAGTCCATTCATTCTCTTCTATTCCCTCTTTAAAAGTCACCCTCTTTATGCTACTGTAACTCTCGAAGACAACACCTGACAAGCGAAACATTATTTTAGATGACTGGCATCAGACGATATCCGTATAGTATAGCTGTTTCTAAAAGTGTGTGATCTCATTAATATGCTTATGATTATGGAGATCCAGCGATCGGACGTCAGTCAGCTATTACATTTTGCTCTACATATTGCCGCTTAAAACATTATCGTCTAAAAAATTGATCCTTTGTCGCAAAAAACGGGTTAGAAAGTGTTCATGAAAAAACTAACCTCGGATTCGAGTTCCTCGACCCCGATTACCCTTCGGTCAACCCTTACTCGACAACAAAAAAATTTCATTAATTAATTAGCAATTAGCTAATTAGCTAATTGGAATTTCAGAAATCTAACAGCGGATTCGGATTCCTCGACCTCGATTACCCTTCGGTCAACCCTTACTCGACAACAAAAAAATTTCATTAATTAATTAGCAATTAGCTAATTAGCTAATTGGAATTTCAGAAATCTAACAGCGGATTCGGATTCCTCGACCTCGATTACCCTCCGGTCAAACTTCGTTCTCCACTGAGGGTCACTGAATAGTCACTATCGAACAGTGATGTGAAAGAACGAACCAACGAACCAACAAACCAACAAACCAACATCAACTCGTTTTTTTGTAATACCTGCTCGACGCATAACCCTCCTTTCAGTAGAGGGAATTATTGTCAAAATTCATACTTATCGAAAATGAGCGAGAAGCAAGAATTAAGGAATAGTTTGATTTCAATTGTCTTAATTCACAATCATTCCGAATCGAAGCATGTTTTTAATTTTTACTAATAGTTTGATTACGGCAAGAATCAAAATTATAAAAAATACCAGATACTATAGTAAATCTTGATAAATATTGGCAAATACCAACATTACTTCTCTACCTCAACTAACACGAACACAAAACGTAGATTAAATTTTAAAAAAAACAAAGCAACTACTATTTTTTCCGATAAGCAGAGTATTGATGTTCTAATTTTTTTCGTTTGCTGAGAAAAACGAGAGAACAAGAGGTAAACGCATGCTGAACATCTTTACACGTTTTCCTTCGCTTTGTTTATGTGCACATGAACACACGATCTAACTACTATTCATCTGAATTCAATCAATATATTTACAAATCTTTGTTTTATTGAGAATAACTCTTGAAAAAAATATGCTTTTCACTACGTAAAACGTCTCAAGAAGAATCTTGAGTTGATTTGATTTCATAACAATCATGAGTGCTCGTTGTATTGAAATGAGTAGTGCGGCATGTAAAATGGAAAAGAAATGTCTTCTTCGAACTCAATATGTTAGTAGGAAAAGATGTGTTAGATATGGATCATCCATATCAACACTCAAACTTTCTTATGTAGAATATTTCTCACCAGTTTGCATCCTAATTGTCAATTGATAAAGTGATGTATAACGACGAGAACATGCAATAAACGAGAGAAATGTGTTGAACAATTCTTTTCGTCTGATATGAACCATGACAAAGATGACATTGACAAGGCGGACGTCTGCAATGTATGAATGGACATACTGCATAAAAATGGCACTACGCTGCTCGTTCTCGTCCATCTCGCCATAATATGATTACTCTCTTCGATCACTTGCCAGACTTGCCCTTACTGGAAATCTTGTCCTATTTATCCTGCTTGGATGCTTTATGGGCATTCTCGAATCTCAACGCTCGTCTAACAAGTTTATTGAGTGAACAAGGTTTCTATTATCATGTCAATTTATCATCCACACGATATCAACAGTTCAAAGCACTTCTATCATCACTTCGATTCGATGAAATTCAGTCACTTACCATTGATGTTCATGCATCACTTCTTCAGATAAGATGTTGGCCTTATTTACCAAGATTAAGAATCTTGAAAGTCAAAGGTGTACGAAACTTCCGTGATGTTTTCAGTTTCGCACATCGACATGCGAGTACATTATCTCACTTAACAGTTGAATCAAGCAGGTATTTTAAAACTGTAAGTATGACTCAAAACAGCTATGTCTAATTAATAATTTCAAACGAGTATAAGAGAAAAGAATAGAAGACACTAGAGATAGATTTCAACGTGCTTGATGCACGAGAGAATAGTTTGACTATCTAAAGACAACAGTTGATGATCCGTTATTGAAGTCCTATAGATGATCAATGTGTAAAAGAAAACGTTCGATGAGCAAATCTTTTTTGAACTTTTCTATATAAAGTTGAATTCGGCAGAAAAAGCGAATATTTAGTGGACGATTCGTCTCCGATAACTAATCTAAACGAAGAAAAAGAGCATTTTCATTTTTTTAACTGTTAATATTTCTCTTTTGTTTCATTAAGGATGGCTTGAGTAGAAGATTGTGTTATCCATCATGGAATTTATATAAATTTATCAGTGAAATTCTTAATAATATGTTTGCTCTTCGTTCACTTAACTTGGGAATGGAATCATCTTTTTTCTTACACACATGGTCTTTTAAAACGATACAACTTCCATTAACTCATTTGACTGTTGCATTACATTTTATCTGTGATTTGATAAATCTCATGTTAACTGACCCGTTGTCACACACTTTAGAACAATTACACATTACATTAGCAAGGAACTGCGATATTGAAAGTAGTATGGATGCTGTATCTCATTTATCCCGAATGAAGACTTTACATACATTTACCTTTGCTAAGTCATTCGAGTGGCAATCCAATTATGAATGGTCATTCATTGATCGGCTGACATCTGCAAAAGTTATGCCCGCTTTGAGACGAATGAGTTTTGCTCTGGTGATTAATTATATTGATCTGATTGAAATGGAAAATTCAGCACTTTTTACAGACTTTCGTCACATTGATGTTCATTATTCATTTATTATCGTCGCTCCAAGTCGGGAATCCCACGCAGTGCTTTTGAATCATGTACCGCGTGGCAGTCAATCTCATCCTCGGGAAATAGTCAGTGTAACATTCATGAGTGGTCCTTGGCCTGATGATCAACCGTTCATAACTCCAGACGTTCGTTATGTAAAGCTTCATTCGGATTACTTTGGTGCTAAAGTATTCATTCATATGCTTTTTTTCTTTCAGATAGAAACACCTAAGTTTCGGCAACATCTCTTCTATACTTTACCATGGGTTTTTGATAAGTTTTTTCAATTATGTGTTCCAGATAGATGTATCAGTGAAGTAGAAGTCTTTATGTCTCCTACAATGGGTAAAAACTATTCTTCTCGTTTGACTAAGTTGGATATGTCAGATAATCTTCCATCATGCTCAACACTCCTGTCTAACGTGATATTTCCAAATAAGATAGTGGAGCTTCAATTATTCCGATGCAACAGACACGTGTCAATGAATTTACCCAATGTTTCTCATCTCAATCTTATTGATAGTTTAGATTCATTACGTTCCAATTCTCTTCCATTCAATGTTCGAACTATTCAAATCGTTCTTCATCACGAATGTCTTCATTTTGCAACTGATGATTGGACTATTCTACGTGCACTTTCAACTTTACCATTATTGAAATCTTTACGTATACTTTTATATGATATGCGGATTCCTCCAGATCACACAAGTTCTCAAATTATTGCAGAGAGAGCCTTGCTACTCTCGGATTTCTCATTTTGCTTTCGCAGGGACAAATATCCGGATCCATATGACAAGATCTCAGCATATAAAAGACACTGGCTGTTCATTAAACAACTACGAAAACGCATTCTTCTTGCATCATTGGAACGAGAGCCATATATTTCTGTTGAAAAAGATGGTTGTGGGTTGGTTGCATGGTTTTGATAGACAGCTGCGTTTGAAATGTCTTCGTGTGCTCTGTTCGACATCAATATCATAACAAACATTCACGAAACCTTTGAAAAGAGACAAGAGATATTTTCTTTTGGCATCCAACAAGGACTGCTGAATGTGAAAACAATCTTTGAGATGATACTGCTAAAAGCATGGTTTATTGAAAGAAATCATCATCTGAAAATCGATCATGTAGTTAAGAATCGGTTTCAGGAAAACCTTCATTCATGAAGGAACGATTTCGTTTGTTCCGACGATTCTCTGTGATGTGTGTAGAGCATTTATTTGAAAAATTGCAGTTTGAATTACACGAGTGACATATTGGCTGTCTTCTCATTTTTCTTGAGATGAAATTCGTTTGGATGACAGAAACAGGCGAGAATCTTCGAGACGAGTGGAAACCGATTCAGCAGCACTTGTTGGAATAGAAGTCGACGGTAGAAACGGATCGTTAAAGGATTGAGAAAGTAAACCAGGATCGAGAACTTTTCACTGAATGATGTTGGGATGAGGGACGATGTGAAACTTGCAAGGCGTACAGAGAAGGACGAAAAAGTTTCGAGCAAATCACTGCTCGAGGAAACTAACAGACCAGACATTGACTTTTTCAATTACTATTCCGTTAATATTACCTTATCGACAACGATTTATCGATATTTTCAATCTTTCATTTAGTTCGATTGATACTAGCATTGTTGGCGGTTCCCAAATTATCTTGATTAATGGCGATTCTCGTAATGTTTTCTGCGAAAATGGCACAATGCGGACAGAACAACTAGCATTGCCTTTCTTCCTCTCTTTTGCACTGAGCTTGATATAGATATTTAGATCGTTATCAATCACTTTATATTTCAAGTCGTATACATTTAAATCAATGGAGAAACCAACTATTATTCTCTAATGTGCCATTTTAGCTATTCGATTTGACAACAATCGCCATCTATCTTATGTCTTTTCGGAATCGTGGATAGATATATATGGAACGAAACAAACGAATATTGTCGTTCGTTTCTGTGTGTTGTTTCCCCTTACTGTCTTTACAAACAGTATTGGTCGTCATTACTTATAGAACAGCTTCATTTCACCTATGGCTCGTCGTTTAAATCAGTTAAGAAAATCGACTCTTTCTACTCGTATGCCATGTTTTCCTTCAAGATTTTTCATTTCACACTATTAATTTTTGTGTAGACGAACACTTGACATGTTCATCAAGTATTCTCTCCTCGTCATCACCCCGCACACCTGGAAAGAAAGCGATCAAAGGTGATCCAATTATTACTGGTATTCGACTTCGTCCATTTCTCGATCGGTAAGAATTTGAAAGATGATGAACAAACTCTTCATATCGATTTCCGTTTTGAAGAGAATCTGCTATTGATGATACACCAGCTGTTCAAATCTTCGAAACAAATGTTATCTGCACACAGAATGGTCGACCACAAATATTCAAATTTACCAATTGTTTTGACTCATCTGCTAATAATGTCTGATTTCATACAAAAATTTATTTGAGAAAACTCTTCTTCTTTTTTCTTCTGATCTAGAAAAATGTTTATGATGGAATGATTCGATCAGCAGTACTTGCTTCTTTACAAGGTTATAATACGACAGTCTTAGCCTATGGCCAAACAGCATCAGGTGAATCATATGTTATCCAATAAAAACATGAGCATTGTGTTTCTTATAGGAAAGTCTCATTCAATCTTTGGGTCGTCCAATGAAGAAGGAATTCTTTCCTTGAGTATTGATCATTTAATCACAATGAATGGCAATCATCATTTGAAATTTGAATTAAGTTTTCTGGAGATTTATAACGAAAAAGTCACAGATCTGCTTGCTACACCTGCAGTTTCAACTGAACCCTCAACAACGAAATCATCATCATTTTCCAAAAACGCTCGTACACATATTCTGAACAAATTTGCGTGTAACTCGACACGAACATTAGAAATTCGCGAACATCCACTACTTGGACCATATGTGCCAGATCTTAAATATATTCAAGTGAAAACAAAAGAAGACTTTCAAAATGTATTGAATTTAGGAAATCAACAGCGATCAGTAGCATCAACAAATGCGAATCAACGTTCATCAAGATCACATGCCATATTTTCTGTTAAAATTAGTCGCAATGATGTTCCACAATCGACAGCGAAACGTCTATTGTTTGAATCGAATTCGACGTCGAATGGCAAAAACTCGAGTTTGTCAAATGCAAACAATAAGAAAAGTGTTAAACAACAAGCATTGGATGAATTGGAAGAACAATCTGTACGATTNATTTCCAACATGTTTATCCGTCAACAATTACATTTGTCACTTTAGTCCATTAGTATCTGATCCAGATATGATCTTAAAAGACGATGACGTCGTTAAAATCGATTTAGGTTGCCATATTGATGGATATGTCGCTGTCGTCGCTCATACACTTATTGTTGGTGCAACACGTGAAAAGAAAGTTACCGGACGACGTGCTGATTGTATTCTTGCTGCTTATTATGCTGCTGAAGCTGCACTTCGTTTAGTTAAACCAACAGAAAACAATACTGCTGTGACTGAAGTCATTGACCGTATTGCCAATGCTTATCATTGCAAACCCGTTGAAGGTATGATTTCCTATCAAATGACACGTGGTGTAATCGACGGTGAAAAGAAAATCTATCAAAATCCAAGTGAAATGCAACGTCGTGAAATTGAAAAACAAGAATTTGCATTACATGAAGTCTATGCTGTTGATGTTTTGGTTTCATCCGGTGAAGGAAAACCACGAGAAACAGATATTCGTACAACAGTTTACAAGAAGAAAGATTTTATTTATCAATTACGTATGAAATCATCTCGTGCATTTTTATCGGAAGTCGAGAAACGTTTTTCATTGATGCCATTTACATTAAGACATTTCGAAGATGAAAAACGCGCACGTATGGGTGTTATTGAATGTGCAAAACATGATCTTGTTGAACCATATCCAGTTTATCAGGAAAAAGAAGGAGAATTTGTCGCCGAATTTAAATTCACACTTCTATTAATGCCTAGTGGACAAATGAAAATCACCGGTTTACCAATTGATTTAGATTTATATGAATCGGAGTATAAAATAGCCGATAGTGATATCAAACAATTGCTTACAAGTTCAACACAAAAGAAGAAAAACAAAAAGAAGAAGAAGAAAGGCACAGGCGCATCAGGTGCAGCAGCTCTTGACAATGTGGAAGCAGTCGAAGATGATGGTGATGAAGATTTTGAAGATGAACCCGATCCAGTCGCACAAAAGAAATCAACGAAATCAAAGAAAAGCAAATAAAACCGCTTAAAATTTTCTCAATAAAATCTACTCATCAGTAAACTATCATTGATGAAAAGCAGAAGAGAAAAGATTTCGATTTCTTCTATTCTTTCTTTTTTTTAAATCTCTCATTTATGTTTTTTACTGATGAGAAGAAAGTCTTTAGTCTTTCGACAATAAAAGAACGTTTATTGATTGACATTCAAACATCAAAAGAAAACAAAAACGTACACACACACAAGAACATACATTATTATTTGTAGATTTTCTCAATGGATGATTTATTACATGAAGGATTTCATTTTGATGTTGACACTTATGCAACATTGATTAATGTTCGCGTACAAATTGAATGTCATGGACAACGAAATTATTCAGGAAGAGTGTACACGATTGATCCATTGACACAAAGGTTCGGATTAAAATGAGTTTTCATTTTGAATTAGATGAGTTTTGACTTTTTCAGTATCGTTCTCATTGATGATACATCAAATCGTGTTCATATCGTTCTTCGACCAGATATCATTCAATTGAAAGTTCTCGATCGTAGTTCATCTCTTCAATCGTTCAAAGATCCATTTCAACCTTCGACGTCCATTCCAACAAATGCCGGCGAATCGGCGTCTACTCGTCTCGAAGATCTTCGCCGGTTTCTGTCATCCAAACGAATTCCATTTCAAGAAAAACGAGAAGACAATCAGAGTGTCACTCTTGTGATTCAAAACGGTATTGTTCAAATAAATGCTCCATATACATCACAAACCATCGTTGGAACGAACGAAATTGTTCTTTCGCGGATGAAATTTTTATTGAAACCAATTCTTGACTAAATGATTGATTTTCAGATGATGTTCCCTTTGAATAAAACAATGCTTTTAGCAATATCATCTCAACGATTATTCTCACGTTCAGTCATCTTTGCTGCCTACAAACATCAAATATCTTCCATCTCAATTCATTCGAATAATAGACGACATCGGTCTTCATCTCAATCTCATCGAAACAATCTAAATCGACCGGTAAATCAGACAGACAATTTACGTCGACTTTTTCAAGCAGTTGATGTCAAACCAATCGTATCCACTGACAAACTTGATACACCATCGTCAACAAACAATGTAGATGCAAATATTGGCCAAGAGTTAACTGGTGGAAAAACGCTGGATCGAAACTCACTTCTTCGTGTGATAACCGACTTTTATCGTCGTGATGAAATCAAAAAATTAGCTGCTGATCAAGGTCTTGATATTCGATTATTTCAAGATGCATATGTTAGTTTTAGAAAGTTTTGTATTCAGTCAACAGTTTTACCTGTAGATTTACATATTGTGTTGAGCGATATCATCTCTGGATCTGGTAAGAACTTGCTTATCTTTGCAGAATCAATGCGTCATGTTTGTATAGGTCATGCAACGGATATCTTCCCCTATTTTCTCCGACATGCACGAGAAATGTTTCCACATTTGACATGTATGGATGATCTAAAGAAAATCAGTGACCTTCGAGATCCAGCGAATTGGTATCCAGATGCTCGAGCTATTCAAAGGAAAGTGATTTTCCATGCTGGTCCAACAAATAGCGGAAAAGTAAGATTGACGAATGATAAATACATTGTTCGAAAATTTCGTTTAGACTTATCATGCACTTCAACGGTTTATGAATAGTGAAAGCGGAGTCTACTGTGGACCATTAAAACTATTGGCATCAGAAGTTTTCTATAAAACGAATGCAGCTGTGAGAGCAGATTGATGCATCTTGTCTTTGAAAGTGACTTTTCAACATAGGGCACAAAATGTGATCTAGTAACGGGCGAAGAACGACGGTATGCTGATCCAGAAGGCAAAGCAGCTAATCATGTTGCATGTACAGTTGAAATGACGAATTTAACGACAGTTTGTAAGTGACAGATCGACGAACGATATGAAGATTAATTGAAGATTTTGTGTAAATAGATGATGTAGCAGTTATTGATGAAATTCAAATGATGCGTGATCCACAGCGTGGTTGGGCATGGACTCGAGCATTGCTTGGCATTCAAGCCAAAGAAATCCATCTATGTGGTGAAGGTTCAACAATACGACTTATTCAAGAATTAATGGTAACAACAGGTGATGAAGTGGAAATTCGAGAATATAAACGATTAACAAAATTAAATTATCAAGAGAGAGCACTAGGTAATCTATTCACAAATTGTATTTGAGTTATGAATTGATATGAAGATGATTAGGAGAGAAAGAGAACTTTGTGGCTTAACTTACGCTTTTCAGTATTTATTTAGAAACATTCGATAATGTCAAACCTGGCGACTGTTTTGTCTGCTTCAGTAAAAATGATATTTTTCACATAACACGTGAATTAGAACGACGTGGACACGAAGTAGCAGTTATCTATGGTTCATTACCGCCAGGCACAAAGTTATTACAAGCTCAACGGTTTAACGATCCCAACGATTCGTGTAAAATAATGGTGGCGACTGATGCGATTGGAATGGGTTTGAATTTGTATGTTGCCTGTTCTTTGCATCCTTATTGATCTATGCTGAATATTTGTAGGAGTATAAAACGAATTATCTTCTATAGTCTGATGAAACCGCAATTGAATGAACAAGGAGAGAAAGAAAAAGATACTGTAACAACTTCACAAGCACTGCAAATTGCTGGTCGAGCGGGAAGGTTGAAAAATTCCATTGATATCGTCAGAGTTACTCAATTGTATTTCGTTTCAGATTTGCAAGTGCTTTTCCCGATGGTGAAGTAACAACATTTCGTCGTGATGATTTACCTTTATTAAAAGACATCGTCAATCGACAAGTAGAAACAATTAAGGTATTACTCTTCATCNACCACGAGAAACAGATATTCGTACAACAGTTTACAAGAAGAAAGATTTTATTTATCAATTACGTATGAAATCATCTCGTGCATTTTTATCGGAAGTCGAGAAACGTTTTTCATTGATGCTATTTACATTAAGACATTTCGAAGATGAAAAACGCGCACGTATGGGTGTTATTGAATGTGCAAAACATGATCTTGTTGAACCATATCCAGTTTATCAAGAAAAAGAAGGAGAATTTGTTGCCGAATTTAAATTCACACTTCTATTAATGCCCAGTGGACAAATGAAAATCACCGGTTTACCAATTGATTTAGATTTATATGAATCGGAGTATAAAATAACCGATAGTGATATCAAACAATTGCTTACAAGTTCAACACAAAAGAAGAAAAACAAAAAGAAGAAGAAGAAAGGTACAGGCGCATCAGGTGCAACAGCTCTTGACAATGTGGAAGCAGTCGAAGATGATGGTGATGAAGATTTTGAAGATGAACCCGATCCAGTCGCACAAAAGAAATCAACGAAATCAAAGAAAAGCAAATAAAAATGCTTAAAATTTTATCAATAAAATCTACTCATCAGTAAAATATCATTGATGACAAGCAGAAGATAAAAGATTTCGATTTCTTCTATTCTTTCTTTTTTTTAATCTCTCATTTATGTTTTTTACTGATGAGAAGAAAGTCTTTGGTCTTTCGACAATAAAAGAACGTTTATTGATTGACATTCAAACATCAAAAGAAAAAAAAACGTACACACACAAGAACATACATTATTATTTGTAGATTTTCTCAATGGATGATTTATTACATGAAGGATTTCATTTTGATGTTGACACTTATGCAACATTGATTAATGTTCGCGTACAAATTGAATGTCATGGACAACGAAATTATTCAGGAAGAGTGTACACGATTGATCCATTGACACAAAGGTTCGAATTCAAATGAGTTTTCATTTTAAATTAGATGAGTTTTGACTTTTTCAGTATCGTTCTCATTGATGACACATCAAATCGTGTTCATATCGTTCTTCGACCAGATATCATTCAATTGAAAGTTCTCGATCGTAGTTCATCTCTTCAATCGTTCAAAGATCCATTTCAACCTTCGACAACCATTCCAACAAATGCTGGAGAATCGGCATCCACTCGTCTCGAAGATCTTCGCCAGTTTCTGTCATCCAAACGAATTCCATTTCAAGAAAAACAAGAAGACAATCAGAGTATTACTCTTGTGATTCAAAACGGTATTGTTCAAATAAATGCTCCATATACATCACAAACCATCATTGGAACGAACGAAATTGTTCTTTCGCGGATGAAATTTTTATTGAAATCGATTCTTGACTAAATGATTGATTTTCAGATGATGTTCTCTTTGAATAAAACAATGCTTTTAGCAATATCATCTCAACGATTATTCTCACGTTCAGCCATCCTTGCTGCCTACAAACATCAAATATCTTCCATTTCGATTCATTCGAATAATAGACGACATCGGTCTTCATCTCAATCTCATCGAAGTAATCCAAATCGACCGGCAAATCAGACAGACAATTTACGTCGACTTTTTCAAGCAGTTGATGTCAAACCAATCATATCCACTGAAAAACTTGATACACCAACGTCAACAAAAGATGTAGATGCAAATATAGGGCAAGAATTGACTGGTGGGAAAACGCTGGATCGAAACTCACTTCTTCGTGTAATAACCGACTTTTATCGTCGTGATGAAATCAAAAAATTGGCTGCTGACCAAGGTCTTGATATTCGATTATTTCAAGATGCATATGTTAGTTTTAGAAAGTTTTGTATTCAATCAACAGTTTTACCTGTAGATTTACATATTGTATTGAGCGATATCATCTCTGGATCTGGTAAGAACTCAATTATCTTTGCAGAATCAATGCGTCATGTTTGTAAAGGTCATGCAACGGATATCTTTCCTTATTTTCTCCGACATGCACGAGAAATGTTTCCACATTTGACATGTATGGATGATCTAAAGAAAATTAGTGATCTTCGAGATCCAGCGAATTGGTATCCAGATGCTCGAGCTATTCAAAGAAAAGTGATTTTCCATGCTGGTCCAACAAATAGCGGAAAAGTAAGATTGAAGAATGATAAATACATTGTTTGAAAATTTCATTTAGACTTATCATGCACTTCAACGGTTTATGAATAGTGAAAGCGGAGTCTATTGTGGACCATTAAAACTATTGGCATCAGAAGTTTTCTATAAAACGAATGCAGCTGTGAGAGCAGATTGATGCATCTTGTCTTTGAAAGTGACTTTTCAATATAGGGCACAAAATGTGATCTAGTAACGGGCGAAGAACGACGGTATGCTGATCCAGAAGGCAAAGCAGCTAATCATGTTGCGTGTACAGTTGAAATGACGAATTTAACAACAGTTTGTAAGTGACAGATCGATGAGCGATATGAAAATTAACGGAAGATTTTGTGTAAATAGATGATGTAGCAGTTATTGATGAAATTCAAATGATGCGTGATCCACAACGTGGTTGGGCATGGACTCGAGCATTGCTTGGCATTCAAGCAAAAGAAATCCATCTATGTGGTGAAGGTTCAACAATACGACTTATTCAAGAATTAATGGTAACAACAGGTGATGAAGTGGAAATTCGAGAATATAAACGATTAACAAAATTAAATTATCAAGAGAGAGCATTAGGTAATCTATTCACAAATTGTATTTGAGTTATGAGTTGATTATGAAGATGATTAGGAGAGAAAGAGAACATTGTGGCTTAACTTACGCTTTGTAGTATTTATTTAGAAACATTCGATAATGTCAAACCTGGCGACTGTTTTGTCTGCTTCAGTAAAAATGATATTTTTCATATAACACGTGAATTAGAACGACGTGGACATGAAGTAGCAGTTATCTATGGTTCATTACCGCCAGGTACAAAGTTATTACAAGCTCAACGGTTTAACGATCCCAACGATTCGTGCAAAATAATGGTGGCGACTGATGCGATTGGAATGGGTTTGAATTTGTATGTTGGCTGTTCTTTGCATCCTTATTAATCTATGCTGGATATTTGTAGGAGTATAAAACGAATTATCTTCTATAGTCTGATGAAACCGCAATTGAATGAACAAGGAGAGAAAGAAAAAGATACTGTAACAACTTCACAAGCACTACAAATTGCTGGTCGAGCGGGAAGGTTGGAAAATTCCATTGATATCGTCAGAGTTACTCAATTGTATTTCATTTCAGATTTGCAAGTGCTTTTCCCGATGGTGAAGTAACAACATTTCGTCGTGATGATTTACCTTTATTAAAAGACATCGTCAATCGACAAGTAGAAACAATTAAGGTATTACTCTTCATCAAATAGATAATTGAATTCTTTCATTTTTTTCCTTATTTAGCGTGCTGGACTTCATCCAACAGCTGAACAAATTGAAATGTTTGCATATCATTTACCTAAACATTCACTTTCGAGTTTAATTGTGAGTTTTCATATCATTCAACAACATGATCACTTGACCGTCTTTCAATTTTTTTAGGATATTTTTGTTCTTCTATCGCAATTAGACGATAGTTTATTTTTTATGTGTAATGTTGAAGATGTGAAATTTCTAGCTGATATTATTGAACATGTACCATTACCACTCCGTGCTCGTTACACATTTTCATGCGCTCCAATCAATAGAAAAATGCCTTTTGTGTGTACAGTATTTTTGAAGGTAAACTCTCTCTCTCTGTACATATTTGAGAAACGTTTTTTGATAATGTTTCTTTTATTTCTAGTATGCTCGTCAATTTAGTCGAAGTGAACCGACGACATTCGATTGGCTTGCAAAACAAATCAACTGGCCATTCGAAATTCCTACTACAATTATGGATTTAGTTCATCTAGAAGAAGTATTCGATTGTTTAGATCTTTATTTATGGTTAAGGTAAACAGTTCGATATTGTTCATGAATAGATTCGACATATCTTATTAATTGCAGCTTTCGCTTTCCGGACATGTTTCCTGACAAAGAATTAATTCGAGGAATCCAAGCAGAACTTGATCAAATCATACACGCAGGTGTACAACATATTGTCAAACTTATCCATCGAACAAATCGTCTGGAAGATGCGAAAGATGTTGCTGTAACAGCCTCAACAACAGAAAAAACAGCGGAAGCTGTTGCCGCCATTAGTGAAGAAGCAAAATCAGTCAGTGGAACTAAATCAAATGCACCAAAAATACGATCAATCATTGGATTAGAGGAAGAACTTGATGTTGATACAACAGCAACGACATCAGCAACAACCACACCTGCTCAAGAAACTAAAAGTGAAGATCAGTCTACACTACTGACAATGAGTACTCACAGAGTTCTTCACTCATATTTGAGTGCATTAAAAACACAAGCAGAAACACGTGGACATGAATTCAATGAAACTGAAGATCTGATCAAACAGTTAATATCAAAAGGTTTACTAAGTCAACGATCAGTAGACAAATTGGAAAAGCAATTAGCAACATTTAATAATAATGATAAACGAACGAGTAAAAACCGAGAAACAACAAAACCAACTACACCTCATACGACATATAAAAAAAGCAAACGAAAATAGTTCTTTTTTCCTTTTGTTTTGTTTGTTCTTGACAATAAATCAAGCTCGTTATAATTCACTTGCACTGAATTTATAAACTAGATCTCGATGAAACTCAATGAAGAATCATAGTAGAAAAAGAAATCGATCACTTTCTAAATTATACAACTATTTGATGAATTATTATCTCTAAGATCTTAGATAATCTTCTACGAAAACGAAAATATTTACCTGTAGACTTTCCAAACGATTATATATATAATTATTCGTTTCTCGCGTTCTTTCTTAATTAATGATTGAGTCTGTTCAAAATATTGTGTGTAACAAAGAAATCTTCACTAGCTTACAATATATTTGTATTAAATACTTCAAACCATCATCAATAACATTTCATTCAAATAATCAACAAAACAGTAACAAACAAAATTTGAGATAAAAAAAATATCTTCTCTCGGCATACAAGGCTATTTGAGTTTTCTTCAATAAAAAGTGCGATACGACATGCATCACCTATTCCACACCGTCTTATATTAACAAAAAAATATCATCCGCTGTTGGAAATTATTCTTTCTCGAAACACTGAAGCAAAATGTTGTCTGCACAAGCAAGTCAATCAATTGACCAGTAAAAAGCTAATCTAGTGTTAGCTTATATTCATTCCATGGTATTATTTCGAAGACTATATCATTATAGTGAAGAAAAACACTTCTACGAAAGAATTTCTCGGCTTTCTCGTTAGTTTATCGGAAAACATCAGTTGTTTAACTTCAACGTATGTGATTACTTTTAGAATTGAACTGATTTTCAGACAGCAAAAAGCAATATCAATAATGAAATCTTAATATTGTTCAGCAATTGACGTCGATAATATTTGAAGAAACTTCATTTGATTTATCAAACAAGTAGTTTCATAGACTGCGAAATAAAGTGTTCTTTTTTTCGCAGGAAAATCGATTATAATTACATCGATTTGATTTCAAGTTGATGATTTTTACATAGGACAAAGTGAAATAAATAATAAATTTCATTCTGCTACTCTTGATCACGTGTTTATGTTTTTAAATGATTTTCGCCGAACTTATGTATTTAACGAATGTGTTTATACGATCAATTTCTTGCCAACATGATCTTTTAGTATTTTTCGGGATATATTTGGCTATTGGGAAAAATGTTTTCCTATCAAAATCATGAGTATTTTAACAAACGAGAAAATAGACGAGCTAAAATGGTAAAAGAAAAATATAAAAGTCCATGTAATGATCATTTCCATTTATTTCTTCGACGCAGTTTTATTCTTGGAAAAACTAAACATTTCCTTTGAACATTTGGTCTTATCAACGTGAAGAATTGAACAATTTCAACGCTTCACCATGATCTATCTCGATCATTTCAAATTGATGATCATTTTCTTATCGATTGGAGAAATCGTCGGTGGTAAGTTTCATTTCATGTTCTCCTTTTTCATTCGATTGAGCATTATATGTTTAGTTGTTTCATTCAATCAACCGAGATTCAATTCATGCACAGCATGGAATGGCGATGCAATTACTTTTGCAGCAAATGGTACACTCGGAAATCGTCCATCTGCCATTTTTATCGATTCGAATGATGCAATATATGGAGCGGATGCAGACAATAGTCAAATCATTATTTGGTATACTAATAACACTAACAAAACGATCACTATGAATAATAGTTTAACAACTCCCAATTCGGTATTTGTTACAAATCAACAACAGATTTATATCAGTACGGACAATACAACTGGTGACATCAGACAAGTATTGAATACAGGTGCAACTTCAGTCGCAATGCGAGTTGGTCAAATCTGTTCTGATATCTTCATAAGTTTGAATAATACATTGTATTGTTCAATGCGGGATTTTCACCGAGTTGTGTCCAAAAGTTTGAATACCACTTCGGATATATTTGGCACTGTTGCTGGTACATTTTGTAGTGGATCGGCTTCAGATCAGCTTTACTTACCGACTGGAATTTATGTGACCGATAATTTTAGTTTATATGTGGCTGACAGTGGAAACAACAGGATTCAATATTTTGCGTTGCCTGACTGGAATGGAACAACTATTACTTTTACAGGAATTTCCGCACTTAATAGTCCAACAGGAATTATGCTTGATGGCGATGGTAATCTTTATGTTGCTGACAGTGGAAATAGTCGTATCATTAGATCAGGACCTTCAGCGGCTCAATGTTTAGTAGGATGTTCTGGTTCAAGTGGATCTTCAGTATCTCAATTATCTGCTCCACAATATATGGCATTCGATAGTAATGGAAATATCTATGTTACTGATCAAAATAACGGTCGAATTCAGAAGTTTGTTACATTTGACAGTTGTGGTAAACGAACAGATATTCATATGAAAATTACAATTTATATCCGAACTTTCGTTTAGTTACAACAATGATGAGCACAACGACAACCATGACGGCAAACGCAGGTAAACAACTATTAAATTGAGTGTATTGATCATTTAACGCTCGTTCATCATCGAATTCTTCATAGAACCATTTCGTTCTTCAATAAATAAAGTAATAGTAATGCTTTCTTCGCTTTAGGATGTTTTCCTCCAACTGTGACACTCATACCCAGTTCATCATCGATATCATCTCCAATACAATTCCGTCGTGCTCACGACTTTACTATTGCTTCTTTGATTCAATTAAATTGTAACAATTCTATAGTGATCACTACTCAATGGACTGTAAAAAGTTGCAACTCATCATGTACTAATCGAGTTCTTCTCGATTCATCTGTGATAACGACCGCAAGTGAACTATACATACCTGAACGAACTCTACCATGCGGCTTGTACGAATTAAGTTTCAAAGTTACAATGTCTCACGTACCGAATTCAAATTTAACAAACACGGTTTACGTTCAAATATCTTCCTCCGAGAAGAAAGTGAATTTAATCTCATACGGAACATCAATGATCACTCGTGGATATCTTCAAGATCTTCAACTAAATCCGGGGAATTATTCCGTTGATCCCGATGAAGACAATTTCGATCCTTCTGTAAGTTACTTTTCCTTGCAACATTGCTGAGTAGTGTTTGTTTGTTAATAGATGTGGAAATATTATTATTATTGTCGAATCTATGGAGTATCCAAGTTTCCTCGTTTCCAAAGTTCATTGATAACAATTAATGATATGAGAAATGATTCATCGAATCCATCATGTCTTACAAATCGAACAGGATGGCGATTTGACAACGCCATGAATTCATCATTCACAATTCTCTCTGGTTCACTTCAGTCCAATCGAACTTATCAATTTATGGTTCAGATGGAAAATCTGCAAAACTCAACTCAGCTAATAATCGGTTACCTTCTAGTGAGAGTTACTAATACTCGTCTACCAGTC